GTTTGCGTTTCATTGCTCAACAGCTGTTCGAAGGATCAAATATAAGATAATATTCTACAGTTTGTAGTAATTATAGTGTTATATCTACAGTATAGCTTAACTGGCGAGCAAGCATCGTCCCACTCGGCCGGGACGAAAATACCGAGTCCAATCACAGAAAGTTGATCATAAACTAAAGATAAATATAAGAGCTCGGACATCGACAAAAATCACACACTCCAGACGACGGGGGAAGAGAGGAAAGAAAGAGCGGCGCACATTGGGATTTATTCATGCATACTGGGTTGTGCAGTGGCGCTTAATTTTTCATTCTGTTATTATATTAAATATTTTCAATATGAACACAATAGCCCGTGAAATCGATATCTCCTTGCTCTAACCAGAGCCCTCTCGCCTGCGTCACGCAGTACGCGTAGGCACATGGCTATGTGAACTACTGGGCTGAGTGTGCCTGATCGCCGAGCTGCGAAGAATTGAATTGAAGGTGGTCACGCAGTACTCGTATACACATGGCTATGTGAATATTAAAATTGTTTCACGGTGAATTATACTAAACGGCGTTCAATTTATACCTGTCTTCACGTGTGAGTGTTTACAAACAATTAAGAGTACGTTGTATCACGTCGTGACCCCCATCGTCGTTACACTATACACTATAGTGAAGAGTGTAGATTTTCTACGATACAGGCGGGTCATACAACGTATGACAAAGAGTACGTCATCGATTTTTGAAAAATATGGTGATATTTTTGGTAGATCAGTCTTTTATCTTTTACTTTAAAAAATACAAGCTTCCATTCACGAGATAGCCAGATATCTGGCAACGCCGCTCATGATGCTTCTCCTTACTGGGCCGCGCTCAGCCTGTCATTCTGCCTGATCTCTATTCGTATGTTTATGAACATGATAGCCTGAGGTCCCCAGGTAAGCTTCTCCAAGCTCACACAAGTGTCAGCAAAGATATTCATGCATTTCTGCACGAGGAGCCCATCACAGCCACCAACAATTAATTTGTTTCCAAGGCTTAGGCCGTTACCATTTTGTGCTATATTTGTGCTGTCTTTATGTCTTTGTGCTGTCTTTCATCCATCCAGTGGATTTATTTAACTTTTGTTTTATTTGTGCGTGTGATTATAAGCCTGCTGCTGTGATAGAATTAAATAGTATCTAACTTGGTAGTGAAGCCACCTAACATATACAGTGAGCAGGAACACAATAGCCTCAAGAAGCTCACCATGAAATTGATCAGCTAGTTGAGGATCTGATTTGGGATTACTGGGGCTGTTACGAGTGACAATCCTGATATAACAAGGTGGTTTGTTTGTTTACCCAATTAGGCTCAAGTTTAACGTACATGTAGACAACTGTCACTGATCTGATGAAAACAGTGATCGCAACTTATCGACAAAGTTATTTCAAATTGTACGGATATCACCTGTAATCATTCCATAGTGAGGTCAAAAAAGAATTTGCATGGGAGCCCCATCTTATCCATGCTAGGTTATTCCAGGACAGAAGAGTAACCAGTCAGATTCGGTACATTTCGCATCATCTTAGATTTAGAGATATGATAAAATACCACTAGTTACAATGTCGGTAATGGTTGCTTCAATCTTGATTTCACGTTCGTACCGCTACCCTATCGCAAGGATAATAGAATAATTGCTTTCTAGAATCTTTTACGTGAGATCCCCAGGAATTAAGGAATTGATTTTGCAAGTTTTCAATTATTACTTAAGGGCTGCAAGAGTTTGCGAGGAGAATTGCGTTAAGCAGTGATAATGAGTTGCTCTGGAGAAGGTTCGGATTGATACTGTTGAAGCCAGGGGTATAGGAAAATCTTGGCAAGGGGCGGAAAGGGGCCAACTTTTATCAGCCTCATTTAGCCTATCCGTCATTGCATTATCTAAATTGTCTTACTGCTTAAGTGTAGTCCAAATTTACATTCCTCATTGCTATAATTCATTCCTGAAAGCAAATTTTCCAACATTTTTCCAGATTCTCCTTCTTTGCACCCTTTTAGAGACTTATTGGTTATTACTGTAAGTATATTTTCAAAATTTGTAGGACTTTATCCTTTGACCCCTAAATTGGCACAGCAAAGCCAAAATCTTACTGGATTTATCATTTCACATTACTAGATTTCAATCCTGAAAGCAAACTTTCTAAAATTCTTTCAAAGAATACAATATTTTAATTGGTCTGAGGAATGAAACACCTAATATGATCAATCACAGCCCCACCAATCTCTAAGAGATTATCAGTCAGTGATATAAAACAATCATAATAATAAATCAATCATAATAATAAATCAAATCATAAATAAAATCAACACAATGGGGAAATAGGAAATACAAACAATGGCGCTCTGAAAGACTCTGTTCGTTCATACACTTTCAATAATAAAGAATGTCAATAACTTTACTCTTCACTGCTGAGTTAATCTTTGAAACTACATTCTGATCCGAGTGTTGGGCTATTTGGTTATATAAACCATACCCATTTTCCGCTGGGTCGATATTCTTTACCTCACATAACTTATCCCACATCTCTACTTGTAGTCTTCATTCTTCATAGCTCATTGATGTTCTCCATTGTGGCGGGGCTGTTAGGCGAGCTGCTCGTGTGCCAGGGTCTCTCACAACATATTGCACATTAGTGTTTCCATTAGGGGGTGGTTGTTATTCTTCTTTTTCATCTCCTGATACCTGAACTAACACAATATATGCATCCCTTTTTCGAATCAAACTTATTTAGCAAGAGCTGCTAGTAGGCTCTTATATAATGTATTTAAAATCGTATTATTTGAATCGTTCTTGAAACTGTGTTTAAAAATGATCTCTAGTGCCAACGTGCTCAGCTAGACCTTTAAAAAAATGTTCTACTGCGAAATGTTCGTCATTAATACCCATCTGCTAACAGAATTTAAACAGGATGCAGCCTTCGGCAATGATCCTGCCATAAACTTTAAAGTTTTTTACATGCATGGTTGATACTAAATGTTGCTGTTTTGACATTCAGGCGCACACCGCGTTACATTTTTAAAACTTTATGATTTTGGGCTCCTCATGAAGAAAATCATTCCTACGCCCCTGGTTGAAGCACTCAATTTTTGATTCAATACCTACAAACCATGATAACTTGAGGTTAGCCTGCTCAGTCATTTCAGCGTTGACTAGTTTGTCTAGAGGGGAGGCTCATAATTCTTTTGAAAAATTTAACGCTCAGTTTCAAAGTTTCAATGGTGATTGGGTATGAACCAGTTGGGTATGAACCAGTTTTTCGATGATATTATGAAGTATTAACGAAGGTGGGAGCGATTCATCATTCTCCACAGGTGGAAAGTCCTCCACGGAAAGACCAGCAATGATCTGAACGGCTTGGAAACCTTCAGTAATTTCATCAAAACGTAGAACCAGTTCAACAGCAAACCTCACCTTGTTTGACAATTCATTTGCAGTTCAGGGACCTAAATTGTGGAATGCAATTTCAAATCTCGAGCACTTCAAAGATAAGCTCACAAAGTTCATGTTGTCTCTCCCTGATAAACCGCCGTTCAGGGGATATACTCCTCCAAATACGAACTCTCTGCTGTGCTGTCGCAACAAGCGAGACTTTACTTCGCTATGAGGTGGTCAGAAGATGTGATGGCCCGTCAAGTCTTGACGAAACTCAACATAGGTCACATATAAGTAGGTCACCCCATTATACAGCTTTTGATTGTTCTAATTCTTTCCCTGAAACTGCTCCAGATTGCTATTCTTGTTATATTTGAGTGACCTTTATATTTGAGTGACTTTTATAATTTATATTATCTCAGTATAAAGTATATCAACACTGAACTACTCATTTTCTGTGCTTTATTTTGTAAAGAAATAATTCTCAATGCTTACATACTAAAGCAGATTGCGACTTATTAAGTTATGATCTTAATTATCCATCAAGCAAGATTACAAGAAATTCCTGCCCTATTACAAGAAATTCCTGCCTTAAGTGAAGTGAGATTATCTTGCTCGATTTGTGTGTTTGCATAGATAATAGCTTTTATTATCTTCGTTTTGAATTTGTTATGTTTTAATCGTTATGTTTTAATCGTTAAAATTCCAGATTCTGACCTGCAGGAGACCAGCCAATCGATTTAGACTGGGCCATATCTGCTTCCCAAGCAGCCAAACTCGGACGCTCACGTCTTTACTATGTATACTTGCTATTGAAATTATAATACTTTTCAGTTTACACTCAGTTAATCTTTCCCCTGCAATTTTGTGACGAAATTAAAGACAGTAGCCCATGGTAAGAGCATATTCAGGGATTGGTTTCTATAAAAATGGAAATAGAAGTGGCACCTCGAATATATCACGCTTAACCAGATTGGCGACATAAGTGATAAGTTCATAAGAGTCCTAATTTTTTGCTATATCAAATTATTAGGTAGATACTACTGATAAGCCATAAAGGCCAAGCAAAATTTGGGCCATAAGTTGAAATAGAAGTGGCACCCTAGGTATTTTAACCATTAAAGCATGTAAATCTTAAATTGTCACACCTTGCCCAATCTTTTGTAGGACTAATGTCATTACCTAATGTCATTACCGAAAGATTTCAGTATAGTTGTATCTCAACCGCAACGTATTGTTATCTATCCCAGGTCATGTTTCACTGTATTTTGACCTGTTGAGAGTTCTTCTTCCAACAAATTTCATTATTTTGCCGGTCTTTTTTTGTTGTTTAGCTGCTTGATTATGGTTTAATGTCGTTAAAAAGATAGTATATACAGGTGGCCAAAAGTCAGTACACGTACGTTAGGGCCTAGTTTTCAGTCACTGAGTGCCCCATTGAAATTATCCTTTTTGGCATGTCTTGCTATTATCGCTCATTCGAGGAATATCATTTTTTCAAATGAACATTTATTTTTGCAGATGTTAGACATTTTGAATGATTGGATCAAGTCAAAATGTAATAGATTGTGTTTGGCCCTTGTACAAATAATATGGTTACAATTTACAAATGATAACACAACCTATTTTTGGTAACATTTATAGTGTGTTAAATTAATTTTATTCTCATTTAGCGGGTAAAAATGCCACCAATGCCACCTGAAGAGAGACTTAGTGAGGCATTCGATGAAACGGAGGGAGTTTTTGCTAATGATGAGCCCATCGAACTTAAACCAAGCGTTGAGAAAGATCCTCTGCCCGAAGTAGATTACGATGAATCTTTTGAGAACCCACCCTTCCTATCCATCATGTCTGCTTATCTTTGTCTTTTCTTGTTGGTAATATTCGGCCATATTAGAGACTTGTTGAGAAAATGGGGATTCGATAAAACTATGGATGCGTCGGAATTTGGGAATGAGGTGAGGAAGTTGCTAATAAAACAAACATATTTGCAGTTATTCTAACACCTAACTGCAAAAATAAGAATGAATCATGATTTTTCAAGTATTAATACGATTTAATTTTACATAAAACATATAATATATTATCGTTTCAGGGATTTGTTCCACTTTTTAACGACTTTGAAGCATTTTACACTCGGAATGTATGGCAGAGAGTGCTTCACTACTGGTGTCATCCGCTAGCAGGGGTACCTGGCGCTCAAATAGAGGTTTGGGACAGAAAATTCGGATCCTTCAACGAAAATATCAGGTACTAATCAAGGATTCTAAGTGATCATGCATTTATTAATATTACGAACAAAGAAATGTCGGACTTTACAAATTGACAACACTATTCAATATAAACATAAAAAGAAATTTCTACTTTTATTAGATATCCTGGATAATAACTGTATTCATTAATGTCAACTTATCCAGACTTCAAGAGACCAAGAGACATTACCTGAATATAGGGAGTTACAACTACTTGGGATTTGCAGAAAACAAAGGGCGATGTGCAGATGAGACGGTACAAGAGATAAGGCACAGGCTCGGCACAGCTACCGCTAGTTCTCGATCTGAATTAGGTGAATACTTGTTTTGATAATTTCCGAGGGTTTGTTCAAAGTGGTATAATGATATTAAAATGATGAAACTTATCAAGAATTAGGCGTCAGCTTAAAATAAATAAGCACATTTAGTGCCAACAACTCTGACGTAATATAATTCATCATATTCAAAAACGCTCCACCTAAAGACCTAAAGACCATATTGTCATAGCGACAATAGCACAGTGTTTTAGTTCCCGTAAGGTACACTTATCGGGGAAATGTGAGGTGTAATTTCATGAACATTTTGCCATCCGTCTTCGAGGACCATATTTCTAGAACCTTGGATAGAAATTCAAGCCTTCCTCCGTTTCTAACAACAACTGGAACATGGTGGATCAAGTTTCATCTATTTCGTGACCTAATCAATCCCACTTGTACGCAGCATAGGAAAGCTAGAATTTTAATTAGTATTGATCAGTGATCACTATACAACTCCTACACTTTCTTTCACTTCCATAAACTCGGTTTGTCCTGGGATATTGATAAACAGTCAATTCTCCGCCATCATCTCTGTCACCATTCCGTCATTCAATTCAACATTCTCAACAATACGGTTCAACATTCTCCACAATACGGTTCAACATTCTCCACAATACGGTTCAACATTCTCCACAATACGGTTCAACATTTTCCACAATACGGTTCAACATTCTCCACAATACGGTTCAACATTCTCCACAATACGGTTGTGTAAGTAAAGCAGCTCTTAAATGAGTTAGAGCCTTGCAATTTTGTTCAATAATAAATCCGATCAGTGCCCATTTTGGTGAAAAATGAATGGGCCAAATGAACTGATAGAGTTTTGGCCTATAATTTGAAACACCACATGACTTGAGACGTTTCAACTTTTCAAGTTGTAAAGTTTAATCTGAGGCGAGTTATAAACAAAAGTCACTTCGACACCCTGTACATTCTCCAAATATGGCCTTATGACTTATTGAATGTTCAATAAGAGCTTCCCAAATGTCCGACTATGTCACTATGTACGATAATATTTACTTATTCGTTCATCATAATTTCATAGTTTCGCATGATCTTATTTTTGTTTTAGAGATTGCTCTATGGTTACCATTTACTTGCCTTTCCACAAGTAAATGTGCATACTTGTTACCATAGACTAGTAACAAGTATACACATTTACTTGCGGAAAGGCCCCGGTGCGCTGGAAATCTGTGTCTTGCTTGCTATAATTGTTACATGTTACATGGCTTGGTAGAGTCGCATCTTTTCTTACACTAGAAGATATTCTGAAATCAAATGTTCTCAGGGATGAAAAGGCTGAATTTGATAGTATTGGGACAATCTTTCCTTAGAATTAACTTTATTATGTCAAATTTCCATTGAAAGAAGGTAGGAAATTAAGTCCTTTACGTTCCAAAATTTGGATTACAGTAGTACATTTGGTCACAAAGAATTTGGTCATCACAATTTGAACAAGAAATGTTTTGCACATTTTGCAAATTTGATTTTTCTTATCACTCTGATGTTCACTTAACATTTTTAAAGATTTCTCTAGTTTTTAAAGATTTTTCCTTTGTATTGACTTTACTTAAAATTTTAAGCTAATATATTCCAACTTTAAAACTTGTCCATAACTCTATCATACAGAAACTTAAACCATGTTGAAGGTGTTATGTTACTAGTGGGAGACATTTTGAGTATATTGGGATGCATTAATAGATGCAGTGGAAGATAAGTATGATAGTCTCCATGTGACGTCATATTAACAATACTATTACTTGCCAAAACTTTAAAGTTCATATGAATGCTCATTGCTCTACCAAAATTTAAGTTGGCTAATAACAATTAGAATTACATTTTTATTACGCATAATATTATAATCAAAAATTGACAATAAATGGTAGACAGAACATTCCAGTTGACACGTGAGAGTATTAGTTGCTACTGGAGCTGACTGTCTAGTGTAGTAGTACTGATAACTAAACATCACCCCCACATCCTATTATTCATCGTGTGGCATATTAGTAAGCGGTACTGCTACCATTACATGCTGTGCTTGCACACGGGCTGAAAAGCTGTTAAATGATAACAGAATGTATGAAATGTTATAATGTGTCGCCGTAAAGTGTGAATACTTTCCCGGGGCTTTAGTGAAATAACAGTGATACTTCCTTATCTATAAATACCTATTATATTTAAAGAAAACATTCCAGATAATCACATACTTCGTACAGTATTCGTATGGTATCATTATACGAATATCATTATTGATAACGGAGGAGTAGGATTGTTCATAATCGAAAAATTCAAAATGCTTAAAAATGACTTAACAACATTTTGAGTCGCCCAGCAACGTCAGCAGCTATTTGCTTGTTAGCTAATTGACTAATGATTGTTTGTCTCTCCGTAACCAAGTGTAACCATCCACTACTGCTATAACCTTATAACTGCAACGTGTCAGTACTGAGTGGAATGTGTATTTATAAACAAAATGTGTATTTATAAACAATAAACAATACTTTAGTTTTACATTCCTCAACACAAATCCCTCTCACAAAATAGTACTATAGAAGTTGTTATGTCACTAAATTCTAGAACAATAGTCTGCAAATACTCAGTTCCGAAACTTTGTGAAAGTTAAGAATTGCGATGTTTTTCAGAATGTATCTACGGAATTGTTCGTGTCATTAGTCTTTGTAACCAGGGCCCCGGGGCCCGGGCCGTGTTTTGATAGAAACTTGATATGAAACAAGATATCGAGGTATTTATATCTCACTCACACCGTCAGTAGATAAAAATATAAAAATTAACGATGTTCCTTGATTAGATCTTGCTTAAATCTTAGGGACTAATTCTATAAACCTACCTATTGAACCTATTGAGAGGTTTAGAACGGCCATCACGCAATCTGCGGACCACCTCCTTGACTGCACCAGTCTATTATCGAGTTAGAGTTTTCTGCACTGTATCCAGGAGTAAGGGGCTTGTCTGGAAGGGTGTCTAGGAAGTTTTCAAGAGATGTCTTGAAGCTTGCCAAAGTCTTTTGAGTATTGACAATTTTGGGGAGAACATTCCAGAGTCTTCCAGCTCTCACTGCGAATGAGTGGTCGTAGGTGGAACTTGCAGCGGCTGATGCTTTTTTGAGAGAGAAGGGAGTATAACTTTAACTCCCAGTCTGGACTCTGGCATTCTCTCTGAACTGTACATCTATGTAAATTGGACATATACTTTTTTATCTCAACACTTATTTTACTTCGGACATTCCAACAGCCACATTGTTACACAAGTGTGTAACCAGCCAATTACAGGAAGCCGAAGAGAACTTTCCACAGGCGTCTTTGCAGGGATGTAAGTTTATACATAAGAAATAAGATTAAAGGGGTCAATAAATAAGGGTCGACATTGTTTTCTCCGTCGTATATTTTACCGATTGTTGGCTCGAAACCAAAAAAATCCTTGGACCATCTCCTCAAATTGTGATTTTGCGTGAATGAAAGTTTGCTTCGCTGACACTTAAAAGCCCAGAAAGATATCCTGAATCCTGATTCCTGATGACCCAAAAAGCGTGCCCTCACGACCAGGCAGGAACACTGCCCTAGACTCCACAGGAACCAACCACTTATCATTAATACACTAGACTCTCACAGTCCGGTAGTTGAACTTCTTGCTCCTTCCTGAATTAGCACCATTATCACCATGACGATGTCATGGCAATATGCCATCGACTAGAGGTTGAACTTCCTTTCTATTTGTTATCCTAACATTGGAAGAAGCTGATTGAATTACGCTCTGATTTTTGATAAAAATGGGAAAGATGTGAATTTTGATGGAATGTTCCATTTAGTAGGTGTTCCGATTTCTAGAACAATCCTGATCGTATTTATAGGAATTTCAAAGAATGGAATGCACTTATGATCGTATAGGATCTATACCCCAAAAATTGTGGGAGTTAATGATATTTCGGGTGGTTACCAAATTTTTGAAAAATTTACATCTTCATAACCCTTCATGAAATTAACTATAAACTGCAGCTGCATGTGCCTGTAATTGGTTGAAGGCTTACACACTAATGTACATTGTACTATTCTCAATATTGGGCTGCTGTCTACTAAATTGTATTACACGCCACACGGCCCTTGTAATGATATCAACAACATTTATAGTACATTCTTTAGATTGTCTACATTCCATAGTAACACAATTGTTTCACTTCCTTGTATGGCGCCGTATCAACGTTACTGCATGAACAGAATTAAATGTGAAGATTGTATGAAGAGAACTGAAATTATTAACATGCTTGCAACGTGTTTCAGGAGATGGAAGGAGGGCTGCATCTTGATTCTTGGAAGTTGTACATCTTGCTAATTCAAAATCAAATTTGCGATATTGCAGAAACTTTGATTCATACTGCAGGCTGGATAGTGGATATCACAGTGTAATCTTTGACATTGTTTATAGTATCTTATTATTCTATTGTTTATATAATGTGTACTTATCATTCATTCATTGTGTATGCATTTATCATATTTTCATTACATTTATATATTTTCATATCTATTGCTTATATATATAATATATAATAATTAATATTTTATATTACTAGTGTAACCCAGCATTTCACTGTCGCAGTAAAAACGGTGAAAAAGTATAAACCCGCTCAAAAATATAAACCCGCTCAGTCGAAAACCCCCCATCAGATTGCAACGAGAAGCTAGTGTCGTGATCGAATTAGACCTCGTCTATATTTCAGATCGAACTGCACTATAACAAAAAGCAGCAGGCCACCAATTGACCCACTTACCATATGCCTATTTTTTAAATTAATTTTCTTTGCTTTATCATCGTTTTGTCGACACTTTATCGAAAAAAAGCCAATCCCATAACTCTTTTCGTTGATTAAGTGGTATGTAGGGTTTGTAATTTACAAACGGACGAACAGACACACGCAGATTTCAGGATTATTACTTGCGATTATCAATACTCAATATTATACTTTTAACTGGTTCAGGGACACTGAGAGTTCACGAACAGCTAGAAAGTCTAGTAGCCGAGTTTGTTGGCAAAGAAGCTGCATTGGTATTCGGTATGGGTTTTGGAACTAATTCCCAGAATATAGCAACTCTTGTTGATGAGGTAGTTATAATATGGTTATGATGGTATTTACATACTTTACATATTTTTCATATTTTACATATTTTACATATTTTACATATTATATCTCAATGATTGTGATTTGTGATGGCGTAATGTGTTGAGGCTAATCGCTCGCTTTGTCCCATTGTAACATTATAAATAGATTACGTGGATGACTGCACCTCATTGTAACAATTTTAATCTATTACTTGACAACAACACAAATTACCGCTTAAATTAACACAGTTTTTTAGCATCACGTACATTATCCCAATTTGCAAGGCAAAGCGTGTCTTTAAATAGATTTGCAGCTTTTTTAAATAATACCACGGATATTTTACATGGCAGAGTATCTAAGCATTAGCAGCTAGTGATTAGAGACCTACGATCCAACAAATGGTTAGATCGTACAAGTGGTCTCGATGGACAATTCTAAAATTTGGCAAATTAAGTTGTCACTAAAGATTCATATTGCTTAATTTTAAATCTCTCATATTATCAGGGTTGTCTACTTATTAGTGACGAGCTGAATCACGCATCTCTGATTCTAGGGGCAAGGCTGTCAGGTGCTAAGATCAAAGTTTTCAGACACAACAGTAAGTCCGACGGCATTACAATATTCTATGATTTGTTAAACGTTGCGCGCGGTCGCCGAACTAAGTTAAATATAAGAAAAAAGGAAAGCTTAACCAATTAAAAAACGCGCGTCCACATGTTAAGCAAACTCCACAAGGTGGTCTGATATTTGAATGATTTCGTAAACTTGGACCAGTTCCAAATGTCCGATTTCAACAGCCTTTGACGGGGAATGCTACCGGTAATTCATAGCACTGATTACGTTCTGTTATCAGTAGTGATGAAATCAGCCACACTTATTGAATTTAAGGGGAAATCATGGACACGTACACGTTTTATACTTTAAAGCTTTTTGAAGATATGAAATAACCCAATTTAGTTTCGACAATATTCCATGAAATACAACTGATAATTCATATATTTTCATAATACTGATTACGTAATACATATTAACATATATTATCAGTAGTAATGCAGACATCAGGATTCAGGGTAAATTAAAGTTCATGTTTGATGTTGCTCTTCATGGTATTTTTTCAGACGAAGCAGTCATTTTCACCGCTCTGACGCAAATTTCATTTTTTATCGCGAAAACCTCCTTGACCAGTGACCAACAACGATAAAATCGTATCTCTACCAATCGTGACTAGACAATTTTCAGACATGTTGCAATTGGAGAAAATTCTAAAAACTTCGATCGTTATGGGGCAGCCTAGAACTAGGAGGCCCTGGAAAAAGATACTGATAGTGGTCGAAGGAATTTACTCTATGGAGGGCACATCTTGCAATCTCCCTGAAATTGTCAAACTTAAGAACAAATACAAGGTTAGTTTTGGTTGGATTTTATTGAAATATTCACTTGTTTTTAGGGGAATTTGCTAGATCGCCACGTTGATATGCTAAAAATAGCCTTCGCCCAAATTAGATCTACGAATATGGCCAAGGAAATTCGAATTGAATTATTTTTATCAGTTAGTGACAGTACGTCGTGGGGTACAAATACTTATCAAGACTGACATTCACAGGCGTTCCTCTACGTGGACGAAGCACATAGCATAGGAGCTATGGGTAACACTGGCAGGGGTATCTGCGAGCACTACGGTGTAAAACCCTCAGACATTGACATTCTTATGGGTACTTTCAGCAAAAGCTTTGGTGCTTCTGGTGGATACATCGCTGGTGACAGGGTGAGTTCTCAATCTCAAATAGTGTTACTTCCACTCAGCTTCTGTAATAAAACTGTAAACCAGTAACCAGCATTGTGACATATTTTCTGGCCACTAGTTTTTATAACATAAGTGGTCACTCCTGATTAAGAATTTGCTCAGGACCTTGTTGCGTATCTCAAGAAAGAATCCCACGCCCAAAACTACAGCAGTGCCATGTCACCCCCAGTAGCGAGACAAGTCCTGGCCTCCACTCAAGCTATCATGGGTATTGATGGGACTAACGAGGGACAGCGCAGGATCAGACAGCTCAAAATAAACACAAGGTCAGTTCATAGTCCTGACTTCACTCGCTTCTATTACTATCCAACCTTCCCCTTTAGATTTTAGAGCTGTTTTTATATTTGAAGTTACCATTCGCATTGTCAGTGTTTATTATTAAATTCCTCGCAGCTACATACGTCATACAAATATTCTCAGATTCTTCCGAACAGAACTACAAAAAAGGGGTTACATCTTGTTTGGGGAATTGGACTCCCCTGTCGTTCCTCTCCTTATCTGTTCTATCGCCAAACTATGGTATATTTATCAATAATTTTTTCCTACAATGCCCTGCCATAACACTATTTTTTCCAGAAATCAAATCTTTGACAGAAAAAAGCTTTGCTTTAGACGATGTAGCTTTGTATAACTTGTACAACTTGTACTTGTGTGTTATGATCATTAACCTATGATATTTGCCTGATATGATCATATTCCAATTTAGTTCGAGAAACCAAACACTGCTGCTGTCCATGTATTAGCTACAACCTCGCTCAGCTCGCGGGGAATAAAAAGAGAAAAGCTGTTTTTACTTAGAGAAGCTAATTGTAATTGTAATCAAGTTCTGTACTCAATGCGCGTTCGTTCGTATTGGTAATTGGTATAATTACTATTACTATAATTATACGGGCTTTCAGCACGATATTGCCCAATGCCCTTCTTTTTCCAACGAAAATTTCAGATGATCGCACTGACAACTTTGAAACTTTAGGTACTGGTAGTCTAGTAATTAAATAATTCTAACAATGATCTTCACAGTGCTTTTGCAAAGACCTCCCTGAATAACGGGCTAGCTCCAGTAGTGGTTGGGTTCCCGGCTACTCCAATGCTTGGTGCTAGAGCTCGCTTCTGTTTGTCAGCCTCCCACACTACCGAACAACTTCGATGGGTGAGTAAATAGGGGTCTTTCACATATTACGTACTAATCAGCCGAGGTAAGGGGGAGGGGGTTTCCAAATGATTACGCTATACTGGGAGTATGCAGTTGTATGATGTTTATTTTAATCTTAAATTGGATCTTAACTTTTAAAACTAAATAATAATGAACATATACGGGGACTTTTTTTAATAACATCATTTCAGATGATCGACCTCATCGAAAAATTTGAACCAGAACTTGGTCTTAAACTATCCAGGAGAGACAGAAGCTTATAGAAAACATATCGGAATACGGTCATGACAAAGGATCCATATTTCAGAAAACTTTCGCAGTATCTCGGAACTGATAATACTAATAGCTATAATGTTGGTTGTTGGTATTCAAACCATATAATTATAAACCAATCTTGAATCACAGCCACGAACATGAAGGAGTTTTTATCTTTTTACTTAAATGGCTGCAATTTATCCAGTAACCCTCACCCCATGTTTGTCTATCAATTGACAATAGTAACGTAGTTCAAGTGTAAATTGAACCAATAAACGTTATATCAAAGATGAATACCTTTGATAGCAGATCGTAAACATACCTGAGTATTATACAATGCTTTACTCAATTTTTAATCTTTCTAGGTTTAGTTTTACGGTCTAATTATTTAGCTTTTAACCTGATATACAAATTGTATTATTACTTAAGGGGGGGGGGGGGGGGTTCACCCTGATTTTTTGTGAAACTTGGTTTCGAGATAGCAGTTGACCAACAAACTAGGACCAGTGACCAAACTTTTGAGGGGGTCCCGGACCCCAACCGCCAAACGGTGCCCGCGGGGCAGCCACACACATTGGTCCAAATTAGGCCCAATTTAGCCAAATACCCTGAACATACCCAAAATCCAGATTTTAGGTGCAAAAATTTGGCGGCCAAATTCCAAAATTTGCAATGCAAAATTCAGAATTTGGCCGCCAAATTTTTTTAAAGGCCTAACTCAAAATTCCAATACAAAACTTAAGGTCGAAATGCGATTCTACGTTGATTCTGAAAATTTCATGTAAAAATATTGAAACCCTATTGAGTTCTATTGTTTTGAGCGAAGTCAGTTTTGCAAATATCGCGAACTGAGATATGGGCAATTTTGTTCATTTTTTGCGATTATTTGACCACAGAATCCACAGTTAGGTAGATACTGAGCTGATAATCATAGATAATGGTAGAATAGGCTTACCTTCCATATAAAGTTGGTTTCATTCAAAAATATTGATATTTGACCAATTTATGGGCCAAAATCGATCAAATTTGGTGCGTATGCCCAAATATGGTCATATGGTTTTTGCTCATAACTCAGTCATTTTTTGTCCAATCTTGATGAAAATTCATATACGAGTTCAGGGGACCACTAGCTACAAGTAGAGCACCTAAAATCTGGATTTTGGGCATGTTCAGGGTATTTGGCTAAATTGGGCCTAATTTGGACCAAATATGGGCGTGGCTGCCCCACGGGCACCGTTTGGCGGTTGGGGTCCGGGACCCCATCAAAAGTTTGGTCACTGGTCCTAGTTTGTTGGTCAACTGCTATCTCGAAACCAAGTTTCACAAAAAAATCAGGGTGAACCCCCCCCCCCCCCCCCCTTAAACAGGAGGATTGCGCTTTTACGTGTTATATCTTATAGAGCGCGATCGCAAATATGAAGCTATAAGTATATTAAGTGAAACTGTTATCTCTATGTACTTGTTAATGTTAGGATTGAAAGTTTTATAATTATAGTCATTAGTCACTCGGTGGAGTGGCACGAATTTTATCACTAGAGCAATCCTATTAGATTGCTGATGAAATATTTTTACTCGGAATTTGCTTTATGCATACTCAATACTTTAAGGTGCAGTTTATATCTCCGCCAAAAGCATCACATTTTAGCATTGCTTTTGCATTTTGGCGGAGATATAAACTACACCATACTTTAAAGCTAAAACCAATTTTGTAGTTTTTAGGTTAATACGGGCTTAATACTCTATTTTGTTTTTTTTTGATTTGTAAATTTGAGCTTCTGTAGTTATGGCATGGATGTGAAAGTGTGCAATATACCTATGTAATGATGATGTTAATAATAATCTTGATGAGTTTTAACTTTAAAAAAGCTTAAGTTTTACTGAAACTCATGGTAAAAGTCCCTTCAAGTAGGCGCTAGTCACTAGTGTAGAAGAATCCGAGCTCGTACGCTAAATCCGACAGCCATTCAAATTACCTTATCGGACCTTATTTGGACGGACATTACTTGAACGCTGGAGGCCCTAGCGTTCATCTTAATGTCCGTTCAAATAAAGTCCGTTCAATTAATGTCCGTCCAAGTTAAAGTCCGTTGAAATTTTTTCAAAAATTTTTCCATTTCGAACTTTTTGTCCAGAATATGACAACTTTGAGAACTTTGTTGTGCCGTAAGTTAACGACGAAAAGGTTCTCCTTGGTCTGCCGGAGGCACAGAAAACTCTACTACTACTACTACTAGTATATGATGTTTTCAAGGGTCACTTGACGGAAAAAGTCAACGAAATTATGGCACTCAACAACATAGTTCATGAACTAGTCCCCGCCAACATGACAAACTTGTTCCAGCCTCTAGATATTATGGGTAAATCGTGTTGCCAAGGACATTGTCCGACGTTGTTATAGTTCATATTACTCGGGGGCGGTAATGAAACAGTGCTAGGAAAGCTCCACGTGATGTTAAGGTTAACCTTAAGTTGTCTAAGATAAAACCACTCCACGCCGAATGGCTTGTAAAAGTTAACACTGAAATGCAGGACCGGGGTAGTTTGATAAAAAAAAGGTTTCCATGAAGCTAGAAATCACTGATGCTTTAAGCATGGACTATTTCATGCACGAAAACCCATTTGATGAAGATGATATGTGATATTAGACACTGATCAAGTACACATTTTTAAACATTTTTACTGCTTAATGACTGCTTTTCTTACTAACTGTATAAAAATGGATTTGAAAATCATTTGCTGAAATTTAAAAAACGTCAAAAAAAATTCGGATTTTTGATGGTTTTGAATGCCTTCGAGCGTTCACATTAATGTCCGTTCATAATTATGGCCGTTCATGTAATGTCCGTCCAAATAAGGTCCGATAAGGTACAATTTGTTATTCTCTGGTTTCACTTAGCCATATCCGTTCATGATCGAGGGGCTCAGGGGTGGTCTCAATTTCTTGGAAAATCATTTTATATCACGCGCATACTAGCTGCGCGCTCCCACGCGCACATCGTAAATGATGGCAATATGGTACTTTTGATAGCCATAAACGCTAAACCGTACAAAGCAAAGTACCGTTTTCAGGTTGCGGTAACGTACAGACGGTCGGTGTTATAAACAGTCCATTTATTTCCCTCTCCGTGTCGGCTCATAATAAAATAAAACACATTGATTGACCAGGTAGTAATATTAAACATTGGTACAACTCTCTACATGACAGAAATTATTGAATCTTGGAAATACAATAATTATGAAACACTGCCCATCAACGGCGCCTCTATCATGAGAAAATCAAAATGCTAAAAGTTTTAAGTTCCCTAAAAACGGAGAACGCAGTAAATGGATAAGGTGGAGATCTGTCACTTTCTCTCGACTTCCGCTCCGAAGTTGGATCGGGACAACTTCTAGCAAAAGGAGACGTAACCTCGCACCACGTGGTTCCCACGTGGTAAAACATATTCAGCGGAACCCACGATATACGAGGTAAAAACTTGCGCCAAGCAAGTCATGTGACAGTGCCATGTAGAGGATACTTGGTAACTAAATTACAGGTCTTTTGAAAATGCTTACATGTAAATATAGCGGATAGTTAAATTTATTAATTATATGTTATCATTGCGAGAAAAAAGTTAAATATGTATCGTACTTGTTATAAATCAGTTTTTTGAAAATAAAATTTCAGAATATCAAATATTCATGAGATAAAGATTGTTCAGATCTTGAGATTTATGTTCCTTCGTTGTCGAAGCCTGAAAGAAAACAAATTCATATCATACATCTCATAATCATAATTATAGGTGTATTATCAACAAAATGAATCACTGACATATTTTGTGGAGAGAGCCCTTGGGCTTTCGAAGTTGACAATTTGTTGTTTTTCAGAACTACCATTAATTCAAACAAGTTTAAAATCAACAGTAAGCTCTTTATATAATACTCACAATTAATTTCCTAGGAAGTTTATCCATTGTTTCGTATCAGATCTGTCAGGCACATTTCTCTTGCCTGGAAACATAATTATCTTAATACAGAGACACAGCATCAGGAGTATAAGTAGGTATTTAAGCATAATCAAATTAAACAATACTCGATCGAGACAGGATGGCGTTTACAAGCTGATGACACAAATGTCGACACCAGCGTGTCCCACTTTGGCCAAATTATCAGCCGCACAGACGGTGACACCCGCAAAACTCCGCTAACTTCATTCCCAAAGAACCTACCATAAGGATCGTTATCTTTGAACCCTCCCCCGGGTATCTTGTTGCCCCCGAACATCTGGTTATTGAAGCCGCGCTGTTGAGGGGGGTTGTCGCCTCCCCGTGAGTAGTGCTGTTGGTCCCCACCCCTGTAGTAACCGTTCTGTGGTGGTCCATCTCCGCCACCTCCTCCTCCTCCTCCTCCTCCGCCTCCTCCTCCTTGTTTGTATGAGTAGTTATTACCTGTGCAAAGAATGTTGTTACAATTTCTTAAGAATATCTCCATATTGGAGTAGCGGTTCATGAGATCGAAAACTTTTCATAGGTCTGAAAGTTGTTTTTGAGTAGCTTAAAGCACATAGCTCATCTTCAAAACTTCTAACGGTTCAAGCATGTCTAAAAATAGATTTCTACGTCTTTGACGACTCTAACTACTGTGTTTGATATAAAGTGTATAAGCAAATTAAAAAACCAAGCGAACCGTTCATGTTAGAGTAGGAATCCTGGTTTCTATTGTAGCCTCCTCCGGATTGGTAGTTGTTGCTGTTATTGTTATTGCTGTTGTTATTGTAGCTGTTACCGTTGCTGTAATTGTTGTAGTTGTTGTCGTGATAGTTATCGTTCCTGAATTGTGAAGCGAAATAAAGTGAATTTGTTGGGATACACAACGGGAACATCAGGATGAATACTTCGTGGTGAAAACAACTACATCGCTAGTCCTGCTTGATGAACAATTAAAATAAAAAGATGGTGTTAAAATTTCACACTCGGGTATCGGGATCTGAGAATATAGCTGGCAAATGCACCGGCTTGTTCAGGGTGGTCAACAGCATACCATAGTTTCCCTAAATTAGAAGGCTCTACACTTAAAACTGAATCAATACGTACAGAACAACAACACAAGCAAGGCATTATTCATTCCGAGTTTTATCGGTTTTAAAAACTCATAAATCATTCTCAGGATTGTAATAACTCACTGCTCGTAGTTGTTAGAAGGGTATCGTCTGTTGTTGTACTGCTTGTGCGGTTGAGGTTGTTGGTTGTTGAAGTGTTGGGGACGAGAGGGCTGGGACCCCCCCTGGTTGTAGTGTCCAGGTGGCTGGTTGTAAGGACCTGGTCATTAATTAATTATCAAGTAATTAATTAATTATCAAGTAATTATCTGGTAGACGTTACACCTCAATACCTTAACTTGTTGCACATTCGAATTCCTCCGAATTAGCTATTATAATCACATGTGCTAACTAACCATTTCCAGGATGCTGGTTATAAGGGCCAGCTGGAGAAGGAGGTTGAGAGTAAGGTCCAGGAGGGGGAGGTCCGTACGGTGGTCGGTACTGGGGCCGGGAGTTGTTAACAGGTGGGCCATAAGGTCTGTACATTCCACGGTTACCTCCTGGAGGAAGACAGGGTGTAGCTAAAGACAGCCTATACTAGACAGGGTGTAGCTAAAGACAGCTTACACTTGAGGTGTTTTTATTTCAACACTGTTTGATATTATTAGCCACGTACTGAAATTAGATATCACAAAATGTTTATTCTTCTAAACTCTGAAATTACAGATAATTTGTTAGTTATAATTTGGGTGTTTGAGAATTATTTGTACAACAATCATTGGAAGTCATTCATGTACATTATCTCGTCTACAATTATCAAAATATTTAAAATCCTACATAGTAAGAAAGTTTCAAATTACCATGATTGTTATAAGGAGGCCTGGGTTCACTGGACCTCATTCTCCCTCCATCATGAGGTGGTCTAATGGGTGGTGGCCCCCTACCAGGAACCCCTCGAGGAGGTCCCATTGGTCCAAGTGGTGGAGATGCAAACACTGAGCGGGGCAGTTCTTCTGCAACCACACAGCGCAAATGTCGGAAATAATCTACGGCTCCAAGATCACCTAGGGGAATTGGAAATGTTGGTTAAAACTTGAATGTGGACATGATCGTACATCGTGCAATTCCATAAACTTCAAATTAAGTTATTAAATAAATTTGATAAACCTCGATAAATCAAAATAATACATTTATCTATTTGATATAAACTAATTTACCATCGCAAATGTCGAGGAGTGAGAGGCCAGCTCTGCACTGTCCAAGTTTCAGCTGGAAGAGCTTCCCGTCAAAGAAGTTGCCAATGAAGCAGAAGCGTCGGTTGATGGGGTAGTTACAAGCGTCGTTAGCCAGAAGGAGAGTCTCAACTCCGCGCACGAAGATGTGCGCCAGCGTGCACCCACGTGATGTTAGACGGCCTGGTTAGAAGATATTATCAGGAGAACTAAAATATATGTATATTTTAATGGTATTTCATTAAATTTTACTCTTCCAAAATCAGTTACTGTAACAATCATGAATCATCATCAAATTTTAGAATGTCGTCATTACCCTAGATAGAAATGACATTAATTATCGGCGTGTACACACACTTAGGACTGAGTGACCTGTGACCTGTTAATTATCCACCAATTAACCTAATTATTGCTAAATTAAGTAGTAAATTACCTGGAGTAATTTTGTACAAGTGGCTAGGTCCAAAGTGAAGTTGAGGAGACAAGGCGGTTGCCAGGAAGGCGTCCAGTTCGTACTCCCGCAATACCTTGTTGCCAGTAGTAAGGATGTACCGCAGAACTATACATACCTGGGATGATCAGAGCGATAATTTGGTGGTGAGGTGATAATTTGATGATTTATTATTATTATAGGGTACATTTGAATGAGAATCTTGACCTTATATAATTTAATAAGAATTTAGAATGTGAAAGATACTCATAAACGGAAGAGATGGAAAAATGCATATATCCAACGACAATGACGAGACGGATTTAATTGAAAATAATATTAAGATGGAGCTAGAATTATGAGACCAGATGATAGCTCATAAAATTGTTCCCTCAGCTCTGATAACAAGCACGCAGACACTGGTGTTAAAACTAATGATTGAAATTGAACGCTCCGGATAAACATACCAGCAAGTATTCATTAGCAATAATGTTAGGACTAAAGAATGAAGGAATGTTGCTGTTCATGATGGCGAGCAGGGTACTGCGTCTCAGCTCTTGTATTTTAGCACTCATTCCTGAAGGAGAAAGTGAGATATATGCGTTAAATGAGAAGAAACGAGATTACGGATTGAATGAGTATTGTACTTAAATGTGGCTTGATTATCTAAAATAGGAGCCGATAATATTAGACTTATGACAATACTTTAAAGTAGACATATGAATAACAATTTCAGGTTTTGTATGCCACAGCATCGACAGTATTAAAAGGATTAAAACTCAAAATAGATTAAAAAAGTGACTTTGTGATTTTTAACGTACCGATCCACAGTCGGTCGATGTGGGGGGTAGGTTTTCTAGCGGGTTGTTTTGCATTGGGAGCGTGAACCGGCATTGCTGGAACCTCTTCCCCATCCACCAGATTCCTCTTAGAACCGTTAACTATAAACTCCTTGACGATCACTTGACGTTGTGTATCTATCTTGGTGCTGCGCTGCCGTTTAGCGTCAGATTTTACCCATCCGCGACCAACTCCGAAGACAAGACCGTAGATTCTCTGTCTTGCGGTCCTGAAAATACACACGCGGTAAATCTAGGTTTTAAAATAACATGGACATTGGACAAAAGCTTTAATTCTTTATCTTTCCTATGAATGAGCATATTTCCCAAATTTAGGATATTCAATGAAAATTAGCGTATTTAAACAAATTTTAAATTCTGGTCTACACAGAAGAACTTGTGGTCAACACAAGGAAATTTGCCCTGTAATCAAGCTAACCTGTACAAAAGAGCTGACGAGACCGTATCCTTATCCTTGTTATCCTCAAAAAGTGGCCCTAAAGACAGGGTGCCAGTGCACATAAGAGGGTACAGATGAGTGTTGAGCGTACCGCTCGCGTGCGCTGCCGCAGCGCTGCTCAGGACCTTGCTCGTTATAGCTGGTACAGTTACTGGAAGAGAAATTGATTATTAATGGCAATGATTTGACTTCTTATTCCACAAGTTGAGGTAGCATCTGGCTGACTTGTCGATTGTACGATCTAAACTAACCAGTACAATGAAATTTGTATAATTATGTCAGTACTGGAACGATTCAGTAGATTCTGTTTATGTAGTGAGAGCACCGTGTACTTTAAGATCGGTTTTACAATTGTACATCGTACAGATATTTAAATGAGCTCATTGCTTCATCGGAGTTTCACCAGAGCTCAGTTGAGTTTTAGTTTAAAGTTATAATTTTTTATTTAAGTTTAAGAAGTGCATCATTTCAGAGAGATATATCTAGTCCGCATAACCGTACCGGATGTAGAATGTAAAATACAATATAATTATAACAGCTTCCTAGTATTTTCCTCTATCTTTGCGAATGTCACTCGCGAATGTGTTTTTATTTTTTGATTCCCCAGTTTGCAGCCTCAGAACATGATATATTGATTAATTTTTGTGATTAGTCAAGGAAAACCGTGCTCGAAGGATTACATTACTTTAATCCTTGCACCCTGATCCGTGATGTTCTGTACTCAGGAACAAGTACTTAGAGTCAAACCTCAGTTTCAAAACGGTAGTAGCTCACTGATCTTGCCGCTCTTCGTCAGTCTCACATGCAAACATATCACTACATAACATGATGCAAGTATTCCTATTATCTACTGTTTTTAGTACGTTGATAATAACTCACCAGTTTGTCTGCGCTAACATCGCAGGATTTATAATTAGTGAATATCTGATGATTTACTAACTGGTCTAACTCTCTCACTACTGGTCTCCTCTCCACTCCAGTCCCAGGGCTTAGTTCCAGTCCCCGTCAGCTCCAGTCCCCCCGGCCCCACTCCAGTCCCCCTCAGCTCCAGTCCCCCTCAGCTCCAGTCCCCCTCAGCTCCAGTCCCCCTCAGCTCCAGTCCCCCCGGCCCCCACTCCAGTCCCCCTCAGCTCCAGTCCCCCTCAGCTCCAGTCCCCCCGGCCCCCACTCCAGTCCCCCTTAGTTCCAGTCCCCCTCAGCTCCAGTCCCCCCGGCCCCCACTCCAGTCCCCCTCAGCTCCAGTCCCCCCGGCCCCCACAGCTCCAGTCCCCCGGCCCCCACTCCAGTCCCCCTCAGCTCCAGTCCCCCCGGCCCCCACTCCAGTCCCCCTTAGTTCCAGTCCCCCTCAGCTCCAGTCCCCCCGGCCCCCACTCCAGTCCCCCTCAGCTCCAGTCCCCCCGGCCCCCACAGCTCCAGTCCCCCCGGCCCCCACTCCAGTCCCCCTCAGCTTCAGTCCCCCTCAGCTCCAGTCCCCCGGCCCCCACTCCAGTCCCCCTCAGCTCCAGTCCCCCCGGCCCCCACTCCAGTCCCCCTTAGTTCCAGTCCCCCTCAGCTCCAGTCCCCCCGGCCCCCACTCCAGTCCCCCTTAGTTCCAGTCCCCCTCAGCTCCAGTCCCCCCGGCCCCCACTCCAGTCCCCCTCAGCTCCAGTCCCCCCGGCCCCCACAGCTCCAGTCCCCCCGGCCCCCACTCCAGTCCCCCTCAGCACCAGTCCCCCCGGCCCCCACTCCAGTCCCCCTCAGCTTCAGTCCCCCCGGCCCCCACTCCAGTCCTCCTCACTCCAGTCCCCCTCAGCTCCAGTCCCCCCGGCCCCCACTCCAGTCCCCCTCAGCTCCAGTCCCCCCGGCCCCCACAGCTCCAGTCCCCCGGCCCCCACAGCTCCAGTCCCCCCGGCCCCCACTCCAGTCCCCCTCAGCACCAGTCCCCCCGGCCCCCACTCCAGTCCCCCTCAGCTCCAGTCCCCCCGGCCCCCACTCCAGTCCCCCTCAGCTCCAGTCCCCCTCAGCTCCAGTCCCCCCGGCCCCCACTCCAGTCCCCCTCAGCTTCAGTCCCCCTCAGCTCCAGTCCCCCCGGCCCCCACTCCAGTCCCCCTCAGCTCCAGTCCCCCCGGCCCCCACTCCAGTCCCCCTCAGCTCCAGTCCCCCTCAGCTCCAGTCCCCCCGGCCCCCACTCCAGTCCCCCTCAGCTTCAGTCCCCCTCAGCTCCAGTCCCCCGGCCCCCACTCCAGTCCCCCTCAGCTCCAGTCCCCCCGGCCCCCACTCCAGTCCCCCTCAGCTTCAGTCCCCCTCAGCTCCAGTCCCCCCGGCCCCCACTCCAGTCCCCCTCAGCTCCAGTCCCCCCGGCCCCCACTCCAGTCCCCCTCAGCTTCAGTCCCCCTCAGCTCCAGTCCCCCCGGCCCCCACTCCAGTCCCCCTCAGCTCCAGTCCCCCCGGCACCCACTCCAGTCCCCCTCAGCTCCAGTCCCCCCGGCCCCCACTCCAGTCCCCCTCAGCTTCAGTCCCCCTCAGCTCCAGTCCCCCCGGCCCCCACTCCAGTCCCCCTCAGCTCCAGTCCCCCCGGCACCCACTCCAGTCCCCCTCAGCTCCAGTCCCCCTCAGCTCCAGTCCCCCTCAGCTCCAGTCCCCCCGGCCCCCACTCCAGTCCTCCTCACTCCAGTCCCCCTCAGCTCCAGTCCCCCTCAGCTCCAGTCCCTCCGGCCCCCACTCCAGTCCCCCTCAGCTCCAGTCCCCCCGGCACCCACTCCAGTTCCCCTCAGCTCCAGTCCCCCTCAGCTCCAGTCCCCCTCAGTTCCAGTCCCCCCGGCACCCACTCCAGTCCCCCTCAGCTCCAGTCCCCCCCACCCCCAGTTGTTACTATTAAATCTTGCCAATTTATCTATAACACGATAGGGTCAGGGGTATAATTTGTGTAATAATACACTCCTACTATCGTTATAATACTAGTACTAAACCTCATGAAAAATAAGACAGAGTTTCAGTTCATTCATTCTATGTTATTATTGTGCTCCCGGTTTTGTTCTGATCAATTTAACGTTTCTAACAGCAACAAAACTAGTACACGACTGTATACATACATTTTATCATTTATTGGAAAACGTCCAATTCTAATTTTCAAAGTTGTTTCTTCTGAGTACTTGTTTCTGACTCAATCAGTCCAAATCTCACAATTTTAAGCAGAGTATTTGTGTTCTGTCAAGGTGCCAAAAGCCGTATATCTATTTCCATCCTTGGAACTTAACCGGAAACATAGTGTTCACCAACTGAAGCACTGTAAAATATCTCCACAATCCAATCCTTTAAATTAGAATAACCATCTTTACAATCGTGATACTTATTGCTAAGTATCTGATTAATTTAATACGGAATTTTGAATAATGCAGGTTACTAAACCTAATTTAGAAAAATTACCTATAACGTAAGTATAATATTAGCTGTTCTAATTTTAAAGTGTCGAGTAATGCTCTGACCTCCTGAACAATGACCAGAGTACTTATGAATAATTATGTAATAACTTAAACCAATAATATGGGACGTGATGGGTGACGTTAAATTAATTTCAATGACCGGGTACAAGTGAATAATGGATGATGGGTACAGGGCAGTCCTGAGCATGAGCTGTTATCAGTTTAGCTCATTAAATACCCATTGTGACCCGTTTTCTGGCTTCTTTAAAATTTAATTAACTTAATTAACCAAACCGTTACCCTGGGTTTTATCTAAAAAACTGTGCTTCTGAACTTGTTCAAGTTTAAGCCTCAAAAGCCATGGATCGGGAAAACATTTGTGATCATAATAGTGATTAAACGATCATTGAAATACAGCCTAACGTCGATTACTGTGTCTCCGCTAACCCGGACTCTCCCGATTATCTGTGTCTGTTTGTCTTCCCCAAGCACTAGTTTTAAGTATTAATTAATGTAAATCTTATTGATATTTACCGAATACCTCAAGTAACCGGACCCGGGATGTTTGCCTCCCCAGAGACCGGTGAGGTACGATTCTGATTCGTTATTAAACGTGTATGTGACAGTCCGTGACAGTCCAAGTTCCTTAGTCCAAGTGCCTAGTATACATCTGGGCCAGTGATCATTCCCTGTTAGCTTATTTAATTATAATATTATTAATTTATAACGAACGTTTTCTTTATTTTTCGTCAGATATTTGTACCTGATATCTTAACATTACGTTATTGACGTTTCACATGTTACAATCAAATCATATCTCGGCTGAACCACTTTGTTTATATTTTCACTCTGATGTTGTTGAACATACTGGTGAATAACATTGGTTATACTGTTAGCTTGTAGAGTGAACGCTGAGATTAGTAAACGTCCGATGAGGGCCGGCAGGTTGATTTTAATGTTTTGTAAAGCGTCATAGCTGGTTGCTTTGGTTTCCATGCATATTTTTGCATTTTATAACTTAGTGTAATATCCGGTCTCCGGATCGGAACATTATTTTTAAGTCGCATTGTTGTAACGTTTTTTGGGCAAAATTTGCAGTGTTCCCGTTTATTGTCACAATAAACGGGAACACTTAAAATATTGCCCAAGAAACATTGCATTGTCACTTAGTAATCGACCAATTTTAAATCTAACAATCATATTTTTTACGTTGTGTGTTTCCCTTCGTGTCCAAAAGCATTATAATCATATTTTTATATTGATACATTTATTATTTATCAACAAATTCGATTCAGTTTCAAACCGTCTCATAATTACATGTTATACGTTTTACAAGTCACAGTGAACGAAGCTGAAGTAATGACATAACTTGCTTCCTCCTCAGTCCTCACGAGCTTTAAATTCCACGCTTCTAAAACACTTCAGACCCCACTGCTTCCTAATGTTCTAGAGTTGTTGTGAGATGTATGCCGGCACGTTTGCTTGCTGAGCTTATATTGTTGCATATATTAGTTGTATTACTACTTACTAGCTGTCCTTGAAGATATTATATTTCTCTTGTTGTGGTAGCCATATCTTTTTTTCTAATATCTTATACCTATTGTTATCATATTATAGTCGCTGCCTTGTAAATGATTTTCATAATTTAATACTAACATACAAGTAAGTAAATGATAAAAACTATTTGTAAATGATGTGGGTTGAATTTTGCTTATTTGTCGGTTTAATTCCTAAATAAAACGGGGTTTTTTTAAAAAGACGTGTGTCGAGTAATGAAATGAAGACATTCAAGCAGCATGTTAGAGGTGTCCACATTGGAAGAGGGTGGGATGTGAGAGCTATGATTGTTTTATGCCCGCATTCACAAGGAGAGGCCGTTAGAGCACGTGTTATTTTGGTTTAGATTCTAGATCTTAAACTACAATTAAGGTCACAAATAATGAGCTGCAAATGATAACAGTGGCCAACTTACTCACCTCAACGCTTACATCAAGGAAATATAATATTCATTTTTATGGTACGTGGGTCGTAGTCACGAGGTAAAGTTAGTTGATAGATAACGTGACCATTTTTAGCCAGCGAGAAGGGCTCGATTTGATTTACCTGGGGACCCAGTCTTAGTTCTTTAAAAAGTGTTTTTTAAATTAGTCGGAGTGAGCGGCTGGCAAGCGTCTTCTTTGATATGAACACTCATCAAGTCATCAAATGCAATACTGAAATAATATATAAATTTATCCACGTGTATCGCCACGTTACAAAATTGCGTTACCCAGGCCCATTCGCAGTTTGGTTAGCTGTCATGTGGTAACCAGTGGTTACCACATGACTAACCACGAGGGTATCACGATGGTAGCAGCATTGCAGGACGCTCATTAGTCATTGGACAATGAACACTTCGTGACAGAAGTAATTACATTGTTTTGCCGATTTGACACAGGTAAAATTCACCAAATTTCAATTTTTTTGTCGGAAAATGTTCCCAAGACTGTTTTCTTGTGCCGTACTATAAGTATATTTTAGAACTCCTGACAAAATTCGTACCTTCGGCACTAGTTGGGTCAGGTGTTTTATAACTTCTACTCACGTTTGTAAAACCAATAATTTTCCATAGCTCACCACTTATTCCTTTCCATGGCCTAATCTCTTAACAACATTCTTTACTCTCTAAACTAAAGTTTCTGGAATTTAGAAGAGATAACGATAGCTTAAATAAATTACTATGCCAATTATGAAAATGCTGCTAATATCAAAAAATCTTACATTGTAGAAATTGTAATACATGGACATTCCGCTGGGTTATAATTATGTGCAAACGCTGCCGATGAACGGAAATGGCGGGCTGGACAACAATAGGGACTTGAGGAGGGTTATCCTTCCCCAGAACCACAGGATCATAATCCACGGAGCTCAATTTTATAGTCTGATAATTTAATCCAGCGGACGATTAAACAATTTCTCAAAGCTGATATTTCAATTCATCAATGCTATGATGCTATTTTGGTGCACATCGTTTATCTGTCCGGGCCTGTTTTAGCAGCCCGATCTGTCCAGGCCTGTTTTAGCAGCCCGATCTGTCCGGGCCTGTTTTAGCAGCCCCATCTGTCCGGGCCTGTTTTAGCAGCCCCATCTGTCCGGGCCTGTTTTAGCAGCCCCATCTGTCCGGGCCTGTTTTAGCAGCCCCATCTGTCCGGGCCTGGTTTAGCAGCCCCATCTGTTCGGGCCTGTTTTAGCAGCCCCATCTGTCCGAGTCTGTTTTAGCAGCCCCATCTGTCCGAGTCTGTTTTAGCAGCCCCATCTGTCCGGGCCTGTTTTAGCAGCCCTATCTGTCCGGGCCTGTTTTAGCAGCCCTATCTGTCCGGGCCTGTTTTAGCAGCCCCATCTGTCCGGGCCTGTTTTAGCAGCCCCATCTGTCCGAGTGTCCGGGCCTGTTTTAGCAGCCCCATCTGTCCGGGCCTGGTTTAGCAGCCCCATCTGTCCGAGTGTCCGGGCCTGTTTTAGCAGCCCCATCTGTCCGAGTGTCCGGGCCTGTTTTAGCAGCCCCATCTGTCCGGGCCTGGTTTAGCAGCCCCATCTGTCCGAGTGTCCGGGCCTGTTTTAGCAGCCCCATCTGTCCGGGCCTGTTTTAGCAGCCCCATCTGTCCGAGTCTGTTTTAGCAGCCCCATCTGTCCGAGTGTCCGGGCCTGTTTTAGCAGCCCCATCTGTCCGAGTGTCCGGGCCTGTTTTAGCAGCCCCATCTGTCCGGGCCTGGTTTAGCAGCCCCATCTGTCCGAGTGTCCGGGCCTGTTTTAGCAGCCCCATCTGTCCGGGCCTGTTTTAGCAGCCCCATCTGTCCGAGTCTGTTTTAGCAGCCCTATCTGTCCGGGCCTGTTTTAGCAGCCCTATCTGTCCGGGCCTGTTTTAGCAGCCCCATCTGTCCGGGCCTGTTTTAGCAGCCCCATCTGTCCGGGCCTGTTTTAGCAGTCCCATCTGTCCGAGTCTGTTTTAGCAGCCCGATCTGTCCGGGCCTGTTTTAGCAGCCCGATCTGTCCGGGCCTGTTTTAGCAGCCCTATCTGTCCGGGCCTGTTTTAGCAGCCCCATCTGTCCGGGCCTGTTTTAGCAGCCCCATCTGTCCGGGCCTGTTTTAGCAGCCCTATCTGTCCGGGCCTGGTTTAGCAGCCCGATCTGTCCGGGCCTGTTTTAGCAGCCCTATCTGTCCGGGCCTGGTTTAGCAGCCCCATCTGTCCGGGCCTGGTTTAGCAGCCCCATCTGTCCGAGTGTCCGGGCCTGTTTTAGCAGCCCCATCTGTCCGGGCCTGGTTTAGCAGCCCCATCTGTCCGGGCCTGTTTTAGCAGCCCCATCTGTCCGGGCCTGTTTTAGCAGCCCCATCTGTCCGAGTCTGTTTTAGCAGCCCTATCTGTCCGGGCCTGGTTTAGCAGCCCCATCTGTCCGAGCTTCCGAGTGTCCGGGCCTGTTTTAGCAGCCCCATCTGTCCGAGTCTGTTTTAGCAGCCCTATCTGTCCGAGTCTGTTTTAGCAGCCCCATCTGTCCGAGTGTCCGGGCCTGTTTTAGCAGCCCCATCTGTCCGGGCCTGGTTTAACAGCCCCATCTGTCCGAGTCTGTTTTAGCAGCCCCATCTGTCCGGGCCTGTTTTAGCAGCCCTATCTGTCCGGGCCTGTTTTAGCCCCATCACTCAGTGCAGACCAGAAAATAGAATAATTGCTTCAGTTTTGTGGTCAACTATTCGGATTTAAAACAGAGGAATGCTCTGACGCAGTTAACCTTAACTGCTGCAGTTTTGCCAAAGTATTGAACATTTAGCTTCCGTGTTTTGATAAGCCCACATCCAACCTGGTGGAGACGTTGATCTTTGCTCTTTTCTACAATTACAAATACGTATGTGATAAATCCTATTTGCTAGCAGACGATTTACGTTATAAATCTTGGACGATTTTAGTGCTTTTAAATTTTAGTGCAGACAGTTTAAATATAATATTGTGGCAGAATATTGAATATTGGTGGTAACTACACTTTGACAGTTTGACACTGCTCGTATAGCCAGTATTTTATTAGCACCACATCTTTAACTTTTATCAGCGTGGTACAAGTGCGGTAATGGTGATTGTGTTACCTTATCAAAAGCAGATAGCAGCCAATATCATCAGATTACATAAACAAAAAATGCTCAAATGCAGCATCGTTTCATTTTAGATTATATAATTGTTTTGTGCACTGGATACATACAGAGTCGAGTAAGATACTTACATATCTGTTCACTGCTAGAGTAATCAATATCAGTTTTTTGATGTCGTGTAGTTTGGTGTAACAACTCAATTTAGGTTCAAGTAGCAATTCAATTTAGGTTCAAGTCATGGAAATTTTGATAAGAAAGTTTAAAACATAAATATTTCACGCGACGTTAGTTCCTTCATGCAATCATGGAAACTTGAAACATTTGTTAAAAGCCCGTTTATTTTATTTCTTTGAAATTCGCTTGACTTTGGAAATACCCACTCCTAAAAATAAAGCTTTACGGCCGCTGGCAGCTTAACGATTTTGATCTTCCAGCCCTTGTTTTACTTAATCCAGCAATTGCTTAATTTTTCCCATAGGCTGACCTAAAAGATTCAATGAACTATTAATTTGCATGAAAAAGTTAAACATGAAGTCATTTACTGACACTGTGCAATACTATTACTATTGGAAACATTTTCGAATACATGTGTCTTAAGTTTCCTTTTGAATAACAGAATATCACAGCTTTTAATTGGTAGCAGGTTTCGAACAAAGGGTCCTCAGTTACTTAGGTGTCGATCAGTTCTACGAATATTTGGTATCTTTTATCTTTATTTTTAAATTCTAAGACCACTTCTAACGTTTAAATTGTACGTACACTACTATGCATAATGCATGTGCGCATCTTACATGACTTGGCGACTTGACAAGTCCCATATTAAAATCTGTTCACGTAAACAGATCAGAATTCTCCTAGGAACAAGATTACATATCGTCGTGGTTTTTTTAAAAGGGCGAATGTTTAAGAAGTTTCGAGATAATGGCCCCTAAAGGATAAAATTGGCCCTTTTATGTAACCCATTTTTTGAAACGTTTTAGGGCGAATGTGTGACATAGTATGTATAACATATTGTATAACATTCGGCTTTTTTGAATTCTCGAAAATAACATTCGCCCTTTGAAAGTTTGAAAATCTAAACTAAGCACGATAGAGCTTTTCGGGATGTTATAAGACCTATTTTTTAAGCCATACTGAAATTTGACATTCGCCCTTTTAAAAAACCACGACGATACATTATCACATTCCCCATTGACCATTCTTCACATGGATAGGAGGTTATTCCAAGCTGTTATCGTACTTGCTTTGGTTGATCATTCTTGTCACTATGCTAAGTTTAAGTGATTGCGCTTTTAAAAACTTTATGCGTTCAGATTTTATTAAATATTGATTTCTCCGGAGTCCGGACACATGATAAGACACTAGTTTTACTTTGATACTTAATGGATTTATAAAGGAGAACGTTTTGATGCTCCACAAATTCGTTCCATTTGCTGCTGTGGTTATCAACGAATCGAATGATCATTATCTGCAGCCTTTTTTTTACGGCAAGATACCTTAAACCGACTTTCTTATTCCGAAATTAAATATCAAATAATTTATATAAAATAAACTTCAGTAAAAGATTCAGACTTACTGAGTTTTTGAGGTAGCTCGTCATCCTTAGTACTATCTTCATTCGACATTTCTTCGTTTCCTTCGTTGTCTTCGCTAGTTTCTTCGCTAAATTCTTCTTTAACTTCGTCTTCTTCGGCAGTATTCTCTTCTTGTATCGCTTCTTCCTTGATCTCTTCTTCTTTGACATCGTCTTCCTTGACCTCTTCCTTGACCTCTTCCTTGACCACCTCTTCCTTCACCTCTTCTTTGATCTCTGCTTCTTTGATATCCTCTTCTTTGTTCTCTTCTACTTTGATATCTTCTTCTTTGACCTCATCTACTTTGACCTCATCTACTTTGATATCTTCTATTTTGATCTCCCCTTCCAGCACTACTGCTTCAGTTTTTTCGGTAACTCCATCATCAACGCTGAGGTATTTATAAATCACTATGCGAATGTTAACATGTAATAGTATGGTAATTAAATTGAAAACCTACAATATCAGACAAAAGTAAGCGATTGTTCAAAAAAGTTTTTAAACTCATACATTTTAGCTTCTCCGATCATTTCAGTAATCTCATCAACAGCGTTAATCTCCTCTTTTTCTTCTTCCTCCTCCTCCTCGTTGTCTTCTGCTTCGTCAACTTCTTCCGATACTTCATCAGTTGCTCCTTTCTCTTTCGGTTTCGTTTTTACTTTCTCTTTCTCTACTACAGATACTGTCACCACCTGTTGAATAAATACGGTATGAATTTTCTTTTTAACATTTCAACATTATATATTATGTACTTATCATTACATTGATTTATTTTCGAATTCAAATTTTTAGAGATTTCTGGGATAAATGGTGAGAATGAGGAAAGTCCAAAATATCTTATATCCGCGGGATAAACGTCGAATTGCGATTAAATGATCAAATTGAATGGTATTCCTCTGGTATGGCTAAAGTGGAGTTGTAGCGTTATTATCAGAATATCCACTACGTAGGGTAGTTAACAGTTTTAAAGGTTTTACTTGCCGAAATAACCGTTAAATTTATATGTTGAAAAATGTAAACTTTATGCATGCAATGCATAATATTTTTATTACATATTATATTACACGCAAGACATTCTGCTGCTTTACAATCAGTTCTAATTGTGGTTTTAATATGACTGGACAGGTAGCATAAGTGTAACTCAGGGGTCAACTTACAGATTCTATTAAAACTGGAACCGTCAGATGATCGGGTCAGATAAAACTTCGAATATGTCTAGATACTAATGTTACCTAGATTCTTGACGTCATGTCAAGTTAAATGTTTTAATTATCCCAAAGGTGATCGGTGATGCATGATATACGTGGTGGCAAGATAAAATGAGAAATATCGTGGTTCTGATTCATGGTTATGGAGAGCACGTTTTTAGAACTCAGTACCAAAAACTTACACAGGTGACTTTGATCACGTGACTTTAATACACGGAATTTATAATAATCACGTGACTTTAATAGACATAATTTATAATAATCACGTGACTTTAATACACGTAATTAAAAATATAATATCCGCGTGATCACTCCAAATGTGTGCAAGTTTTAAATTGAACCTAACAGAAAGAATTTTACATAAAGATTCAACTCTCGGTGTGAAGCCAACTCACCAAAATAATTATGTGACTAAACATGAATAGTCTTCTTACATTATTTTATATCGTGTAACCACCTAGTCTCTTAAGGGAGGATTCAGCCTGAAATTTTCGTGAAACTTGATTCTGACAAAAGTTTTGGCGCAAAAATCTTTTTTCTGGCTGCCAAATTTTTTTAGAAGGCCTAAATCAAAAATCCGGGGCAAAAGAAATCGCTGCTCTGAAACCCAGAAAATAATGTAACAGCCCACCCTCCCAGTACCTGACGGATCTAGGATGGGAGGTACGGAGACATGTGATCCAGGACCATTGGTCAGGTGACCCGGGGGACAACTCACATTCCTACTACTTCGATAATTTCAGTACCCTGATCCGGGATCTTGGAAATCAGGTACAGAATAGTTGTGCAGATTCTTACAATTCATTACACGAAAAGCTCATGAAGTCTAGGTAATTTCCCGCCATATCAGAGCCAACTAAATCTGACAACACTATACTTAAGTAATATTACTTATAGTTGATATAATATATACCATGTTAGGTATACTTTAATACTTTAATGCTGTCTCGTCAGGTGATGGACATCAAGGAGGAGTTTGGAGAGGAAGATATCAGAGTGATTATTGTTGGAAAGTCTCTAGGAGGTCTAATAACTGTGAGTACTGAGTATTCTTATACATTGTCACAGTGTTTTGACACCACTCAATCACATATTTAAGCATTGTCCACCACATCACATTCAGCTGACGACGATTAACACATGTTTATTGAAAGCTTCTACAAGTTAAATCATCGTATCTCTTATATGTTTTTAACCCAACTCCACTCAGTTCTAAGATATAATGGGTTTGTTCAGCAGACAGATAACATCTGAATTCTACCTAATATTCTGAATCGTTACTAAACAGCAACTGTCACCTAATGTCTGGAGAGAGATTGTCTAGACGGTAGACAATGATAATAGATATTGTGCATTATATAATTGTGATACGATCTGTTGGTTTTGTTCCACTGAGTCAAAGACACACACAGTACGATTATAAACACACTAAGACCATGTTGTCTCGAATCTAGGTCTAATAACATTGGTTGGTAAGAGTGTATAGCTGCCCCCATTGCACTGAAGTTGTAGGTGCTAAATGAACAATTAGGAGCTACCAACAAGTCAATCATAACAACCTTAAGGCTTAATTATATGTACCAAGATCTTAGTACAGACAAACATCTGCCCTCCAATTTAAAGTCCCCTCCAATTTAGCGCCCTAGATAAAGTAGTCCATACTCGTGGACCTTAACCTACGAGCTACGAGTGGGGAGTCTAGCCCCTAAAGTGGGCAGTCTATCCCCTAAAGCGTAAGCAAACCCTGCCTCTTCCCTGCACAATGGATCAAGATTAGTTTGCAAAAGAGATTTAACAAATATGTACGTATTTCAGATCAGGTTGCTAGAAGAGTTACCCCAGGAACTGGAGGGGGTAGTGTCAGGAGCAGTGGTAATAGCACCTTGTCTAGCTCTGGGAGCCAAGTATGACACTCCAGTAAAGAGGGCTCTTGCTTATCTTATGATTGACGTAAGCTTTTACAGATGTACGTGATTTCAGCCACATTTTAGTTTTTTTTTTTCTACAGAACCTGTCCCCAATCCGTATTGGAAAATGACCCGAATTAATACTTAGTTTGAATACGGGTGGTACCTGCAAGGGTCAAGTTAACACGTACACTGTTTGTCCTACTGATATCTGGATATTATCCGGTTGGAAGCGACAAGGACAAGTGAAACAAGGAAGTTAGGAGTAAGGGCAAATTTTCGGCGTCAACGCCATCTTCAGGCTAAAATTGTTATAAATGTTAGTATATAATAAATGCTTCTATACTAGTTAAAATGCTAAATTAAAATTACACACACTGAATACAGGTTACATCAAATGGTATTGTACATTACATTGAAAATAGTGATGTACACACGTTTTACACTCTGTCCAAGTACATAATATCTACTGAACAGCAGGGTCGTGTGCTATTTGTTTAAATTTGTCTTTGAATATGTTGTAAAAAAAAACTGTTTGTTCTGATTAACACAGTATTTGCGGTAATTACACTCTCATCAGAAGTAACAATGGAGGGTGTGACTTTCTAGTCTCCGGTCCCGTATAGTATGTACATACTCGGTTCCGTATTTATATCCCTGGTGTAACTTAGTATCGTGTATTTGTCCTAACTGTATAACTTAATGTTACTGCATAACGGAATAATGCTCCCGTATATATCCCTACTCAAACTTAATATCATGAAACAACGAATAGTGAATATTTGCGTGGTTTGATTTTACCGTACAAATTGTATGAGAATTATTTACTATTAAGTACAGTATTACAGTAACTGAAATCTGTATTCAATAATTTAACTTGAGTCTTTTGGCAGTATACTTAGCATTCAATAAGACCATTGTAATTTGTAGTAAGCTAGGCCATGGCAGTTATTTAGCTTGATCTAGATTGAGCCAAAACCAAACACGTGCCCATTAGGATTATTAGCAGTATGTTCGTGATGTCTGACATTTACTCAGTACACTCTTAGTGCTCTACACGGCAATCAAATTCAGAACATCTCAAGCATGTAAGTAGTTCTATAGAATCCCCTAGAACGAGTATCTGAGACCTTTAACAGATAACTTAAAGGACACAATATAGTCATCACTACCACACACACACGAGCAATTATTATATAATCGGGTAAATTTATAGATCCCATTGATCTTAAATGGTTCTAACTTATACCCTCTGGCTCTATAACGCCACTATTTCTAACAGTAACACTCCACCATAATATTACCCTATAGTACTGACACTCCTCGGCTCTTAACACCCCATCACAGTATCTAGGGTTTACGTGGTTCTACAGTCCCTTTGATGCGCTCATCCCTTCTGACGTCACCAAACAGACTGAACAGTTCGTGTCGGACCCACACATTCTGTCACGTGGTGCCTGGGCTGCAGTCGCTGTGACAACACGGAATGAAACCTTCCTTGCTCACGAGAGGAGAGGTAATATGGTTGAAGAAGTTTTAAAACTTAATGTGTCTAAACGTGGCTTAAGATATCGGGGCTGGAAGATTGCCAGAAAGACCTGGGCAAAACATCAAACATGTGCCCAAAACTATTGGCCATGTGCCCAAAACTATTGGTCATGTTCCAACTTTAGTCAGAGTAGCAGGCCACAATTACTGCTGAGTTATGAAGTTACATCGGCTTCATAACATGTCATTGGTAATCGAATATTCTCGGTAGATCCTCAAATAGTGGCACTAATACCCGAATCATATTCGCCAGATTGTTTGAGGAAAAAGCTCCTGATCTTGCACGGAACAGATGATAAAGTTTGTGAATGCAGCTCTTCGATAGACTTCACCGAACATACTTCAGAGTTTACAGAAATAGAGACGTACCCGGGTACCGCACACGATCTCCTGGACGAGGGCCAGCCGGTAAATAACCTGTTATTATTTAACTTATAAATAGCTAAACAGTAATTATTTACCACTTCCATATACATTGGTCATTCAATTTCTAATTTAAATCTCCAATGTCCAGCGACCAGCATGGTATTAATACTAGAATATAACAGTGTTTTCATTGCAGGTTTTAGGTCAAATGTACGATAGGATAGCACTATTTCTACAGACATTCAATCCTAATGAGATGTAAAGAAAGTTCAACAACATTGATTATAAAAACACATTTTACTTAATAAGATATCTTGCCTTAACAATTGTTGTTAAGAATTGAATTTCTGTGGACAGATTACATAGCTAGAACTGTACTTTTAAACATATTATACTAATACTTATCATGAGGCATTTTTAACAGTTAATTCAGTTCCGTGTACTATTATAATAATGTTTGTTTAGCATATTAAAGCGACTATTGTTAAGAGTTGATGCATCAGATATTCAGATTACTACTATTATGCGTGCGACGTTTTTAACATTTGATTGCTTCAATATATGTGTGAAATGATTTTATTGTATAAAATTAGAGTGAATTAGCATGAACTTTTTAAAGAGATAATATATCTATTACAGTTCAGATATTTAACTAAAATCATAGTTGCGGTTCACAAATATTATATGTGTATTATTCAAAACCGCATTACTGACAACTAAAGTGGTCGAGAAGGCCTCACATGACATTTCTATTAAGAAACATAAAATCTATAAAATTAGCAGCTAGAATTGTAAAACTTACAGTGGATGGTACAGGTTCAGTTTCATCAGGAATAGGCTGTGATTCTTTATACTGCTCCAAGCCAGAGAGGAATAGAGCTTCAATCTCTTCAGTGTTCTCACTTTCTGGCAATACCTGATAAATTTAGTTAAAGAACGTGTGTCGAGTATCAAGTTGTCAATCGATTCAATTTTAGAAAACATTTATAATACAGCGATATATAGATAATCTGTTATACATAAATAAATAAATTCCAACATTTATTACACGCTTCAGCATTAAAATATGCCCCACGAAGATGTACATTTAAGTCATTCAAGCGAGACTTAAAATGGTAATTATATAAAGATTGAAGATTATGTACTTATTATTATATTATTATGGATATGATAAATATAATTACCAATGATTTATTTTCATTCGAAATATCAGGGTTATCCTCATAACATATCAAGTACGAGAATTACGGGTTGAATTATGTATGTTTCGGATCAAAATGCTTGATAATGATATTTCAAAACGGGTCCAGACAGAGGATAAAACAATAAATAGTAAGAGTGTTTTAAGATAAAAGTATCGAACCTGTTTGATAATGGTGGAGACATTACAGGAGATGTCTGTCCTAATCTCAGGATCGAGCTCCTTTACGAAATCAATTACTGCGGACACCAGTTGTATTCCTTCTTTTTCATCTTTCTTTCTCTCTCCTTCTTCTTCTTCTGAATACACGCACCAGTAATTTACAATTTACATCTTACAATTTACATGATACACTTACAATATATTATGGTAAAAACAACATGATGTATTATGCACAACAACTTAGTAACTTAGCGTTATGTTTCTTAAGTGCGAACAGTGTATACAATTTTGACCATGACATCATCAAGTATACTTCAAAGCTGTACTGATGTCTTCATGTCTAAACCCCCCCCCCCCCCCCCCCGCTACTGTAAACTTCAATATCCGTACCTGAATCTTTAAGCAGTCGTCGGTGGAACTCTTCCAGCATTTCGTAGTTGATAACATCGTTACCCAAAAGACACGACAGCAGCGGAAACAGAGTCAGCGGTAAACTTAGACAATCAGATATTTTCTCACGGTCAATGATTACCGTGGATATGGTGTTCCCAGAAATCCTGACAAATGTAAGGGTTAAGTGTCTTAATACGCAGTTCTAGAGAGCCGTTACTGAAACTGAATACGCGACTTCAGTTATACAAAATGAGTTATACACGTAGCAAAGTTTATTAAATTTTATATGGTGTATAACTTGATGCTCATCAGAAGATGTAACATGAGTTCTGTGCGATGAAACAAATTAACTTTTCATAATAATGTACCTTCTTACACTTAATGTATGTATACAAGATCAGGGATCTTGAGTGAAAAAGTTTTCACTCCGCTTAGATTAACGTATAATCCAGAACGTTCTACTTAAAAATATTTAAAATAACAAAACCAATCGTATGCATATATTCATTAGAGTAAATAAATATGCAACATATGAGCATATATTTAACGTTATAGTGTAAGAGTATCACATACAAGATTTAATTATGTCCAGGTCCTTTATTTGCTCTGACCTGAGATGGTGAAGAGAGAGGTATCGGGGAGCGTTCATCATTATAAAGTCTGAATCGTTGGCCAGGATACCGTATGCGTTGTGCTTATGAGCATATTCTACCATGGCTTTGTCCGTAGAAAATGGAGTCGAGATGACTTTCACGTGGCAGTTCAATAAAACCTGGGTGTTAGGATAACCTTAGATCTTTTCCATACTGTATAGTAGTACAGAGAGGAGTAGTACAGAGGGGAGATGTACTGCTTGGACTAGAATCAGGAACAATGTAGTCCTTGGAATAACGTTAGAGTATATTGTCCTCATACATGGAAACTAAGGTTAAGATAGTTTACATACCATATAGGTATTCTCTGTAGTTACTCGTGGCTATTTTGGCTAAGCACCCCTTTCATAATTAGAGAAACGAACACAACTCTAAGTTTGTGAACAATGAGATTGATTGTGGACGAGACGGCCGATGCCACACCTGATTCGTATAGAAACATAACATTGTACATCGCAAACTGTACACCGACCTACCTGTCTGAAAACTTGTGGATGAGTCTCGTTTGGGAGGAAATGTTTACGGTCGGGAGCGTAGCCTCGCTGTCGAAGCCCCTGCATGACCATGTTAACAGTGTCTCTGTTCTGTGACTTCTTGCGGGCCCACTCTGCCCTCATGTCATCCTCTATCCCTCCAGTGAAGAACACAGCAAGTTCACAGTTTGCCTGAATAGGAAAAGTCAATTAGCTATAGTTCTAGTTAATTATGGATGATCAAGTTTAATAACGAGTATTGGTCTTGTAGACATTAGCACTATCCGGGGCAATTTGCAGTCGGCCGCTGCCAATTCCGGCAACATAAAGCAGGAATGAGGTTGTCCTGTTTTTTAATTTTTCTGCTCCTTGCAAGACTATTTTAATTAAATCAAGCCAATTTTTATGTAATACTTTGCCACATTCAGCGTAATGCCGCTGTTGGTAACTTCATGCTGAATGCAGCTGAGCAATCAGTTATAAATGAGACAAACCTGTTGGAAGGTATTGACAAAGCGACGGATTGAAGCCCTGAATTCTTGCCACTGTCCTCCACAGATGAAGTCCATGTGAGGACCGTACACCGAACGTAAACAACTCCATCCTTCAACGACAATAAGCCTTTTCTTCTTATCGGTATTCGCTGAAGAAAACAGGAAGAGTCAAAAGCGATATAATGCACACGGTAACAGTAATTCAAAGCATTAAACGAAAGTTGTTAGGTATGATAGAAACATGTTAACCGGGAAAAGTTTGGCCAGGCACCACACACGCCGTTCACAGGAAATATGCTCTGTAATTCATGCACTAATTCATCACGATCACAGTCACTCAAAACGGTAAGACGCACAATGAAACTCACTATTATTAAAAGCACAATCATACATCTAAATATCGATTCCACAATGTAGAACCCAGTCCACATATTGGGGTCGAAAACTGACCTGTGAGTTCGACAGGTATGAGACTATCTGGGCATTTAGCAAGAATATAACTTTGAAGACCACGGACGCCCATTTTTGAAGAAAAAGATAAAATATAATATGATATTGAGACTAAATTTTAAACTAGAAAATTAACCGATCATGGCAGACTACAATATGAGTACATCTCCTAAACTAGGATCGCCTGGGCAAAACAAACCGCTATTTTTGGAGCGCTCGATCCAATGTTAATATTTTATGGTACACAAGATTGAAGTGCGCGGCGTCGACTTTAACGTTTGGTAAGTCAGTCTTAGTATATAATATGAAGTAATAATAAATTATGATATTATTTTATATTATCACTTCAATTTTATTTCATTGTTTAAATTCAATGATTTAATTTCTAATTTTATGGCAACAAATTTGATATCCTCCCAAAAGTTTTACACATATAACAACAGTTTTATAAAATTATACCAAAACATATTTAATATCACAATAGCTATAATATATAATATAAAGCTTATAAAACTAATTTTAGTATTATATTGCTTGTTTAAAAATGTCATAAAGTTTAATTTTTAAATTTTTAAAAACTTTGATTAATTTTGCATTCAATTTAAATTCTATATTTAAAGTTTTATATATGTAAATATATATAGCAATAGATCATTTAATTTTGGTAACGCCGCGCGAAGCACAATTTCTCAAAACAACAAAACGTTTTTTTTTTCAATTCTATCAATCGAGCGCTGTAATATATATTGAATTATATTTTAATGAAGCTCTCAGTATTCGTTTGCGCTGATCCTAGCCGTACGGTATTTTCCTTCTTCGTTTTACTAATGATGAACTTTTGCGACCTTTAGTTATCTTTGCCAAGTTAAAAGCAACTTAATTTATTACAATTTTTCTGTATTCTTTATAGACATTAGACATAGTACCACAACGATTTGTATCCCGAAACGATTTACCGTTTTCGGTTATTTTAACAACAAATTCTGTGTATAATACACCGAGAAATTTATGACATGACTTATTCAGCATTTTATTTACATAATTATTATATAAGCATTTTTGGCTACGATTTGGCACAAAAACTGAAAACAAGATGATTTAATTTCAAGGAAACAACACATTTTAATTTTGTACCAATTTTTCATGGGGGCCTGAGTAAGAGTCCAAAACACATGTTCTAACATGGACTATCAATTTGGTGAGAACCTCGCGAATTATTCATAATTAAGGTCTTAAGGCTAACCCTGGCCCTGATTTCAAGCAAAGCTGAGAATGTTTTCATGATTTATTTACCTTTTCAATTTATAATTGCTTTGTAAACAATTATTACAGTTCACGATAGTGGACTTATAATGGTTCCTTAAACAGTCAAATCTTGTTTATTCATGCCTGCCCTAACTAGTCTGAGCACTTTCCAGCTTAAACATTCCCCGTTGCCATTGTTTTTATATAAGTTCATGTTTTTGTTGTTTTCTTGTTACGTAAGAAAAGATTGCACATACAAGATATATTCATAAGATCTATATTTTCAAGTTTCTTGTGAATGTTAGCTGTGAGGCTAGCTAGTAAGACTGCTTCCATTGTAAAAGTGCATCCTGTCCGCACTTATTGCTTTTATGAACCGTTAAATCTGATGCTACATACCAGCCCCCTATACTATCTTGTGCACTTCACATTAAATGCCTCATCTAAGGAGTTTGGCAGACAGCTGTGAATTAAGTGTGATAATGGATAACTTTGCGTGATTGCTACAATATAGCTGCTAAACTTTGATTTGTTGTTTTCTTGAATTTTTTTCTTGAAATGTGTTGTTTTCTTGATTGAATTGCCATAGATAAGTTTGATAGCTATGAATAGGTAAATGTCTTGTTAACGTATTATATAAAATGGAATATTCTTGTTATTATCGGTTAAACCATCAGCAATGAGAGTTCAAAAGTTATGAGGATCAGAAGATTTCATCTATAGCCATGCTACGAATCTGGGTCCTTGCCCAGGTATAGTAATATAAAGTACATATTATATATTATGTAAGCTATAACCGATATTAATCTTTCATTGTGTGAATATTTCTCTCCTATATGTATATCATATACAATAGAAATTCGACAACAAAGACTTTTCCTCATCCGATATAATAGACTTCAATAATTTTATGAGGATAAGAAAAGTATTTGTTTTGCTTTTGACAGCTCTAAAGCAAAATAATTATTCTGACGTATCCTAATTCTGACATTATTACAATTTCTATTTCAGTTTATTGCTGGACTACTGTCACTGCAGCTAAGCACCCTGGAACAGTTCCAGAATTCTATGAAATCCTTCAATGCAACTTCAGTTGGCAAATCAGCTGGTGGGCTTGATATCCCCCACGTGACAATATCAGATAATGGGTTATCTAAACCCAGTGTGGGTATCATATGCAATGTAGCTGGAAACAGACTATCGTCAGTTAATGTTTGCATGAGCTTTATAGATGCACTTTTAAATCAAAAAGACTCTGAATTAGCGCCATTGCTCAGCAAATATAATTTACATATAATCCCTAATTTGAACGTAGATGGTTCACAGAAAGCATTTATTGACATTAATAAAGGGACAACTAATGGGGATGGCATAGATCTGACAAGTGCATTTCCAAATTTACGGGACAATGTCGCAGTTGACAGTGCTAATGTACCTCCTGAAGTGAAATCAGTGATTAATTTCCTGGAGGAAGAGTACTTCCAGGCAGTGGTTGTGGTGGGTGCTTCAGCAACTGGTGTCACGTTCCCGCTCTATTATACTGAGGATGATCACGAGGGGATTATTGATGATGCAATTCATCGGGAGATTGCCAAAAAGGCATACGCTCAGAACCCCAACCTGGCATCATCAGGATGCAGTATGGGAGTAGGAGAAGGTCGATCACGTGACTATGGTATGCATAGTTCCGTGGCACGCCAGACAGCTGCAGAGTTTGAACATGCAGCTGGAACACTGGAAGATTACATTTACCTAAAACACGGATCATTGACTTTCCACCTTTGTGTATCTTGCTCGCTGAACGCTGACGATGATGTGTTTGATGAGAATAAAGGAGTTTTTAGAGAGTTGATCAACTCGGCTGATCGGGGGTTACATGGCAGAGTTGTTGCTCCTGATGGTACTGGACTGAAAGGTGCAATGGTTACCGCTAATGGTCACGTGGTTTTCTCTGGAGATGGAGGTTACTTCTGGAGCCCACTTGTTGCTGGGACTTACGATATAAAGATTTCTTACGGTTAGTTATTAACCAATGATAACTCTTCCTTTTAAATGGTAACAGTACTGAGTACATTATACACGTCATACATTATATATAGGGGGGGGTGTCACGTCCGTCTATGTCCGCTTGTCTCATAGAATCCAAAAAGGACAGGACATAGGCGGACATAGGCGGACATAGGCGGACATAGACGGACATAGAAGGACATAGGCGGACATAGAAGGACATAGGCGGACATAGAAGGACATAGGCGGACATTAATGGACACCTAAATTGCTAAATAAAATGTTCAATTTTTGCTGTTATAGGGGGATCATGTTTTTTGTCCGTTCGGTACCCTATATTTTCAAAACGGACAAAAATAGAGCGGACATAAACGGACAAAAATGGACAAAAACGGACAAAAATGGAAATAACATTTAGATGCTTCCTCCTCCTACTCTTCCTCCTCCTCCCCTTGGGTCTTCCTGATCTTCCTCAGTCCTCTTCCTTCTCCCCTCCTCAGTCCTCCTCCTACTCCTCCTCCTCGTCCACAGTCCTCCTCATCAGTCCTCAACAGTCCTTCTCCTCCCCAGTCCTCCTCCTCCTCCTGAGTCCTCCTCCTGGGTCCTCCTCGTGGGTCCTCCTCCTCCTCTTAATCCTCCTCCTCTTCCTCCTCAGTCCTCAGTCCTCCTCAATCCTCCTCCTCATCCTTCTCCTCAGTCCTCCATCTTCTTCCTCAGTCCTCCCCCAGTCCCCCTCCTCCTCCTCCTATTCAGTCCTCCTCCTCCTCCTCCTCCTTCTCAGTCCTCCTCAGTCCTCCTCCTCCTCCTGAGTCCTCCTCCTCCTCCTCCTCCTCTTCCCTCTCAGTCATCCTCCTCAGCCATCCTCCTCAGTCCTCCTCAGTCCTCCTCCTCAGTCCTCCTCCTCCTGGGTCCTCCTCCTCCTCTTCATCCTCCTCCTCTTCCTCCTCGGTCCTCAGTCCTCCTCCTCCTGGGTCCTCCTCCTCATCCTTCTCATCAGTCCTCCTCCTCCCCAGTCCTCTCCCAGTCCCCCTCCTTGTCCTCCTCCTATTCAGTCCTCCTCTTCCTCCTCCTCCTCAGTTCTCCTCAGTCCTCCTTCTCATTTCTCCTAAGTCCTCCTCCTGAGTCCTCCTCCTGAGTCCTCCTCCTCTTCCTTCTGAGTCCTCCTCCTGAGTCCTTCTCCTCCTCCCTCTCAGTCATCCTCCTCAGTCATCCCTTCCCTGTCTAGGTTGAGTTCCTCGAGCAACCAGACACTCTATGACAGCTCATTTGCTGTAAGAGGACCAAAACTGTGGAACAAAGTGCCTGATAATATTAAAGCTGAAGCTACGTTTGAGTCGTTTAAAGTTAGTTTGTCCAAGTTTATTGCTTTGATACCGGACAACCCTCCGACTTCCGGTTATAGCTGCAGCTGGTCTAATTCCCTGGTAGACTACTCGCCATCGAGGTGGTCAGAAATCTGATGACCCTTCCTGCTACGAGGATAAACACAACCAAAGTAACCAAAGTAATCCTCCTCAGCCATCCTCCCCAGCCATCCTCCTCAGCCATCCTCCTCAGTACTCCTCAGTCCTCCTCCTTCTCAGTCATCGTCAGTCCTCCTCCTCAGTCCTCCTCAGTCATCCTCCTCCTCCTGGGTCATCCTCCTCCTCCTCCTGGGTCCTCCTGGGTCTTCCTGATCCTCCCCAGTCCTCTTCCTCCTCCCCTCCTCAGTCCTCCTCCTACTCCTCCTCCTCGTCCTCAGTCCTCCTCATCAGTCCTCAACAGTTCTCCTCCTCCCCAGTCCTCCTCCTCCTCCTGGGGCATTTTCCTGGGTCCTCCTCCTGGGTCCTCCTCCTCCTGGGTCCTCCTCCTGGGTCCTCCTTCTCCTCCTCAGTCCTTCTCCTCCTCCTCCTCAGTCCTCTTCCTCCTCTTCCTCCTCCTCCTCCCTCTCAGTCATCCTCCTCAGCCATCCTCCTCAGCCATCCTCCTCAGTCCTCCTCCTTCTCAGTCCTCCTCAGTCCTCCTCAGTCCTCCTCCTGAGTCCTCCTCCTCCTCAGTCATCCTCCTCAGTTCTCCTCCTCCTCCTCCTAGGTCCTCCTTTTGGGTCCTCCTCCTCCTGGGTCTTCCTGATCCTTCTCCTCCCTCTCAGTCATCCTCCTCAGTCATCCTCCTCAGTCATCCTCCTCAGCCATCCTCCTCAGCCATCCTTCTCAGCCATCCTGATCCTCCTCAGTACTCTTCAGTACTCGTCAGTACTCTTCAGTCCTCAAAATTTTTGCCGCTAATGTCCACCAATGTCCGCTAATGTCCACCAATGTCCATCCAAGTCCGCCAATGTCCGTCCGGGTCCGCCAATGTCCGTCCGAGTCCGCCAATGTCCGTCCGAGTCCGCCAATGTCCGTCCGAGTCCGCCAATGTCCGTCCGTGTCCGCCAATGTCCCAAAAAACACGTCCGTTGTCTCATAGAATCCAAAAAGGACAGGACATAGACGGACATAGACGGACATGACACCCCCCCCTATATAATATGCAGTGCAGGACGATTACTGACCCTCCTTAAAAATATAATATGTATACATTTTCAGAACCTGGTGACCTCATAAAATCCTTGCTTGATTTATTGACAAATAGAAATAGAAATTATTATCATTTTACCATTTTTACAAGGCATGTCATTTTACTCAGCCAATTCTGTCAGACCAGCCAGCTACTCATTAGCTACTCATTACACTACCATTCAATAGTCATTAGCACCTGAGCTATTATTTTTGACGATTTTTGACGCACCCAATTTTATATTTTTCGTACTGTCAGAACTAATGCTGCAAATAATCTTGACTATGATATTGTTGCATCACACGTTATTTGCCACCTATCGTGAACCGATGCGACGATTACATGCCACATAAGCTCACTCACCGTCGCACCTGCTCTTACAGGGAGGAGTGTTTAATAATTTACCTGGGTCTACTTTCAACTAAATACATAACAGCCCGCCCCCTGTTGTGCAATATAAGCAGGTGCTGCGTATTATACGTGTAGCAGTTGTAATACTATTGGTTATCGTCACGTGATATCGGGCTGCTGCACGTGACATCACGTGACATCATTAGGAGGGTTTTATCTCAGTCAGTTGATTGGGTCTGACTGTTTAGCAAGACTCAGCTCTTCAGAATTCAAATGCTAAATGTGGAGGGTGGATTGTAGTGGTGTTATATAATATTGTTTCAAGCAATCCAATTTCATGATTGTTAACTCCAGTCCTTACCAGCTATTGTTTGATCTCAAGGAGGGATGGGTGAGATAAATGAGGCACAGAAACCCAGTCATTGTGAGTCAGCACTCACATCAACGTGATTAGTTAACTATGTAATTACCGTTCTCTGCTATCATATTGTTTGGGAAACAAAGTACCTACTGAGAATGGTTGCAAGATATTGCATATCATACTGCCTGCACCTAAAACAGCTCTATCATAATAGTTGAAATTCGCTAGCTTGAAACTCGTGTATAAGATTGGTAAGGTCAATTAAGGTTAGTTTATACGATTCATTGTCAAATTTAAATGATGGATATTTTATGATATTGGCTTTTAATGGTATACGTATTATAAGGAATAAGGATAAATAAAGCTACTGAGTTGCAAAGTAAAAGAGTTGGGTAATTATTTATTATCCCCATGGAATATCTGGCTATCTGAATAAGATGACATTTTGTTTATAATATCTAGCAGCTTATCAGTAGGAATGTGTGATACGAAGGAATTAGAAGGAACAATGTAATGAATAATGTAGAATGTAGATATATCTACATTATTGCTCCTCATTAAATCGCTGTGTCACTTGTGTAACTTTTAACTGCACTACAGATTTCAATCAGTTGTAGAGAATGGTATAATATACGAGTGGAGAGTATGAATATGAGAAGCCTTGTATCAAATCCTGCTGTACACACATCATCACTGAAGACTATCTATAGATTATTGTCTGTTGTTTACGTCACGAGTGTTCTATGATATGATATCTGCCCTGGTATCAGTTAGATATTATCAGGTTTCTTATTGGTCCACACTTCGCACAATCAGATAACGGGACCTCACCTGACTGTCAGCCAAATAGGCACGTGATACACATAATATAATGCATTATATTATATCAGCCATTGTAACATTATCAGGACTCATTGTATCAATACACCCAGAGATAATCACACATTCAGTAATATTCTACAAAGCTAAGGAATCGTACCTGACACACGTGCTTGTAAATTCTTTCCATAGCTAGAGATTATATAGTAAAAAATATGTGAAATATTCGAAATATGTGAATACTCCCCACCAGGCTCATACCCGGAAGTACAAGTACCCACACTGGCAGTAGAGGAGCGTACCCAACTACCTGACACTGTCATGGGAGATCTCTCTCCCGTAGCTACTGAACACGAGAACTTCGTGCAGATGAACGCGACTCTTCACAGTTTACATAAACAGTATCCTGCTATTACCAGCCTTTACAGGTATGTGTCACAGATTTTACAGGGGCCACATTTTACAGGGGTTTCTGTGTATATTTTACTGTGTCTGTCTTTTTTGTTTTCGTGTAGTCTTGTCAACTTCACTCCAGTGTCCAGTGTCCAGTATGTTTCATGAAATGTAATTTAATTTTTAAAGGAATTTATCGAGACATTTCAATATAATGTAATAGATCTTCACTTTACCTATATACTATAGCTATTTGAGGTATGAGTTAAACTGTGTGGCAAATATTGAAAACAGTAGTCGGGTAGTAGTTGAAAAAGTGGGTTTAATAATTTGGATCGATATCAAAATAGTGGTACTTGCACTCAAATTTAAATATCAAACTTTCTGCACTATGTACTGGAATGTTTGAAAAGAAAAAGCTTCAAAGTCGGAGAAACAAGGTATGTAACGTGATACAAAACGGATTATTGAGCGATGATAACTAAATAGTTGATTCCTGGGTTGCAGAGTTCTCCTGATTCCTCAGTCTTTCAATGTGGTTTTTGTTCTTGTTCAGTTCTGTCCATATTTCCTCGTGTTATGTTCAAAGTGTCATGTTGTCCTCAAATTATTTGTATACTAGTGTAACCCGTGCCTACGGCCGGGACTTTACTTTCGCAGTTGAAATGCAAAAGTATAAACCCGCCTATTATAATTCGAAAACATGCATTACATTTTCGTAGTTAAACCGGTGCGTCACTCAGTCCAAGCAGACCGCAATTTAATTCAGAGTGCCCCAGTGCAGGCCCCTCACATATTATCTAATATTATATCAGATTTGCAGATTACTTACACTCTTCTAATACCTCACTACTCATTAACGCTACTAACATTTAAATATCTACATTAGACCTAATTAACACAACTGCCGCTATCTGATGAGCTCCGTGTACTCCAGTTCCAACAACTTTACCTGTATAATTACCCTAGTTACACTACCCAGCACCCATCCTATACCATAGTAAAGTACATGTTGTTCATAGCTTACGGTATAAGGTTTACCAAAATCATTAGCATTGGTTACATCAGGTAAACGGTGTGTGTACTGTGTAGGATTCTGGGTTATTACATGCAGCTCCACATATTCTGAAATATTTAACTGGTATTCAAATTTACAGTAATTACTAAACACTGTGTAGTGACTAGTGAGTGTCTGATCGTAGGAATTTTAGTGATTTGCATAATCTTACAAATAACACTACACTCACTCACCTGTACAATTTACATTATATATGTGATAATTTGTATAGACGTGACTTTGTAATGACATTGCACCGCTTATGAATGAACAAATAGCCACGTATCAGATATTCAGTTAGCTAGCGGTTGACTTGTCTGAGTCAACAATTATAGTACACCTCATCATATATATATCATGTTATATAAAGTCACAACTAGAACTTTCTGTGCTGCAAATCATTCCATCTTTAAATAATAATTATAGATTTAGAGCGAGGTAGATAGTGAGGTAATGTCTCCTGGAGAGTTAAGAGGTTTGTGATCGAACAGTGTAGAGGTTTGTGATCGAACAGTGTAGACGTTTGTGATCGAACAGTTTAGGTCAAACTCTTTGTCCTAAGATTCATGTTCGAATGAAAGAACACATTATGTGGTTTTTGTTGTTCTTTTATACGGATCACTGCATGATCTGCTTAACATTTCATCAAAATTGGTGATACAATGAAACGACCAAATGCGGAACTGAACCAATCGAACTTACACTGTATGATCCGTATAAAGGATGAGAAGTACACTGTACTTCGCTGATGACAACCTATAATGTCGGGAATATTTTAATATCTTGATAATTTAATATTTCAATATTTCAGTATCGGAAAGAGTGTGGAGGGTAGAGATCTGTTGGTACTGGTGATAGGGAAATACCCTGATAAACACGTTCCGGGGATACCAGATTTCAAATATGTTGGTGAGTCATTTATCTGTCACGTGACGTGGACATTAATTAGACATGTTATGATTTTCATAAATTTGGGTAAAATTAGGATAAATATGTCTGTTCGCTGAGAAATCTATTTACTGTTACATTCTTACAACATAACGAAGCATCATTACATGGGCAAATCTATCAAGGCTGTCATTCCTTGCAAATTGAACAATGCAATATGACCTTATTGACTCAGAAAACATCCTTTTGCAGAGTTCATCATTAAAACTTGCGCCACCAATAAACAATTATGTAACCGTCGCCATACGTTATTAGAATATATTAGTCTGAAGGAGTGGGCTCTCAGGGTATAATCTCTGTAATATATAGTGTTGTAAAAGCCTTGGAGATTGTGTAATAACGACTGGTGTACAGACTACAGATTAACATTCACGAAATAGATAAAATAGATAAGAGAGTTATTTTTAGTAATTCTAAGCCGCCTGTGGCTTTAATTTAATCGATCAGGGCTGATCTCAAAAGTTAGGCACCAACAGAAATTTCTAGTTAACCCAAACAGGACAATTTTAATAAATGAAGCGTTATAAAACTGATGATCAACAAATGTTAAAACCTACTGTGTCCAGGTAACATGCACGGTAACGAGGTAGTAGGACGCTCTCTCCTCATCTCCCTCTCCAAACTCCTCTGTAAGAACTACAACACAGACCCTCGTATAACACGCCTCCTCTCTACCACTAGGATCCACATCCTGCCCTCCATGAACCCTGATGGGTTCGAGGCTGCTGTGCCGGTCAGAGATAGTTACAATACCAACGGGAGAGCTAACGCTCACTTTGAGGATCTCAACAGGTACCAAGCTTATCTATTTTTAGAATATTTATCAGGCTTTTTTTATGGTTTATATATAATATGGATCTCCTTGAAGAATGTGCACATAACATCAACAAAATGTGTTCAACACTAAATATTTTCAATTATAAACTTTTGCAATGTGACAAGCAGAATTATCATCGACATTATAATAGATATTGATAGATACTGTAGAGTTTTTATTAGATTTTTGAGCCCTGAAACGTCCACAGGAACTTCCCGGATCAGTTCCACCAATCTGAAGAGAAAGTTCGAGAACCGGAAACAATAGCTGTCATGAAATGGCTGACAGATCACCGCTTCGTGCTCTCTGCCAACCTGCACGGTGGCTCCCTGGTGGCTAACTATCCATTCGACGACACTGTCTCGGGGGTCTCCAACGGAGTGTACTCTCAGTGTCCGGACGACACCTTCTTCAAGCACGTCAGCAAAGTATACGCGGACAATCACGCCACAATGCACAAGGGAGAAGCGTGCAATCTGGACGGGACTGTACAGTTTCCGGGTGGGATAACCAACGGGAATGCGTGGTATCCGGTAACGGGTGGTATGCAGGATTACAACTATGTGTTTCATGATTGTTTGGAGATCACGTTGGAGCTGGGCTGCTCTAAGTACCCTGATGGACAGTTCCTCCCTGACTTCTGGAGTGATAATAGGTGAGCGTCTTCAGAGTCAGCCGCTGAAGTTATAGTATTAGCTTATTTATTATAAAATCAGAACTGGTCTAAGACTTTAATCAAACTACTCAAATAAGGGTTCCATGCCAACAACACATAACTCACCATTAAAATCACCAGAGTTTCCTTACTGGAATATATAGACGCAGTCCACGACAGTGTAGCTGGTTTTGTTAAAACACCCGACGGAGCCCTAGTCCCTGACGCTGTGATCCACGTTAGAGAGAACTCTAAAACTATAAAATCCGGTCCTGACGGTGATTACTGGAGGTTACTGGTGCCTGGGGTACACGAGATGTGGGCTGAGAAGGATGGTTTGCGGAGTAAGACAGTGGAGGTGACAGTGTCGGAGATGTATCAGGTGGTTTATAACTTTACTCTGTACGGTGAAGAGGCTCAGTGGAATGAGACGGAGCATTATGTTTATGAGCCACCGGAGAGGCAGGGATGTTGCTGCAGTTGAGATTCCGGTAAATATACCTTCATTTTACTGGTAAATATACCTTCATTTTACTGGTAAATATACCTTCATTTTATTTGTAAACATACCTTCATTTTACTGGTAAATATACCTTCATTTTATTTGTAAATATACCTTCATTTTATTTGTAAATATACCTTCATTTTACTGGTAAATATACCTTTATTTTGTTGAATTGATGTCCAAAATACTGTGCCATCCGCAATGTCCTGGCCGTAAATGTAAAAGATATATAATATTTCAATAGATTTTTTTTATAGGTACCCGGTACCGCCTATACAATTACAGAATATATTTCGTAGCTCACAAACCAAAAGCAGTATAATCGACTTGAAGTTATAATAGATATTACATTTTGAGTAATTACAGAGAATATTATAGGTGGTATTTTGGCCCATGTTAACTTAACTTATAATATCCCAGGTGAGGGTGCATGAGAAGATAGTGATAGTCTCTGAAACTGACAGGAAGGACGGTGTTAAAATAACTTTTGTTAAGAACGGAGCACCGGAAGAGACCAGCATTGGGGAGACTATCACCTGCTTCATCAACGGAGAATTGATCTTACAATCGGAGGGTAATACTGTTGCTCTGCCCATCAAAGAACTGTCCACAATCGAGTTTCATGGTGCCAGCTACTACCGAGCAACCAAGTATCTCGACGATTCAGAAATGTCTGTAAAAGTCACCCTGTTTCCGCTGCCAACCTCTCTTGGCTACCACTCACAGCTGGAAATGCTCGAGGTTTTCCAGAACGTTCAGACAGACTGCCCTAAAATGTCCTCGGTGTACAATATCGGGATGTCCCACGAAAAGAGGGAGCTACAAGTGCTGAGAATGAGTGCTGGAGATACTACAACTGGGAATGTTAACAGTGGCAAACAGAGGATTAAGCTGGTGGGAGGTAGATAAGTTATAATATTATATAATATTACTAGTGTAACCCGGCCTTCGGCCGGGATTTCACTGCCGCAGTTAAAAAGGGTAGGAGTAATTACCCGCTGAGTCAAAGCCCGCATTAGGCGAGCAATTCTATTTGGAGTTCCCTCACGTATCCAATAGTATCTGTACCACGACTATTACACCTCATCACTCCCGTCTTAAACCGATTCAAATCGTTTTAGAAATTAACCCTTATTAACTCCGCACCACACCCGCCTTATATTTGAAAACATGCATTACATTGTCGTATGAAAGTAAACAAACAGACCGCAATGAGTGGCCCCCCCCCCCCCCTCCTAATAAGCTGATAGTATTACACGCATAAACATTGTCGTATGAAAGTATGAACTGTCTGTACAGTTTAAACAGACCGCAATCAGTGCCCTATTCTCCTAATATCACTTGCGGAGCTAACCTAATTACCAAAGCTACAATCTACAGTGCAGTAATAGAAAAGAGAGCGAATAGGAAGAGAAAGTGAGCCATTTTAGTGGCTCACTCCATAATGTTGCATTAATAGTACAAAACCATCAATTAAGCCACTTACCGCTGGCCGATTTAAAAAAAAATTGTATATGGGCTTCGTCAGAGTTTTGTCGACACTATACCGAAAAAACCAGTCCCGTAACTCTTACCATTTTCTTTGTATAACCGTTCGGAAATTACACACGAACGATCAGACACACACACACACATTCTGGTGTTATTAAGTTGATAATATTATGTATAATGTATATATAGATATATTACATTATATATATATATATAATTATAACGAATATAATCCGTATTAGCTTGCAAATCGAACAAAATTTCTAACTTTTTGTAAGATCCGACATGCTTGTTTAGCTTTATCCTGGCTTCTTTTCACGAACAGCGGAAAAGCGCGTGTAATACGTTAATTACAGTGCTTAACTCTCCTGGGAATAACAGTTTTCTAATTTCCAGGTATACACGGTAACGAGGCTGTAGGACGGGAATGTCTGATAAACCTGGTACAGTATTTCTGTGCAGCATACGGACACGACGACCTCATAACCAAGCTCCTCGACACCTTGGACATTCACATTCTACCCGCCATGAACCCTGACGGTTTTGCCCAGGCAGAACACGATCAGTGGACTAAAGGCCGCGCAAACGCTCAAGACTTCGACCTCAACCGAAATTTCCCTGATAGAATCGCCGACAGAAAATACCCGTTACAACCCGAAACTTCAGCAATTATGAAATGGTCCAGAGAAAAGAAATTCACCACAAGTATTTCCCTGCATGGTGGGTCCCTGGTGGCCTGTTACCCTTACGACAACTCTGACACCGGAGCTAGAGTCTATGCTGGGTCTCCTGATGACAACACGTTTGTCTACTTAGCTTCTTCGTACGCTAAAGCTCATCCTACCATGTACAAAGGAGAGAGAATCTGCGATGATGACAGGTCAGTGTCTTATATTTTAAAACTTGAACTTAGCTTGGATTTAGGGGAATCAATGTAATAACACAGGGTTACAGTTTTGAAATCTTCAGTTTTATCATCGTTAGCTGTTATGCATTTTTAATGACAGCCCTTACACTTAATTTTTTTTATTTTTATAAGACTCTTCAGAAGTCGGTCAGCAGGTTTATTTTCAGTTCAAACTATTCTCATTCAATGTTAAAGATGACAGAAATAAGAAATATCTATATGGAAATTTTTAAGAAAATTGCATAAAATACGCGAAATTTAGTAAAAAACACAGTATTCGCCATATTTTACAGAATATTGCATTAAGTCAAAGGTGCTATTAATATATTCTTATTAATATTGCTATTAATATATTCTTCTGCTGTTCGCATGCTGGTCAGTAGTCACGTGGTTAGTAGCGTAACGTTGTATCTTTGTATGTTGATGCCCTCTGCGCCGGGTCAGCAGGGCCCATTGTTACACCACTGCATAATCAGGTGTTCACAAAAGGCTATAAAAGTATCGCTATAATATAGTAATAGTGCAAGTGGGGAGATTTCTATTTTGAATCATACTGTTATATTTCCTGTTGTTCTCTGGGCTGGCAAAGTTGGGTTTTGCAGAAAATAATTTCGTCGTCGGTAATTTCATTCAATAAAATTTTGTATCAAAAATAATATTTATTTAAGTCTATTATTCTTAATTCTTTGCAGACATGTCAACCGCACTTTTAGCCATATTCCTCTTGAAAGTGATTGCAGCGCAAGATTGGAGAAACACTCCTTCAGGAGTTTCTCTCAAGCCGTATTTGTCCCCGCCAATTCCTTCCCCGCCAATCCCTAATCCTTCTCAGCCACCCAATAATGAAGAGCCGGATGTAAGTGAATGCTTTAGGACTGATCACGTGAAACATCCCACTAAAGGTCTTCTAAACTCCTTCAGTACGTCAGGGGCACTGCAATGCTGGCTGTATTGCAAATACACCTTCAAATGCCAAAGTCTTTCGTTTGAAATTGTGACTAGCACTTGTTCCTTATTCAACGACGATACCATGAGCGAAGTTAAGAAAGGCTTTTCTGTCATAATTTATAGGTACTGCATGGAATTTTCGAAGATGGAATCTTTGGGAGCTAGTATACAAGACATAATACGTCTCAGCCAATCCAGGGTAGGGTTTCTGATTGAACAAGCAACGTCTCAGATAACTTGTCTGACCAAGGGCAAATCCCTAAAAACTAGGCCAGAAGATGGTATTATTAGCTACCGTTTGATGTGGGTACCTTGCACGGAGGGAAGCAAATGGGTTCTCAAAGATGTAAAACGTCGAGAGTTTAAGGTGGAGGGAGACGATCTTTACCAGCTCTCTCCAGCAGACGAGTTGGACCTTTGTCTAGATGTTCTTCAGGACGGAATAAGGATGGCAATTTTATCAACATGTCGAAACATTTTAGACAAAGAAGAAGATCCGCAGTTAATTTTCGTGAGATCTGAACGGTCAATACCAGAAAAGGACTTGTACTCGATATTCTCCAAGTTTGGAGGTAAGTATAGTTCAGACACAATTTACACCGGAAGAGACGCAAACACTTTAGCCAAATCACTTTACGGATTATCGTTTAGAGAGCCCTCTTTCTACCAACAGGAAGGACAGTCATCCTGTCCTCTGTCCCAGTTCTCTACCCCACACGGAGTTATAAGAAACAAAGAAAAGGTCCCCTTCGTTCTTCCAGGATACCAAGTAGAGATACATTGCGACCAGGGTTACGGAGTGAAAAACCGTAATTACACATCAATGCAAACTTTAGTTTGTTCCGAGGACGCGAAACCTCGACCCTGCTCACGGATAATCTCAACGAAGTCAGTTCGAGTCAGAAACAAAGAAAACGGAAAAGAGGATTTGTACTGTCATTTGTTCCTAACAGTGGGGATTGTCAGCACAATAATTGCGGTGATGCTACTGGTGATGTTGTTGAAGACAAGGATGCAGCTGAAAAAGACGGAAAATGAACAAATTGGGGAGGTAGAAGGAAGGCAGGTGAGGAATATAACAGTGGACTCGAGATTGGATCTCTGAGTGCACTACCGATTTAGAGAAAACTATTCCGACTTGATGAACGGACTGCGATTGATCTGGATGATAAAAGGGGTATCTTGAACTACAGAAAGAAAGGAACGTATTGTCAAGATATCACATCGAGTCTGGTTCTTCAATGTCCCATACACGGTGAACTTCTGTACAGAACTAAAATACTAGACAAGGCTTTTTCTGGATTGTCTTGCAGACTTTTCACCGCTGGTTTTATTTGCTTGGATGAGTTTAAGTAATCCAGAATCTGATTGCGCTATTTCATTTTTTGTTAAGCTGAGATTTAAAGCATCATCAACGACCCATGATTTTTTTGTTTTGTTTTTTTAATGATATAATGATTATAAATGTAAGTTTAAAAACAGCACTTTAATTGAAGTACTCATAAGATCTCTATGTTTTCTACATTCATTCTTCAAACACATGATTAGTGTAACAAATAACATGAAAAGGACACTGCATTTCAATAATTACTGTTGGCAATGTTTTAGCGTTGTTAATTAACAATTTGATCACGTAACTCTGTAGTTCGTCGCTCATCTTTGTAACCCTTGTAAAGCTTTAATTCACATTGCATTCGTAACTCTTGTAAAGTTTTATCTTATACCTCATATTGATAATAATAGTAATAATCTTTGTGAACATTCCCAAAATTGTACTCCAGCACAACCACACTGACACCACTTTCCATGACCCCCTATCTTTGACACCACGCTATGAAACACCCTGTGAGCTCCAAGACCAGCGGAGAACATCTCTCCCTCGCTCGGTTCCTTGACACCACCTACCGTTTTAACGAGATCTGAGAGAAGTTCTCAATAGAATAAATATTGTCCGCACACTGATCCAAACATCAAATCGTTTACCAATCATCTCTTCTACTTCAACAATCTCTTCTACAACTATCATGGGAAACTCAATCTTGAAACCTACCAACCTCCTCTGCGCATTCTCCTCCTCTGAGAAGCGTGAGTTCAAGTCCAAGTACCAGCTCGGTAAGTGTATCGGCTCTGGATCCTACGGACAGATCATAGAAGCTACTCAGACCTCCACCTTCCGTACTGTTGCAGTAAAATACCTCAAGAAGAAGAACGTTGAGAGCATGTTGAAGATGCAGAAGCAGAATCTTCCAGCTGAAGCTGTCTTCCTGAGCTCCCTGGATCACCGCAACATCATCTCCTTGATAGACCTGTACGAGTTCCCCAACAAGTTCGCTTTAATCATGGAGAGACCTCTTGCTTCCCTCGATATCCATGACTTTATCGAGAAGTACGGACCACAGAATGATTCAGTAGCTTCCTACATTGAACATCAGCTCCTCTCAGTGTGCCAATACTTGGACAACAACCTAATCTTCCACCGCGACATCAAATCAGAGAATATCCTCGTCAACGCCTACGACTACAACATCAAGCTGATAGACTTCGGATCTGCCACATACGCTAACCAGGATATTTACTACGGAAACTTCGGAACTCCCGCCTTCTCTCCGCCTGAGTGGATATCAGACTCCGGTTATAAACCTGAGCCTACTACTGTCTGGTCCTGTGGAGTGGTCCTGTTCGAGATCCTCACTGCTACTCTCCCTTTCTACGACGAGGAACATGTCATGAGAGCTACTCTCTTCTTCCCTGATCTGGTCTCCCACTCTGGTAGAGATCTCATCAGGAAGATGCTGAAGAGAGATGAAAATGATAGGATCTGCTTTGAGGAGGCACTGAATCATCCCTTTATCACTGTTTCTGGAGATTGTGGAGAGAATGAACGTATCCTGGACGACTCTACCTACTCTAAATGTTCAGCTTACACACTCTACGAGAACATTAACTGTGATTCAGAGCTGCCCCTGAGTTTGATTTAATATTGTTTATGCTTTGTGAATTATTTAAATATATTTGATACATTTTTTACACATTACATGTTAGTCTATCTGCGAATCAAAACATAATATAATTACTATTTTATAAACAACAACAATTTTATAAGTCATCAGTTACAAGTTAGATCATTAACAGTCTCAATCATATCAGCATATTTCAAGCACTCAATTTGGGTGCACTCTGACTAAAACATCGAATTAAAATGACATTTGGTACGCTCGCCCATTTTCACTGGTCAGTCTGAACTTAAGTTTAGCACGTTGTACACTTATTCACTTTTAGAATATTTTCAGTTTAGCAGAGTTAGTATCCTCTATCAATTAGAAGGCTATATCCTCTATCAATTGGGGGGGGTCCAACCCGATGTCCGATATGAGGGTTGATGAGGCCAAAATCGGAATCGGAAAAATCGGAAAAATCGGAAAAATTGGAAAATTGAGAAATTTACAGAATCGATCTCTAAAACCTCTCAGAAGTGATATAATTCAACCAGAACCCCTACATATGCTATATTGTTATGAGAAAACGAACCAATTGGACATTCCAATAGTATGTTTTATGTGTTTTTCCACTGCAGGGGCTAGTATGCTCACTACTAGTTGAAGTTGTCATGTACTCCCAGACCCAGGTGCTTTGGCCTCTTGACGTGAGATCGATTGTTTCTGCTCATTAATTTTATCCCTGTTACTTGTTATTATGTATTAGTACAACACTAGGTACCGGGTTATATTTTGTCATTTTGTGGTCCCGTCTTTAAACATACCATAATATCACTAGTACACTGCACCTTAAATGTATAGTCAAGTACATTTGTATCGTAACACATGCTTGGCTGGGGGATCATGTTTTGTGTCCGTTCGGTACCCTATATGTTAAAAACGGACAAAAAGTAGGGCGGACAAAAACAGACAAAAACAGACAAAAACAGACAAAACATTTAGATGTCCTCCTCCTCCTCCCTAGTCTTCCTCCTCCTTCTCATCAGTCCTCCTCCTCCTCCTAAGTCTTCCTCCTCCTCCTGAGTCCTTCTCCTCCTGAGTCCTCTTCAGTCCTCTTCATGACTCCTCGTCCTCCTCCTCCTCCTCACCCTCCTCCTCAGTCCCCTCCTCCTCCTCAGTCCTACTCCCAGTCCTCCTCCTTCTCCTTCTCCTCCTCCTCCTCCTCCTCCTCCACCTCCTCCTTTCTCCTCCTCATCCTCCTCGTTCTCCTCCCCATCAGCCCTCCTCAGTCCTCCTCATAGTCGTCCTCCTCCTCCTGACTCCTCCTCCTCAGTCATCCTCCTCTTCTTCCTTAGTCCTCCTCCTCTTTCTCCTCCTCATCAGTCCTCATCTTCTGTCCTCCTCATAATCGTCCTCGTCCTCATCCTCTTTCTCACCCTCCTCCTCAGTCCCCTCTGAGTCCTACTCATAGTCGTCCTCCTCCTCCTGACTCCTCCTCCTTCTCCTCTTTCTTCTCCTCCTAATCAGTCCTCCTGCTCAGTCGTCGTCCTCCTCGTCCTTAGTCCTCGTCCTCGTCAGTCTTCCTCCTCAGTCCTCCTCAGTCCTCCTCCTCATCATCCTCCGCCTCCTCAGTCTCCTCCTCCTCATCCTCCTCCTCAGTCCTCCTCAGTCCTCCTCCTCATCATCCTAATCCTAAGTCCTCCTCCTTCTCCTCCTCATCAGTCCTCATCCTCAGTCCTCCACTAGTCGTCCTCGTCCTCGTCATTAGTCCTCCTCCTCCTCCTCTTCCTCCTCCTGAGTCCTCCTCCTCTTCCTCCTCCTGAGTCCTCCTTTGGAGTCCTCTTTCTCCTCCTCATCATCAGTCCTCCTCCTCTTCCTCAGTTCTCCTCCTGAGTTCTCCTCCTGAGTCCTCCTCCTCCTCCTGAATCCTCCTCCTGAGTCATCCTCCTCCTCCTCCTCCTCCTCCTCATTCTCCTCCTTATCCTCCTCCTCCGCAGTCCTCCTCCTCCTTCTCCTCTTCCTTCTCATCTTAATCAGTCCTCTTCCTTAGCCCTCGTTATCATCCTCCTAGTCCTCATCCTTAGTCCTCGTCCTCATCCTCCTCAGTCTTCCTCCTCAGTCTTCCTCCTCCTTCTCCTCATCAGTCCTCCTCCTCCTCAGCCTCATCCTCCTCATCCTCCTCCTTAGTCCTCCTCAGTCCCCAGTCCTCTTCCTACTCGTCAGTCCTCCTCAGCCTCCTCCTCCTCCTCCTCCTCCTTAGTCCTCCTCAGTCCCCAGTCCTCTTCCTACTCGTCAGTCCTCCTCATCCTCCTCCTCCTCCTCAGTCCTTCTCCTCCTCGTCAGTCCTCCTCCTCCTCCTCAGTCCTTCTCGGTCCTTCTCGTCCTCGTCAGTCCTCCCCAGTCCTCCTCCTCTTCAGTTTTCCTCCTTCTCCTCCTCCTCCTCAGTCCTCCTCTTCTTCAGTCCTCATCCTCCTCCTCATCAGTTTACACAATTTATTGTTACTAAAATGTTTTTAAACGCATGTGAGTCTGTAACATATTGACATGTTACTGTTACTGACTCAAAATGTGCTGTAGAATTTTTTTGTTTAACATAGTTTTACTCTCCAGTACTATGGAAAAGTTGTTACATGATAAATAAAGATTTTGATAAATAAAGTGATTTTCATCCCTTTTAATGTTATTAAAAATTGTGTAAACTATTCTTTGTATCTAAGAGATAACTGTGCTACCCATTTCTGCAGATAGCCTGTTACAAATTGTGGAGACAATTTAAATCAAAAGTTACTAAGGGGGGGAACCAACGGGCATTAATGGCAGTATTTTAAAATTTTGCTCAGACTGCCACTGCCATTAATGCCCATTAATGCCCATTAATGCCCATTAATGCACATTAATGCCCATATTTAATAGAAAAATCGAAACCATGAGAAACGTGCTTTCTCGACAGTAGTAGTTCTCTATCTCAGATGGCAGTCTAATACACAGACCACATGAGCACCAGCTTTCAATCGGTACTAGAGCACTGAGGCGAGATCCTTCCGGGATGTATGATCCTTCTTCGTCTGTATCAGTATCGCATGATCCATAGCCTTGCTGGCTAAGCTCGGGTGGGCGACAATTGACCCCCCGACAATTGACCCTAACCCTGACCCTAACCCTAACCCTAACCCTAAGTCCTAACCCTAACCCTAACCCTAACCCTAACCCTAACCCTAACCCTAACCCTAACCCTAACCCAGGACCCAGGACCCTAACCCAGGACCCTTACCCTAGGACCCAGGACCCTGACCCAGGACCCTGACCGTACCCTGACCCAGGACCCTGACCCTGACCCTGACCCTGACCCAGGACCCTGACCCTGACCCTGACCCTGACCCTGACCCTGACCCTGACCCTGACCCTGACCCTGACCCTGACCCTGACCCTGACCCTGACCCTGACCCTGACCCTGACCTCTATCCTGACCCTGACCCTAACCCTAACCCTAACCCTAACCCTAACCCTAACCCTAACCCTAACCCTAACCCTGACCCTGACCTTAACCCAGGACCCTGACCGTACCCAGGACCCTGACCTAGGATCCTGAACTAGGACCCTGACCTAGGACCCTGACCCTGACCCTGACCCTAACCCTTACCCTAAGCCTAACCCTGACCCTAACCCTAACCCAGGACCCAGGACCCAGGACCCTAACCCAGGACCCTGACCCTAGGACCCAGGACCCTGACCCAGGACCCTGACCGTACCCTGACCCAGGACCCTGACCAAGGACCCTGACCCTGACCCTGACCCTGACCCTGACCCTGACCGTACCCAGGACCCTGACCGTACCCAGGACCCTGACCCTGACCCTGACCCAGGACCCTGACCCTGACCCTGACCCAGGACCCTGACCCTGACCCTGACCCTGACCCTGACCCTGACCCTGACCCTGACCCTGACCCTGACCCTGACCTTTATCCTGCCCCTGACCCTAACCCTAACCCTGACCCTGACCTTTATCCTGACCCTGACCCTAACCCTAACCCTAACCCTAACCCTAACCCTAACCCTAACCCTAACCCTAACCCTAACCCTAACCCTAACCCTAGCCCAGGACCCTGACTGTACCCAGGACCCTGACCTAGGATCCTGAACTAGGACCCTGGCCTAGGACCCTGACCCTGACCCTGACCCTGACCCTGACCCTGACCCTGACCCTGACCCTGACCCTGACCATGACCCTGACCCTGACCCTGACCCTGACCCTGACCCTGACCCTGACCCTAACCCTAACCTAGGACCCTGACCCTTACCCTAACCCTAACCCTGACCCTAACCCTAACCCTGACCCAGGACCCTGACCCTAGGACCCAGGACCTTGACCCAGGACCCTGACCGTACCCTGACCCAGGACCCTGACCCTGACCCAGGACCCTGACCCTGACCCTGACCCTGACCCTGACCCTGACCTTTATCCTGACCCTGACCCTGACCCTGACCCTGACCCAGGACCCTAACCCTAACCCTAACCCTAACCCTAACCCTAACCCTAACCCTAACCCTAACCCTAACCCTGACCTTGACCCTGACCCTGACCCTGACCCTGACCCTAACCCAGGACCCTGACCGTACCCAGGACCCTGACCCAGGACCCTGACCTAGGATCCTGACCTAGGACCCTGACCTAGGACCCTGACCTAGGACCCTGACCTAGGACCCTGACCTAGGACCCTGACCCTAACTCGATCAATTGACCCCAGTGTAATTACATGGGGGGTCAATTGTCGGGGGTCAATTGTCGGGGGGTCAATTGTCGGGGGGTCAATTGTCGTACTAAGCCCTAGATTTCGCGACAATTGACCCCAGTGTAATTACATAGGGGGTCAATTGTCGGGGGGTCAATTGTCGTACTAAACCCTAGATTTCGCGACAATTGACCCCAGTGTAATTACATAAGGGGTCAATTGTCGGGGGGTCAATTGTCGCGGTACCCTAAGCTCTTGGTCACCTGGAGAGGGGGCAACCTAATTTATGTCAGAAACAACAGAAACAACCTTATTATAGCTGTAGGAGCAGTGTTATTTTAACCAAGCAAGGTGGGGATCAGCAGGTGTGACATCACAAGCTCGGTAGGGAGCATAATTAGATCTCCCAATATCTCGGGATAGGAAGCAGATAAAAAGGTCCGGTTTTGACTAATCTTAGTTATATGTTACATAACAACAATATATTAAAATATAAGGGTGGGTTATTTTTGGGCGTCATGAACCTTTAATAAGGTCTGTAGACAGGATATTTATTGTAGGTATGAAATAGACGTGACCTGAAAGTTTCAAAAGCGAATAAAAAAGTATGGGCATTAATGGCAGTATTTTAAAATTTTGCACAGACTGCCACTGCCATTAATGCCCATTAATGCCCATTAATGCCCATTAATGCCCGTTGGTTCCCCCCCCCCCCCCGTTACTAAAGCGTTCGCTATTTGTTACGATTGTTATTACCAACCGTACCTCTTTCAATTGTGGACCGGGGTGGATGTTTCTGTCAAACAAGAGTTGATACGACAGTGTGTTTTTTTTTCGGACGAAACGATTCTTGTTAGGAACAAGAAACTATTTTGGGGTTCTGGGACCACCACCAATCGATTTCTTGTCATATTTAAGTACAGAAATAGCTACCTATATCGCCTAGAAACCTCAGAGGGAAGATTTAAATTTTCCCGATTTTTCCGATATGAGGGTTGATGAGGCCAAAATCGGGATCGGAATGATCGGATTGGATCGGGTTGGACCCCCCCCCCCCCCCCCCCCATCAATTAGAATTTTGAATATCTTTTGAATATCTTGTGAAGATGGGAGGCAACGTAACCAAAATTAAATTTGATATAAAATAAGACACCTAGATAATTGACATAAATTACGCAAAAGATAAGTGCTATGAATTAAGATCAATCTACAATCCACACAACATTATGATCATAATATAAATGGTCCCAAGTCCAACGATTAGTCTAGTTTAAAGACATAACAATTTATTAACCGCAGGTTTGTTGGTGGTATAAGTAACGGAGCACACTGGTACTCCCTTAACGGCGGAATGCAGGACTGGAACTACCTCCAATGCCAAACCATGGAGATCACTATAGAAATGGGATGCAACAAGTATCCCATGGAGAACGAACTTTTACAAAAGTACTACAACCATTACATTCCACTGATTGAGCATGTCAAGAACTCTCGACAAGGATTCTGGGGTAAAGTAACAGATTCCTCCGGATCTGTAGTAAACAATGTAGTTTTGGTAGCTCCTGATATTGGTATAAATATAACTGCTCGAGCGGACGGACAATACTGGCGTGTAGCAGCTCCCGGGAACTACGAGGTAACGTTCTCTGCTAACGGATACCAGTCACATGTACATCACGTGAAAGTAGATCCAGTTAACTGGGCGGCTCTGCCTGATCCCTTGAATGTGATGTTGTTGATGACAAATGACGAGGTGACCAATCATGTGGACACGCTAGATCTAGAGTCCAGAACGGAGATGTTGACACGGCGGTATCTTGTTGTTGGAGCTGTTCTTGTGGTGGTGTTGGCTGGGTGCATGTTGTTGGGACTGTGGCGCAGGAAGAAGAAGAGGGAGGAGGAGAAGAAGAGGAAGGATATTGAGTACAGGGGACTGATTGAAGAGGGTTCTGATAGTGAGTGAGTTTAGATTTTGTAATTTTTAAGTTAACAATCAATCACCCAAATCAAGATTTTAGATTCTTGATTTTTGAACTCCAATTCTCATGCTCCATAATACTTGCTCAGGTTATTTGACACATTAAAATGACACCTATAATGTATATACTAAACAGATATGACAGATTCACCATGTACAGTGCAGAGTTGAAATATTGGCTCAAGTTTTTCAGATCAGATTCTATTTAATTGAAATATGCTATTTACTTTTAATGGTACTCGGGTTGAATTTAAACGATTTTGATTTCTGTATATTTTAGAAATGGTTCAGATTTAATAATTATCGATTTTGAGATAGATGATTGATCATCAAAGTTTGAAGTTAACGATTTTATGCTATTTGTATCTTTGATTTATGTCGGTCCTTGATAAAAATGATCGTTTAACATGCCAAGCATGTAACAAGGTATTTCATAGAATACAATGCAAGCTTTTCAAGAGAGCGGAAAAACAAGTATTATATAATGAGGATAGAGCATATCCTGTAAAATTGCTGAATTTGAGCGCTAGCTTGACCAGTACAAGTAATTCAATTGTGTAAAAAAGTACAGTCCTTCTATGTAAATGTATTATTTTTTCAGTGCAATGATGTATGGCTAAGGGCAAATCTTTCGTGTATACTAGTGTAGGAAAATTTACACGGAGCAGCCTGTGTTTTTGTTATTGTTATCATTTCATCGACGTGTAATATGGTGTGTATTGTGTTAAAACTCTTAAGAAATTATAATATGATTTGTGTTTGAAGCTGAAATATTATGCCAATCACAGTACCCTGGAAGCTGTATTTTGTTGAAATTTGAATGATTCCTGTTTGCTGTCGAAAATAAAACTTTAAGCAAATCATTTTAAAAGGTTCTCTCATTTCTAATTTTACCAGAATCCTGCTCAACATTATGTTATTGTCCCACGAAGAATATGGATAAGAATATAAATCTGATAATTATAGACGTTTATTTAAAGAATAAAAACGAAAATGCTACTTTCGTGTAGAGGAGGTATTCTAGAAAAATTTTAAGCGAAATTGTAAAAATGTCCCCCAAATGTCCCCCAAAATTGTAAATGGTGTCCCCCAAATCGGATCAAAAATAGCGAAAAAGTTAGGTGCGTTATATTGTTAGGAGAAGACTGTCCGAAGAAGGCCTTGTTTTGTGAACAGAGACTATCTGTAGAAGGCCTAGTTCACACAGAGACATGTCAAATGGTAACAAACTTATTAATCGGGAAATATTTGTTTTGATAAATTAATACGTGTGTCCTGCAAACCTGATATAACAGCTGAAATCAAATGATTACACATATCGATCGAAAGGTAACATTTAATGAACAGGTAACAATTATTGTACTATCAGGGTGCTGATTACTTATAGTGCAAAAAAAATAACAGTGTACGTAGCTCAAATTTTACAGTAACGCGCCAAGACAAAAATGTGATATCATAACACCGCGCAGTTTAATTAATTAAATTACGTACGTACGTATATAGGAATAAAATTGACGTGCGCGCATATAATCATTAGCTAATTATATTATTAATTATTTGATTGACGATTTCAATCCATCAAAATCGTTGCTCTGTGATCGCAAAGATGCCATTTCACATATATTTCCATGTCAATGTCATAGCATATAGTTAACGGGTGATACTCGTAAAATATCTGTTCCGTATATTCAATATTGGACCGTCCAACTGCCAACTCGGCGCGCGTCCTGGTAGGTTGTAAACCTACAAAGCATATAGTGGCATGGGAAGGCCTTGGAGGACTGCTTCGCAGAGCAACGATCTCGATGGGTTGACATCGTCAATCAAGGGAAGGCCAGGGAACAAAATTGCCAGAAGTCAATTACGTGTGGCGACCCCTGACCAATAAAAATGGATAATTCGTTTTTTGAGCTCAAGTCTTGCAGCTGATCAAATATTTTAGAGTATTTAATTTTGAGCCAAATAAGTTCAGTTCAGAAAATGGAAAATAATCTTTCCTTTGCGGATAATAAACAAAATTATGTTTGTATTCTTAGTCTATTGACAGACTGTTAAAAATTTATTTGGCCGCGCTCAGCCTGTCTTGTGTCTGCTGTCATTCCGCCGAATCTCTATTTATATTCCTAATTTCATATTTTATGTTTATGAACATGATAGCTTGAGGTCCCCAGCTAATAAAAAAATTTGTACGCTATGCACTACTGGGCCGCGCCGCGCATTTTCTCGCAACCGGATGCAGATCGGCAAAATGCGAAGGATTGACATTGTGAATCAAGTAAAAAATTAATATTTAATTTGTACATCATGTTTGGACTTTGGTCACGAAAACTGAAATTACGAGCTTCTGTAATTTACTTGTCATATGTTGTATGACCTTGTCATACGTTGTATGACCCGCCGCGCACGAAGTGCGCGGCTCCCCCTCACAGGGGGAGCTGAAACCAGGTTTTCGATCAAACGCTGCCATGTGTAGTCAAACGTCGCCAAAAGTTGCTCTCGTCCAATGAAATCGCTGCATTTTGCAAGGCAAGCTCCGCATATGAATATATGTAATTCAATTATGCATACTGACTTGCAAAATGCAGCGATTTCATTGGACGAGAGCAACTGTTGGCGACGTTTGACTACAAATGGCAGCATTTGATCGAAATCCTGGTTTCAGCCCCCCCTGTGCCCTGTAGCGTCGAAGACGCTACAGTGAAACGACCGTGGGGGTCACCACGTGATACAAGTATGACCCGCAGCGGCTCCCCCTGTATCGTCAGGACCATAGTAAAACGACCGTGGGTGTCGCAACGTCAAACGTGATACAATAATTTACAATAAATTTAGAAAACGTCGCCGCTTCGCGTGCCACCCGAATCGGCACTGCTATGCTTGTTTCGAAGCAAGCATTTAGTGATCTGCACCTTATGGTGCAAAATCGCGATCGTTGCAACCACGTACTATGTAAATTGCAAAGCAACGATTTGGGAAGGTTTTAAGTGTTAACTTGATTGACGATGTCGAGCCTTCCAGATCGTTGTTTTGCGAAGCAGAGCAATGATCTGGTCAAGCAAAGCGAGGCGTCAGTATCAGGCGAAGTCAAAATACTTCGATGCGAATGGCGAAGCAAGAATGATAATTCGCGCGGCGCGCCAATTAATATATTGTATATAATATAAGTCCTAACCAGTAACCAAGGTTTTAACGGGTGATACGTACTTGTAAACATTTGTTCCAAATACAAGTAGCGAAGTCAATTTCAACATTTGTGTCCTGTGATCTGCTTCGCGGCGGATTCCCGAATATCGAATCCGATCCCGATACCCGGGATTGGATTTTTTGTAAGTTTATAATCTACTATACCAAAACGGTTATTGTTGCAAATTTTACAATATTCGATGAATTGACTGCAATATATAATTTAACAAATCAAATTAAAAGTTGGGTCATGGCATAAACATAATGTTATTGACAAAATGAGACCTAAAGATGAACACCATTTGTTTTCGGAAATCCCGATTTTCGAGAAATCCCCGATTTTCGGGAACCCCGGGATTTTTGTCGGGATTCCCGAATTCTGGGATTGAATATTTTGATAGGGATTGACTTCACTAAATACAAAACTGTCGACAAGTCAAACTCGGTGCACGCCTTGAAAGGTTATAAACCTATATATAAGAAGGGTTGGAAACCGTAATATATGAATAAATTTACTAACCTGAACACAAACATGCACATTGCACATGCTCATGTACAAATTTCCAAATAGGGTTTCGATTTTTCTGGGTATAAAGTTCTTCGACACCAATGTTCCACTGTATTGAAATGATATATATCAATACAGTGGAACATAGAGTTGTTTAACCGCGGCGCGGCCATGGGTGTGTGGCCTAGCTTTGGCTGCACACCTATGACTGCGCTGTTGCTGGTGGACAGGCGCAGTTTTTGTTGTGCAGTAGTGTTACAAGAGAATAAAACCAACTTATTATGTACTAAATGGAATCAAGAATATTATTGACTATATTTGATAACGATGAATTGTAAATTTCGATCAATTTATATTTTTCGGTCTCCAATTATTGAACTGCGGAAGCTGGTTGCCTCAACAATGTTGACTATGCATGGTATGACTGAATTGTAAACACGTGATAATTGAACGAAAAATAAATGATGAACATGATTCAAAAACTGTAAACCACCAAATGAATTATCGCTTAAATTTAAATAAGTATTTAAACAAAAACCATCATGTGCCGTTAAGCAGCAGGGCGCGGCTCATCTGGGCCACAGCAAATCGGCGAAAATGGGTTCGAAAAAGCCACTATTGGCACTCGAGTCCTTGATCTTTCCGATGGTTCACTGGGGCTTTTGAGCTGCCGTCCTTCAGCTTCTGTAAACTGAAATTACTACCAATCCAAGTTGAGGCAATCAGCCGACGCGCAGCTTTTATGGTTATATATGATATGTTTAATCTGTAATAAAGATCAAAATTCAAATTTGTTTCTCTAAAAAAAAAAAAAATTGTTTCTCTATAATGGCCATGTAATGTTAGATCATTGATAAAGCTACAGTGATACACTTTCAGCCATTTTTTGCAGTAATCTTCCATCGCAATACTGGAGAGATCTAGTTAGAGAAACAAATTTTAGAGAAACAAATTTGAATTTTGATCTTTATTACAGATTAAACATATCATATATAACCATAAAAGCCGCGCGTCAGCTGGTTGCCTCAACTTGGATTAGTAGTAATTTCAGTTGACAGAAGCTGAAGGACGGCAGCTCAAAAGGCCCAGTGAACCATCGGAAAGATCAAGGACTCGAGTGCCAATAGTGGCTTTTTCGAACCCATTTTCGCCGATTTGCTGTGGCCCAGATGAGCCGCACCCTGCTGCTTAACGGCACATGATGGTTTTTGTTTAGATACTTATTTAAATTTAAGCGATAATTCAGTTGGTGGTTTACAGTTTTTAAATCATGTTCATCATTTATTTTTCGTTTAATTATCACGTGTTGACAATAATTCAGTCATGCCATGCATAGTCAACATTGTTGAGGCAACCAGCTTCCGCAGTTCAATAATTGGAGACCGAATAAATATAAATTGATCGAAATTTACTGTTAAAATAAGGCCTACAGGGATTATCTGCTTGATACATTAGAATCATAAAATTCATCTATTAGACTAATTGTTGACCGTTGAATCGATTAAATTAACGTGGTTTGTAAATGGGCCATTGTTAGCCCCAAGCGTTTTGGTCCTTCATTCCTGCCACTCAGCATTGCCTACTGTAAAGTAGAAATTTTTCTAAGACAAAAGAGAAACTGACCCTGTCTCACTAAATTCCCCTAAATTCAACCACTTACCATAATAAAAATGCTAACAACCAAATAAAGTTTTTTAAATAAAGAATATTTCCTCAAGTTTACGTCTAGCTAACTAATTAGTGGTTTAAGCTCTTATTGCCCACGTTAAGGGGCCTGTTAATAATTTATTAAATTATTAGCTATTTTAGATTTAATAATAATCTTATTCTATTTATGATTAAAGGAATGTAAAATAAAACTTTTCGTTTCATTGAAAAACTTTTCGTTTCATTAAATGTGGTCTCTAGTGATTAGAAGTCAATTGTCATGGTCAAATTGGTCACAACGACAAAATTGCTAAAATAGGCCAAATATTCGTATCTAGCCAGGAGGGGATGCAGTTTTTGTTTGCACAAAATGTTAAGTTGTATGTTGTAATGTTACAAAAATTGTCTTTATACATTGTCTATATTGTCTATATATACATGGAAATATGATATTTTAACATCTCACATTCAGATTCCAAATATGAATATACATCACACAAGCAATAAGTTTAATTTATTTGAGCCTGAGATTCATTTGAATGACAAGTTAAAGCTATTGCGCAATGTACTGGAAGCTTTTCCACAGGTTTGATGATCAATTTTCAAACCACTTGAGTTTTTGTCATAGTCATTCTCGATTATAAACAGATAGTGTAGAACTTAACTGGGTCCAAGGAAATAGTAGATGGCAAGTTATTTGCAGTTTAAAAAATCATTTATCATTTCAGGAAATTTATGAAGATGACACAGAATTGTACCTACAATCACTGATGAAACTCGTAGCATATGCTAAAATATTTAGCCGTGATGACCCTTTGCCACTTGCTGTTGCTCATCTTGCACGTAATATTAACATTTCTAGATTATTAGTTTTATTATCACGTCTGTTTATTTTCAAGAGATAATAGTGTGAAGAAACGGAATCTTATATCAAAAACAACTTTCAATCATGGCCTCTTTTTATTTCATCTGATCGTAATTGAAATAAGCAATAAACTTCACTGTTGTATTTATAATTTTCTGGATTTTCGTTTTATTATTTTAAACTCTTAATTTATCACAGTGGGTTTAGTTTACATAGTAAAAAAGAGCTACTGGAAACAGGGGGAGCATCATGCATCAGAAGCCATTGTTCACGCCGAAAACATGCTCACAAGCAAGGAGCAGATAAATACACTGGTGAGCAAGTTGTGTGTTATGTACACAGTTTGTGCATATTGTACTGAATAATGTTGTCATCAGAAGAATTCTTTGAAATTCATCAGAGAATGTTCATAATTGTATCAATCATAATATGTTTTTGTTGCATCCATTTGTGCCACTAACATTCCACAAATTTGGATGGAGATATAGTGTCCGCTGCGCCCATCGTTTAAAGACATGGACACATGAATTCTCATTTAAACTGATGATCATTTTATTTTCCGCTTTTTTTCAAATCTAATTTTCGCAGATAGAAAGTTATTATGTGATGGGATATTGCCGATTAAAACTGGGAAAGACTGGCGAAGCTTTAGAGGCAGCAACTGCTGCAAGAAACTGTATAGAAGAGCTTGGATTCCTCAATAATAAACCAAGTCAGTATTTTTATATAAAGGGTATAAAAGATATTGTTAACGTCAAACATTTGGTGTGAATTGTGAAAACGATACTTACTACTCCATACCATCAAACTATTTAAACAACTTTGGTATACGAATCTCGGAACAAAAAATATTTTTGAAAATAATTCAGCATTTTATTATCAGGCAACCCAAATCTAGAATACAAGGTGGCTGTTCTCGCTGCCTGGTGTTCGCCCTCTCGACTGCAACTTTTCCTGGAATCCCTGGAATGTGTCGGTCCTCCAGATAAGAACGCATACATTCATCTTATGATTGCCCAGTATTACAGAGACAACAAAAACATAAGTGATGCACTGAAGTCAGCAAAACAGGGCTTAGAGGCTGCTAATCAATTTGAAGATATAGCTATGCAAGCAGATGCGTCTAGGTGAGATGTTATTGATACTGTAATTTCCTGGCCACTCATTTTCCTGATTTCATGAAAAATGGATAATCTTTTCGCAAATTTCGTTCAGTTCTAACATGAGGGTTACCTATTCAAATAAACTCAATGTTTCCTCATTCACAAGACTGTACTTGAACCCTAAACACAGGTACCTCGCGGAATGCTACATGGAGTCTCCTGGACACGGATGTGTGGATGAAGGGCTACTTCTCCTACGCAAGACGATAGCACTCTATACCACCCACTTCAGTGGGCTGGATACTTCCACTTTGTCTACCAATGACTTGCTCATCAATGCTCTGCTCAAACAGGTTCTAGATATTACATATTGAGATGAGAAACTATTTGAAGCTGCTTATACATATCATGATGTAGCTTACTTTTTGTTTTTTAGATCATGATTTTTATCGTGCAGCTTAGATTTGGACAGATTTCTGGAAACATAAAAATGATACAACAGTTTGTCTTAAAAGCTTTCGATAACATGACGTTTTAATCGTCAGCTGGTTACATTTACTTCTGTGTCATGTTAGGAGTCCTATAATTATAAACAGAATTTAACAATTCTGATTAGGAAATGTATGACGAGGCACTGGAGGAACTGAAAGCAATCAAAGAAGCTAAAATTTTAAAGTTTGGAGAATACAGCAAGCAAATGGCAGACTTTTACAAACAACTAGGTAATTAATTATTGGTTGTATAAATCAGAGGCACATATTAGGTGCGGTAAAAAAATCGAAATTATGCGGAACCGCACCCGACTATAAAGGTAAAATGTGCGGTAAGGTGCGGTAAATTTTTACCAATTATGCGGCAAATGTGCGACGATTTTTTCGAAATTTGTGCGGGAATTTTGCGGTTTTCTTTTGCATTTTCTGAAGGACTTTGGAAATTCTAAACGTATAACCGCCGCTCTTATCAAAAATAGGTCTGTTTATGTGTTACTGAGGGTGTAGTTCTTTACTAAGACCATGATTGAACCTATATTGAGATTCAGTTATCTGAGAACAGTGTAATTTGATCTGGTAGAGATCAGGAGACAGTTATTTGAAGACGCCTCTTGATAGAGTCGATCAGATCCCATGCGTGATCGCAAATATGTGACACGCTTGTTGGTATTGGTCGTCAGTACTTGTAAACCATTTGATCCAAGATCCATTAAGCCCACTATAAAGCCAACGCTACAACGAATAGAGCTCATTACCCGATAAAAAGGGCTGCAGGTATGATCGAAGTACGGTAACGAGGAGGGTTCCATAACGACCTGGGTCACGGTCCCGAAAGGGCCTGGGTCACGGTCCCGAAAGGGCCTGGGTCATGGTCCCGAAAGGGCCTGGGTCACGTGGTAACCGGGTCACGTGGCCTAGGCATGAGTTCCAAAAGGGCCTGGGTCACGGTCCCGAAAGGGCCTGGGTCAGGGTCCCGAAAGGGCCTGGTCACGTGGTAACTGGGTCACGTGGCCTAGGTATGAGTTTCAAAAGGGCCTGGGTCACGGTCCCGAAAGGGCCTGGGTCAGGGTCCCGAAAGGGCCTGGGTCAGGGTCCCGAAAGGGCCTGGGTCACGTGGTAACTGAGTCACGTGGCCTAGGTATAAGTTCCAAAAGGGCCTGGGTCACGGTCCTAAAAGGGCCTGGGTCACGGTCCCAAAAGGGCCTGAGTCACGGTCCTAAAAGGGCCCGACTTTTAACATATTTTGGTTTTTACACTCGAAAATCTAAACGCGAAAATTTCTAAATTATGCGAAATTACGCGGAAAATGCTAGATTATGCGGAAATATGCAGAAAATTACAAAATGTGCGGAAGTGTGCGGAAAACAATAAATTATGCGGAAATGTGCGGAAAACGGTAAATTGTGCGATCCCGCACCCATCGCACCTAATATGTGCCTCTGGTATAAATCGACTTCCCTGATCTTATTCTTGAGCTGCAATAGATATCATATCAAGTGTCTTAGTGTCTCAAGAGTATGAATAATTGTGTAAATATGAACTGATGGGGTGTGATTAATGGCTAATTAATTAATTGGTTGATTAATTATCGTTTCAGGTTCATTGTACCTGATCCAAAACCGAACCAAAGACGCTCTGAGAGTTTTCAAATCCTGCCTGTCAATTCTAAACGTAATACAAACCAAACCGAACAGTGTAACCACATCTATCAGAAACACTATTAAATCTTTAGAGGCATCAAGAACTGAGAAACCTGCTTTTAAACTCCACTCCAAAGTGAAGTAGATTAATTCTGTTTTAGATTTTAATTTGTAAGATTTGTTCTACTTATGTGAACTTTATCATTTTATTCTTGACGCCCTCGGCCCTTGCTATTTGGTCGATTTAATTTAATGAAATTAAATTGGACAGTGGTAAGCTGCCAAGATCACTGGGCAGAATTATTTTTATGTATGAAACTGCGAGGGTGGCACAATGTAAAGTTACGTTACCTTTACGTTCTATGGATTGGGCGTATCTTTTCCGAAACAGTCGCGTTCGGAAAAATGTCATATTATCAGTTCTTTGAGTTGACTTTATATGACCAGATTGACTGTGTTATATACTTATATAGCTGTATTAGTTTATTATGTCCGAATAGAAGTTTTTGTAAAAAATGTTTAATTATTTAAAGTTTGATATTTGATATTTTAACGATGGCTATCATGTTTATTATTGCCATGTTACTAGTTGCATGTCTCATAATAAAATCAAGATATTCAACATTCTGACCAATCTCTCCTCATTCCTCGAAACAACCTATTTTCTATAGCATTATATATATATTGAATTAAATTAAATAAATTGTAGCTGATGTCTCTACTAGACGGAGTGGGACACGTGGGGTGGTGGGGGTTGAGCCCCTCACAGGACCTCACTACCTACTGTACCCACAACAAGGGTGCGGCACCCCTCCGGGTACTCTGTGTGGGTGCTAACGATCTTAGGCATGTCCTCGAGATGGTAGGTATTTCAACTATTTCAACTATTTCAACTAGTTCAACTATTTCTGGTTTTTTTAATCCATCCTAATTCCTAAAGTTACTTTGAATAATTTTATAAGTGATACGTTATATCCTTCACCATTCTACCTTGCAGTAAGAAAAACAATACTCAAAACACAAAGTACCTAGGAATTATCCCGACATTCCATCAGATGTGTAGTGGTAGAGAAGTGGAAGTGTTCATGATGGAAACTAACCTGGAACTCTACTGCAGACACCTCCTTCTCTTATCTGTTCTTCTTCAGCGTTCTACAACTATGGGTCTACAGGTTTACTAGGAATTACTTGTTTTTATTGCTTCCCTTGGCCTTGATCGTTCTGTTTGGCAGCAGTATCATGAGTTTAAAAAATCCATTATTCATAAAAAGCTTTTACTTTAATTAATACTGCTTTTGATTTTCCAAGATTAAAATAATTTTAATAACAACTGCACATAATCTAAAAAACAATAACAATGTGCAGGAGAAAACAGAGTTGTATCTAGATTTGTACGGCAACAGTTTGGTGAGAAATGCCACTTCGAAGTTTGTCGAGAATTCTGTAACTAGCTTCATCAGGTGAGACAACTATTTGAACAGAAATTATTAGTTAGGGGTAGAAAGTAAAATACGTACTAAAATATGTAGTAAAATATATAGTAAAATATGAAGTAAAATATGTAGTATTTCCTAAAAATTCAGTTACATTGTATAACTCCACTTATGACCTATTTGGCGGCCATTTATTAATTCCATAATTGCACCGGTTTTTGTTCCAGGGGGTGCGATTACAAAACTAATTGCACTGTTTTGAGAGTGACCGAAATTTTATTAGGTACGATTACTAGTAGGTGCTGATTCAAGTATTGACTTGAATCAACTACCTGAGGTAGTTTGGCGACTGTTATTGCAATGGTCGCCCTAAATAAGTTTATGGGCATAAATTTAAATCTATAGTTTAGGACAACATCTTTCCTTGTGTTTGGAATAAGTCAATCCTTACATTGCATTAACACAACACAGTATGATATGAGGCTGAGATCTCACTAATTATTTGTAAAACAAAAAGTGGCATAACTTATGTTCTGATAAATATTTTTGCTTCTAAATTTCACAGAATGTTAATAACAAGTATCTAAACCTTTGTGGCAAGTTTTGTGTGATTGTGAGCTTCACTGAGCTTATTTGACCAATTTAGCCCCTGAGCGAGCTAGCTTGAATTTCTCACCCAGAACTGTTTACATTGGTTAAAAAACAGTGGGTAAAAAAATCCTGGGTAAAAAAATTAAAAAACCACCGATTTATTTATGTTTTACCAATTCTATTCACCATGATACATCGCACATTCCATGTAAGAAGAACGATATAACAAGCAGGAAGGATCATCTGTGATAGTCCTTATCAGTTAAAATATAGAGAGAATGGAATGTGCGATGGATCCATGCTAGCACACTCAGGAGCTAACTTTGTCAGACAAGCTCAGACTCACACAAAACTTAGCACGAAGTTGTGTCTAATTATGATTAACATTCTCTAAAAATTTGAATCAAAAATGTTAATCAGAACGTAAGTTATGGCGCTTTTCCATTCTGAAATAAAATAATTAGTGAGATCTCAGCGAGCTGTTACAATTTTAAGAGATAAGGATGGGTAGACTTTTGAGGCCCACCCTGTATAACAACAAAGTCGGTGCGATTATAAACTAATTACACTGGTTATAACATCAGAGGCGTGGAGTTATACGCGAATCTAACTGCATGTATAATACGATTACACCAGTTATTGCACTCGGCTGCGCCTCGTGAAATAACTGCAATAATCGAACTCGGCTTCGCCTCGTGCGATTATTGTATCAATTTCCACTCGGCTGCGCCTCGTGCAATTAATAGGAATTAAACAGGAATTAAACAGGAATTAAACAAAATTGGGTCAAACGGCAGATGCCGTGTCTGACCAATATAGGAATAGAAGTTTTAATATTCAAAACTACCCCAATGTAACGAATAACCAAACAAGGTGGTAAAAGTAGATAGCCATGTAAAAGAATTAGCACAGATAGCACAGTCGTATGCAGGAAAAACTCAGCCAAGAGCACTCAACAATGACAAAGAAAGTATCATAAAATGTCCACACACTTATCAAAATATACAAAACACGACATTCATTCAGTATTTTTCTTCGGGAACCTCCGTTCATCGACCTTATTTAAAAAACGTCCAATGTCTCTAATTGTTGTTGAGTCGTCGAAGATTTCTCCCGGTTCTTTTCTCATTACTAACAGGTCCCTCGTTCGTTGATGCAGGTTTTTGCGTAGGTCTTCGTATAGGGGGCATTCGTAGAGGATGTGATGCTCATCTACTATCACTGGATAGGCCCCTGGTAGCTCATAGAGAAGATCTAACAAGTCATCGTCACTTGAGCAGCAATGTCTGCAGGCCCGATGTTTTATGTTAAACCGCTTTTTGCCGTAGCGACCAGTTTCAACGTTAAAGCGGTGGGAGCTGCTTCTGAATTGCGCGATCTTCTTTGAGCAGTTAGGTTTAAGATCAAGGGCTAGGTACGTCTCTTGAGCAAACTTTCTCTTCACTAAGTTGTAGAATAATAGTTTTCTGTTAGATGTCCTTTCTGTTTCCCATGAGTTTATAAACCACTTTTGCAAACTCTTTCTAATCTGGCTTGGTCTTAATCCTTGTTTTCTCTCTGATGCCTCGATGGTTTCTTGCATCTGCTCGAGAGTGGAGAACCAGCTCAGGTTTAGGGTCGCCTGCTCTTCGAAAGCGTGTCTAGCAAAGCAGTCACGACCGTCTACAACCATTTGTTCAAGTCTTTCTTTGTAGTTGAACACTTGCTTTGATAGCGTGATGCCTAGTGGATGCCTGCCTGTGTCACCCCATATCGCAGCATTGGATGTTGACTTCCTCACCCCTAAGGTCCATTTCAAAAGAGACAGATGAAAGTTCTCTAGAGGGTCCCTGGCAATGAGTGTACACACGTTTCCTGTTTCTGGTGTGGTGCTCGTGTTTGTGGGGAAGTTGCGGAACAGAGCTGTGCTTGGCAGCCACACTTGGCAACCATACGACACCACAGGTACAATAAGTGTATCATATAGCTTGAACAGTATATATTTCCTGATGTGGCGGGTATCAATGTAGCTTTTCAAAGAGAAATAACTTCTTAATGCTTTTTGCCTCAGCTTTTGTTGTGTTAGCTTAAGTGATCCGCTCAGAGTAAATGTAATGCCAAGGTAACAGTACTCTCTCCCGGAGGGGATCTGTTGTTCTCCCAGTTTGAACTCATGACTTTCCTTCAGATGCCTTCCTGTTGGGTTAAACACAAGGACTGAAGTTTTTCCAACGTTTACTGTCAGGCCCCATTCTGAGCAGTAATTGTTTAGGACATCAAGCATTTGTTGAAGACTGTGTTTGTTGAGGGCTAGAAGGACAAGGTCGTCTGCCCATAGCAGATGAGTTATATCTGTATCATTTAGGACAGGGACTTTCACTCCTTCGATGTTGTTGAGATCATGTGAAAGCTGGTGGACAAAGCATTTAAACAGTTCAGGGGACATGGGGTGTCCTTGCTCGGTACCACATATTATGTCGATCTTCTGTGACAGCTTGTCTAGTAGCTTCACTTTGGCTGAGGAGTTTGAGTACATGAACTTAATGCACTCAAAGAATCTCCCTTGAATACCCATTTTCCACAACTTGTATAGGAGTGCCTCACGACAGATGGAATCAAACGCTTTGGCATAATCGACAAAGCATGTGTATAGCCTTTGGCGTTTCTTTGTGACATACTTTTCCACGCAGGTTGAAAATGTGAAAATGTGGTCTGCTGTCTGTGCGTCTTTACAGAAACCTAGTTGGTTGGCTGTATCAGGATCACATTGATCACGGAATGATATCAATCTTTTCAGCAATATGCTTGCAAAGAGCTTTCCGAGATTGCTCGCTACAGCGATGGCTCTGTAGTTGTTTGGATCATAGATATCACCTTTTTTGTGTAGTGGTGTAACTACTGATGAAGTAGTGTAATCGCATTATACGCAGTTAGATTAGCGTATATAATATTCTTTTCTTAGTCATCAATGAATGACGGCTTTAAAAACAAATCCTCAGGATGGTGACAGACGAGGATTACCTGAAAGAAGTTCTCCCAATGTTGGACATGTCACTTTTAAAGTTCAAAGAGCGAGACTTCATGGAAGGAATCTTCAAGTTTTGGGGCGCTACTGATGCTCAGAGTAAAGCAGCTTTCCCTGTAAGTTGATTCTGTGTTAATTTAATTGAGAAAAAGCACATGTTATCGAAATGAAATACAAGCTTTTATGTATATTTCATAAATAAGTTAAGTGAGATTAAGACATAATTATTGCAGGTAGATCAGTACTGGGACAATAGAGTTAGATCCTATCTGGGGTCTAGATACGATGCAGGGAAGAATATATTTGATATGGACTTTAGCATGAAGCTAAAAGAGCGAGCTACCTTACTAGATTCCAAAGAATATGCTACCTGGAGGAAAACAGGTGATTCTTAAAATTTCAATTATTTTTCGGAATTTCAGCTTAAAAGATTGCATTTGAAATCTTTTATAATACATTACAAGTCCACAGAACTAATAAACCTCCATAATATATTTCTAATATATACGATACATTTGTGTTGCTAAATATCTAACATTGTCTAAGTTTGGTGAGTGTAGCATTTCTGTAGTTGCTCCTAAGATGTAAAATCTTCTTTCTGTTACCATCTCATCAGCTTAATCTCTGGAATCTCTTCTAAAAACTTTCCTATTTAATCTGTCCCTTCGCGAATTTGAGAAACTTTATAAATTACAAGCTATTTAATTGACGAAATTGGTGTTATTATTATCGATATCTTTTCAAGCATAAGTGTCCAGATTTCTGACGAATTCCCGTTTATCAAAGCTTTCTTGGGTATAATCTAACTTTCAGTCCCCAATTGCAATCGTGTCTTGTGCCATCCACACTCCACAGTGACCTTGTAAGATAGTTATTCAAGAAACATTTAGTCAAAACAGTAAAATTTGGGTCGCTGAAAGCTGAAATTTTTACCTACCGGTAAAAATTTCAGTCGAAATTTCGGTCAAGGGGACGGCAGAAAAGCTTCTCTTCAAAAATCTTCCAAAATGTTTCCCTGTATTCTGGACCTAGCATACAAGTACATTTCTGGGATGTTAAGATTAAACACTGCTGAATATACATTTCATTTTCATAGTGTTATTGAACCTCAATTTATTATATTATGTTAGGTGTTGGGTTTGAAGTGAGAGACGGAGTTTACGATTCCCCAAACCGGACCCTCTGTTCCGGCATTATAAAAATGATCGGAGGAGCTAAACGATTAGCTCGTGGTTACTGGGGTGATATTGTGTGCTCTCCTTATCTCTCACACGGTATATTCAGCCCTCTCAAATCCATGTATGAGGTATGAACTGCAGAGTAGTAGTCTCCTTCTGCTTGATTTATTATTGGGGATCGTCAGCTAAATTTCTGCAATTATAGACACTCCTTGTGTAAGCAACTTTACGCATAGCTAATACAGTAATAACTATTGTTTAGATATAAGAATTTTTTCAATATATGTGAAAGATCCCGTTCAGTAATGAATGATTAATTTGACAAACTTTCGGGTTAGAATTGATGATAAGTAAAAATAAGATGATAATTAATATATCTTCACCAGGTACGGAACAGGATTAATGTAAGAACATCCAGTGAAATAGCCGAGCACAATCTAATGTGTCTCATATACCAAATTAACACCGGTAAAAAGTACACCAAACCTCCAAAGCCAGATAGATTCTCTTTTGCTGGCAACACCAAAGAGGAATCAGACAAAGCCACCCTTGAGGAGGTCACTGAAGAGGAGGAGAATGAGGAGGATCAAACTGTTGAAGTGGCAGAAAAGGTGGAGAAATTGACCGTTGGGGGAAATAGAAACAAAAAGTCAGCCTTAATGGAGTTGGATAAGCCAAAATCAAGCATAACTGTGAAGTTTCTACCCCTCGGTACTATGGAACAGCTTTCAAAGAAGCAAAACTTGTTGAAATCATTTGATTTGATTTACCTTTCAACGTCTCAACTCAGTTATTTCACACCTGAACTGACCGCAATACTGAAGGACGATTCAAACTTACTGATAGAAAATATAAAGTATATACCTCCATTGACGACGGCACAAGAAGGAGCGTTTTTGCCAAAATTGAAGGAGATGGCAACCGCAGCTAAATGCGAACTTTTAGGATCGAACGACGATAAGAATAATAACTTTCATTTGTCTTTTCATCGCGTTGATTAAACAACCTTAACAATTTACATTTATTTATATAATATGAAAGTTCAGTTATTTGTCATTGTCTGGTTTGTTATTATAGGTTTCTAACACATTGTCGTAATACAAATGTTTAATTCGGTTTAAGTTCGGCGTCTTATATCTACCGTCTCTAAGAACGTAGTTCTTGGACGTTTTTTGCCACTGGCTGTTACAGTCCACGATATTATTATATGGACGGCGCATCTCAACATTAATATGAAGAAATTGAAAGCGCCCACATCTTGTGTAGCTTATTGCGCGCGCGTTGGAATTCAAGTTATCTTATCTAAGTTCCCAAATCGATGTAACTGTAATGTTTTAAGGATGTTCAACGAGAAGTGCAAGTTATAATTCAGGATTTCAACAAATTATAAGCAGAACTGATAAAGTAAAATTGAATTTCAATAAATACATAAATATTTTAACAGATGGCTGAATGAAACAAGAATTAGCAGTCGAGCAGTCAGAAATTTTATGTTGACTAGTTGTAAAAACAGTTCTTATGGATGAATGAACGGTAGAGAAATGGGCGCATGCAACGAATATTTGACTCCCCTAGGCTAATATTATTTGATCATTTTAAAGCTGCATTGGTCAAAATAGGCACCTAGGCCTTAAAAAGGTTTCAAATTGCAAACCAAAGGTTTGGTCAAAATTGTCTTAGCATACCTTCCATAACTCCATATCAAAGCCGATTGACCCAAATCTCAGTAAAAATTTTGAAAAGTTTAAAAAGCGTAAATAAAAACACTGGCGTAAAATTGAGTCCACTACGACCCTGAGGCTTTCTTTACTTTCAGAGTCTTGCTCATGATCTCGTAACAGTAATCTTTCTCATCCATTGGATCCATGAACTTTGGTGACGTTTCGTCATCTGCGTATCTGAAAAAATGTGAGTGTGATTTCTACTTTTGAGAAAGTCAAAATTGAAAGTTTATAAACACTGAAATCTGAATTCAGATTTCAGAACACATTATTAGATGAGGTGTACTTCAAGCATGAAACTGCCAACTTACTTCAGAATATCAGCAAAGAAGTGTATTGCTCGTGGGTTGTGCTTGAAAACTGTTATCATTATCTTCTGCATTTCGGCTTTGGATCCGATCAGCTCCAATATCTGCATTAGAAATTTACCGACACCTTTACCTCTCATTTCTTCCGTCACCTGCACCTGAGAAGTTCGTACTTTTAAATTCCGAGTAAAATAAACATGTTCAAATAATAGTTACTATACTTAAAACTAAGCAACAACTAATTGTTAATTCTTTATTTATATATCTTTTGGATATCAACGGCCAACGCCATTTTTGTTATCCACTTTAATTGCGATTGTTTGGGTAAATAGAGGAACACTTAGTATGCAATTAAATGTTACTTCAGTCATACTTCGCTAAAGTAGCAAAATCGAACCTTAAAAACCATTCAAATTTCAAACCTCGTAGCAGTACAAAACAGCGATTTCCTCGTCAAAATCGAATTTGAAGTGAGAAAATGCAACAGTTTGACCCTCACTGTTTTTAGCAACAAGGAACCAAGGATTCTTCTCTTTGAGTTCGTCTCTTTTGTCTTTTTCGTTCCAGCCCCAATAACATGCATCGTACTCTGTAGTAATCAATCGTAAAACCATTAAAACAGAGGAGTAAAAGAGACGGATTTGTGCAGAAATGTACAGGTAAATGGAAATTAAATGCTGTAGTTTCGGCCCCAAATCGTCAGTCACGTGACTAAAAGGTCAAAAATAAGTTCGGAGATGAAAATTACTCTACCTGCTTTCATATTTCCCTCCAAGATTTGGTAGATAGTCTCGAAGGTATCTCCGTCATCTTTGACTTGCTCGTAATGTACACACTCTATACTCAAATCAACATTGTTTCTGTTGTATTTCTGCCGGAAAATTCGAGTCAAGCACTGTTGTACATTGTAATTTGTATATGTAGTACATTTTTATAAGCCGTCACTTGACCACAACAGAAAAGACAATTCAATTTCATGCATTTACATTGAATATACTGCAATTCGTTATAAATTCATGTGAATAAAATCAATCAAACAACACATACTTTGAAAGGGATTAAAGTGTCCATGTGATCTTTGTCAGAAACATTCGCTTTACTGAGGAGTTGTTGTGCCGCTCCCATCCTAGCTAACATCTCCTTCCGTTGCTGCTTCTTCTCCTTAGCCTTGCCTTTTGACACCATAATGCAGCTAGATAGAAGTGAGACAGTGAAATATTTAAACTTAATATCGTACAGCTATTGTGATTTCCGGATAGTGGATACATGAATCAGGATTTAATTTTGTCTTCCAATTCAAAACTGTGATCAAGTGAAAAGGAATAGAAACGCAAAAAAATATACGAGAATAAAAAAGCAATTAGATATCACGCACTATAAATAAATTAACATCAAACGATAAACTTTTCATTGTCTGGTCACGGCAAATTTGTGCACTTATTCATCTGCTTTGGGTCACAATCTCGGGATACCACCAAATTTCACTTCAACATATCATCATACCAGAGAACAAAATTCAGATATTCCATCTCATTCGGCACCAGTTAATGATTTCCAAAACTTTTTAACGTTCTGAACTGCACTGACGTCTTTGTAGTAATCGGGCTGTATTTCCTTTCTGTCGATATTCCACCTGCAAGTAAGATAATATTTTGAGCTACACTTTACAGTTACCAAGAATAATTCACAGCATCTTTCAGAGATTAATGATAACTCATGAGCTGATAATATTTGTAGATTGAACTTTATGTAAAAACCTACCTTTTGTCCTCCTTGTTCTTGAATGCTTCATCATAGTTCTGCCACTCCTCCTTGGGTAGGCCACATCTTAGGTAACTAGCATGCCACTGTTTGAACCATAGACCAAAACCTCCGAACACACCGAAATAGAGTAACGTCTGAAAGATAAGAATATACCGAATTAAATAGATTAATTAATTAATTAGATTAATTAATCACTTAATTAATTAAATAGATTAAGGCGGCCATGAGTTTAGTTTGCCATATACAATATACACTCATAAAAAATTCTGTGCGAACAGTTAATATGCTTTTTAACGGTGCACTGGTAAAGCGAAGAAGTAGTCATTGAGTCACTAAAAACAGAAGAAGTAGTTATTGAGTCACTAAAAACAGAAGAAGTAGTTATTGTTGAGTCACTAAAAACAGACTTACATATCTAAGTGCTTTGTTGGTGACTTTTAAAGTCTTGGGTCGCGGTATCTTTACTGCGTTCTGCATCTGATCCAGCAATTGTTTGTTAGCTCTACTCAGTCAATTAAGTTAACACTTGCTATAAATAGATTGAAAATCGTGAAAACGATATAAGGCAATATCAGCGAATCATAATTACTAAGATGAATCAAATTGATTAAATTTGCGTAGTCAATGTTGATGAAGACATTGATTTTTAAAATAGCACAAGACACAATATTCAGTTAATCGTATATAAATTGTAGCAAAAAAGAAGTCACATATTATAATTATACATATAGAACTTTTAATTCAATAACTTAAACTTCAAACTTTCAACACAAAAATTTCGGGCAAAGTTCACATTAGACCTCTGGTAAATTTCCAATCGTTTATTCCTCAGTTATCATTCAATCTTTGGTCACGGGTTACGCCAAGTTATCATGGCGCTAGTGATTTGTTCAGGTTGCTGGCTCCTGGGTGTCGAGGCCGAGCCTTTTTCTCCGAGCTTTGTCTTGAGTATCCTTGTTTTTACAGTCTAACATCATCTTCCACATCACGAAATATATTCCAATAGCGAGAACTGTAAAACCGATCGCCTCCTGTAAATAGGTTAAGAAAATTAAGTTAAACGTCTAACTAAACGATAACTTCAATAAACTAAAAGCCACTAATAATATTATAATGCTATCCAATAACTGAAAAACAAAAAACTTGGACTTACTCCTTTAAATTTCCATGCTGTACTTAAATTGACTTTTTCTGGGCGAGGAATTTTGCCATGAGGGGCAGCTAACTCAGTCTTATTTCTGACAAGAGTAAGGTTGAGACTGCTCATTCCCGGAGTTAGATTCCGTGGAGGAAGAATATGTCTTGTACAGGATAATATCGCTCGTCTCATCCTATGTTAATGGTTTTGAATAGTTTTACATCAATATCATGAAACAGCTATAATACCGTCAAAACACGGTGTCGAAGAGATTTTTACGACCGCAACGGATAACAGAACCAGTAGCATAGAAAGATTGTCATTGAAAAAACTAGAAACCACGCAGAATCACCAATAACATGGCAGTTTTAAACAAATATATTAAGTTAAAATAAATTGTACAATTGAATAACAATAAAAAATATAGATTATATCCGGTAATACATCTGCTATCCATTAATACATCCTTCCACGAAGTTGGAAAGTTTAAGATCGTATTTTATAGTTTTAAATGCTTGAACACTCCGTGAAACCACTTTATCAAACGTGTATGAAACAATTCTGTTGTCAGTAAAATAAATACATCAATTTAAGTCTAACACTATATTTTAAAGTTTTAACCCTCTTTCAGTTTTTTGGTTGGTGGAGCATCTTCACTGCTCTGTTCCTCAGTCTTGTGCTCTTCTTTAACTGGATCTGATGTAGCGGGTTCTTCGATAGCTTTCTCTTCACTCTTCTGTTCTTCAGTATCTAAACCATTATTGAAGTTATAAATAGTTTGTGGCGGCTCTTAATTGCATTATCTGAAAGTTTATTGAAAAAAGATAATATGAATATATTTTTAAAACTTTGTGATGCACACTAACTTTGAGTCGAAGTATCTTCAGTTTCCATTTTCTCCTCCTCAGGTTTTTGGGTCTGAAGCTCTTCTTTCTCTTCACTCTTCTCTTCTTCTTTTTCTTGTTTCTTTTCGGGCATTGTGGGAGCTGTCGGTTCTTCGTTGTCTTTAAACGCCTGCAAAAAAGAACACGATTGAAATTTGACAACATGGTTATCATTCAAACCTGAACTATAAAAATGGAACCTAGTTTAATAATTTGTCAGTATAACTTTACGTAAGAAACTAATTTGTAATGATTACAACCCCCCACCACTAAAGTATTTCTTACGTCCGAAACAGTAATCTTAGGATCTGGTTGAGGGGTACTGCTTTTGGAGGTATCGTTTGGAACCGGGGTAGAATTAGTTTCAGATAACGGTTTTGTGTTTGTGCTGTCTTCTAACTGATCTGACATGGTCGCTGAAAAAGAAAAGTGTAGTTCATACCAGACCAAATAGTCTTAAAATGTATAAAAAAATACCATAATTTCCTACCTACCTATTGAGAGGTTTAGAAGTGGGCATCTTCACGGCCATCACGCAATCTGCAGACCAACTCCTTGACTGCACCAGTCTATTATTGAGTTAGAGTTTTCTGCACTGTATTCAGGAGTAGAGGGCTTGTCTGGAAGGGTGTCTAGGAAGTTTCCAAGAGATGTCTTGAAGCTTGCCAAAGTCTTTTGAGTATTGACAATTTTGGGGAGAACATTCCAGAGTCTTCCAGCTCTCACTACGAATGAGTGGTCGTAGGTGGAACTTGCAGCGGCTGATGCTTTTTTTTGTGAGAGAAGGGAGTATAACTTTAACTCCAAGTCTGGCATTCTCTCAGAACTGCACATCAAGGTCATTTGGACATATACCCTGGAGAACTTTCCACAGATGTATGATGGTGTAGCGTTCTCGGCGTCTTTGCAGGGATGTAAGTTTCAGTTCCTTCAGTCTATTCAAATAGTCGGTGTCTTTGAGCCCTAGAATCCGTGACCTAGTGAACTGGCGTCGATAGACTGGATATCATAGATCTTGTTTCAATAAATACAGAGCAATAAAAAGTCCCGACTTTAGATTTTTAGAGACAGGGCAGTCCTTCTTGAAAAAGTCGAACATGGCTAGTATATCAGAAACAAGATAATATAATTTTACCAGTGTAATCACTCTCAGTAATGCTGTCTTGAGAGTCTGGATCTGGACAGTACTTCATCAGCTCTGCAGTCGATGCAGTGAAACTGTCTCGAGAATCTTCGTTTCCAGTCTAAAGGCGAACAAAAAGTGATTGTCCTCGTTCATAACTTCAAGTAATTTTTTCAATAAACCTTAAAAATGAAACTTTGGAAATGATGTAAAATAACCTGGTCAGTCTGCAGGAACTGTGATGCTGGGAAGTTTTCTTTAGATTCTGGTTTGTCCCCTGTCTTCACTTCTCCGGTGTTCTGATCTGTAGAGACTTTATCTTCAGTCTCATTTAAATCTCCTTTTTCAGCATCCTTTCCATCCTCCACATTCTCTTCTGTAGCTTTTGGAACCCATTTGTACACTTTTAATTTAGAAGAAGTTGTGGAAGAAGTTCCTCCTCCTGATCCTGCAGGAACCCATTTCTTTTCCCTGGTGATAAGTTATGTTATTTAGAAGGTACACTAAGAAGTCTATTTGGATTGAAAAAGTAGTACAACATGACGAAACTAATTTAGTTTTAAAAATAGATTCGAAATATATCTGCTCACCATTTCTTGACCTTGTCAACAGCCTTCATGGCTCTTCGGAGCTCATCTCTAGCTCGACTTCTAGTCTCCAATCGGACACTTCGGGACATCCTAATGGAAGATATTTTACAGCTGTAATGATAGGTGTATACATTCACATGTTTTTGAGATCATCTACAGTAATAATAACAAGTTGACGGAAAATTGTTCATAAACAGTGAAAGACGAGGAAATAAAAGAACGTGCGCGCGTACGTCAATTCATACGTGAAGAAGTGCTAAAAAACAACACATAAAATTCAAGTAAGCGCCTCGCGCTCAGTAAACGATCCAAACACAACTAATAAGGTGGGCCATGATTCAGCCCTCAGGACGCATATTTGAAAGTTAAAATAACAACAAACTAAAAACAAACGAAAGTAACCGAGAAACTCAAGAAATAAAAAGTCGTACTTAGAAGGTCTTCAAAAAAACCAAATACGATATCTAACAATCACAAATATTGTCAAACATTACATTGAAAACCAAAAACATCAAACTTTGAGGCGTCACAGGCGGGTACCAAATCTAACCTTTGATGACAGCAATGGGTCGCAGTTTGATACACTTATCACTGATACCAGCCCCGTGACACGTGTCAACCACATCAGTCACATTTTTATACGATTCTGGTGCTTCCTCCATCACTAACTTGGGGGAGGCTACTCTGATTGAAATTCCTTTCTCTTTAAGGTTTTCTAAAACGGTCATATAGTCCAAGTTTCTCCGTGATTTAGCCCGAGAGTAAGCTCTCCCAGCACCATGGCACGTGGTCCCCAGTGTTCGTTCCATTCCCTTCTCTGTTCCCGTTAACACGTAGCTGCAGGTTCCCATTGTTCCCCCGATTAGTACTGGTTGTCCTGAATTTGAATTAAGAAATAAAACATGAGCACTAACAATGTAAAGTGAATACCTGGATTTTTACAGCTTTATCAAGTAGAGGTGTTTTTACTGTCAACCTACAGTCTACACAAGTAAACACATGACCAGGTTAAGAAATTAGCAACTGTAGTAGTTACTAGGTAGCACCTGTTAGTAACTAGTTAGTACCTGTTAGTTATTAGTTAGTACCTGTTAGTTACTAGTTAGTACCTGTTAGTCACTAGTTAGTACCTGTTAGTTACTAGTTAGTACCTGTTAGTTACTAGTTAGTACCTGTTAGTAACTAGTTAGTACCTGTTAGTTACTAGTTAGTACCTGTTAGTTACTAGTTAGTACCTGTTAGTTATTAGTTAGTACCTGTTAGTTACTAATTAGCACCTGTTAGTTGCTAGATAGTACCTGCTAGTTACTAGATAGTACCTGTTAGTTACTAGTTAGTACCTGTTAGTTATTAGTTAGTACCTGTTAGTTATTAGTTAGTACCTGTTAGTTACTAGTTAGTACCTGTTAGTTACTAGTTAGTACCTGTTAGTAACTAGTTAGTACCTGCTAGTTACTAGTTAGTACCTGTTAGTTACTAGTTAGTACCTGTTAGTTACTAGTTAGTACCTGTTAGTTGGTAGTTAGTACCTGTTAGTTACTAGTTAGTACCTGTTAGTTACTAGTTAGTACCTGTTAGTTACTAGTTAGTACCTGTTAGTTACTAGTTAGTACCTGTTAGTTACTAGTTAGTACCTGTTAGTTACTAGTTAGTACCTGTTAGTTACTAGTTAGTACCTGTTAGTTACTAGTTAGTACCTGTTAGTTACTAGTTAGTACCTGTTAGTTACTAGTTAGTACCTGCTAGTTACTAGTTAGTACCTGTTAGTTACTAGTTAGTACCTGTTAGATACTAGTTAGTACCTGCTAGTTACTAGTTAGTACCTGTTAGTTACTAGTTAGTACCTGTTAGATACTAGTTAGTACCTGTTAGTTACTAGTTAGTACCTGCTAGTTACTAGTTAGTACCTGTTAGTTACTAGTTAGTACCTGTTAGTTACTAGTTAGTACCTGTTAGTTAGTACTAGTTAGTACCTGTTAGTTACTAGTTAGTACCTGTTAGTTACTAGTTAGTACCTGTTAGTTACTAGTTAGTACCTGTTAGTTACTAGTTAGTACCTGTTAGTTACTAGTTAGTACCTGTTAGTTACTAGTTAGTACCTGTTAGTTACTAGTTAGTACCTGTTAGTTACTAGTTAGTACCTGTTAGTTAGTTACTAGTTAGTACCTGTTAGTTACTAGTTAGTACCTGCTAGTTACTAGTTAGTACCTGTTAGTTACTAGTTAGTACCTGTTAGTTACTAGTTAGTACCTGTTAGTTACTAGTTAGTACCTGTTAGTTACTAGTTAGAACCTGTTAGTTACTAGTTAGTACCTGTTAGTTACTAGTTAGTACCTGTTAGTTACTAGTTAGTACCTGTTAGGTAGTTACTAGTTAGTACCTGTTAGTTACTAGTTAGTACCTGTTAGTTACTAGTTAGTACCTGTTAGTTACTAGTTAGTACCTGTTAGTTAGTTACTAGTTAGTACCTGTTAGTTACTAGTTAGTACCTGTTAGTTACTAGTTAGTACCTGTTAGTTAGTTACTAATTAGTACCTGTTAGTTACTAGTTAGTACCTGTTAGTTGGTAGTCTACAGGTATAAGAGGGTGGTTAGGTGGAAATGCCCGTGTAGCACCCTTCCTGTGCATCATCAGTGTCTTTAACTTGCCATCTAACATATGCTGCTCCACCTGACAGTCAAATGTAATGGTAATATAAATAAGTATAATAAAATTAATAATATTGTGAGATAGTAACGAGAAAGTCGTCGGATCGACGAAGGACATCTCATAAAATGTACGATTGTTTAATGTTTATACGCCGGCCGTTACTTATATAAGCAGTTTATGAATAACAAGAGACTGAATTATAATAGCGTAATAAGTCTAGAAATAACAACGTCTAGATATATTAAAATTAGCGTTAATTAGTAGTACATGTCAAGTGTCAACAAACCTTAGCGATATTATGAGAAACATCATATATCATATGCATATCAAGATCATCAGGGGTCGAGTTAAATATCTTGGCAAACGCTTGTCTGCAAAGGAATGTCATGGAACTTCTGTTAACCCACGCATAGTTTGCAGCTGCTGCCATTGCCTGATAGTTGGATGTTATGTCGTGCCGATCGTACATATTATCCTTATTTGTATACGTTTATTTAGAAAATATAATATGTAATTTCTTATTTTATTTTTAATGATATCAATATGTTTTAATACGAAAGGTAATCTTGATTAACTCAATAGATCACCTTTAAATAGTTTTGTCCCTCTTCTGAATTGATCCTAGCACAAGCAAGTTGTCTGTCATTAACCACGATATTGTCACGCTTCATTGCTCTCTCCATTTCTGTTAAAGCATCTGTTGCTACCTACACCAACATATCTATTAGCAATTAAATTGTTCTGTTTTCACGACATTACGTAACTTGGTGATAAAACTTCAAGACAATATATATAATATATATAATATGACAAAACATGATATAACAATGACCAAAATGTTTCAAGATCTACTCAAACTTTTTATTGTATCGGGCACCAACCTGATGACCAAGACCCCGACTGCCACAGTGTATCATGACACAAACTTGCCCTTCCTCGTCAATACCCATTCTTTTAGCGGCCTGCTTGTTAAAGATCTCTTCCACCACCTGGATCTCAGCGTAGTGGTTACCGGCTCCTAACGTCCCCAGTTGGGGTAAACCTGGGTAAATTACAGATAGGAAGATTGAGGTAGACCAGGGTATATTACAGATAGGAAGATTGAGGTACACCTGGGTACATTACAGATAGGAAGATTGAGGTAGACCTGGGTACATTACAGATAGGAAGAGAAGGGACTTTATTAGTTGAAATTAAAGCATTGTTTAGTGTTTGAAAAGCACCATTTAATGACTAATCAATTTAAAGGCATATTAGTAAGGCTAATGCTAATACTTCATATCATAACAGCGACAAAGATTATTTACCCCTCTTTTTAGCTCTAGCAGATACTTTGGTGGGATCAGCCTGTAGCATTCTGCCATACTCTTCACAATGTTCCTTATCTTCTGCCCATATGTACCCCTCCCTCAGTGACCAATCCATTCCCATTTCTAACGCTTCTTCTAAATCTCTAGCAGTCATAGGAATCATACCCTTAGATCCAACTCCTGTACATAATGGAGATTAGTCCTTAAAAATATCAAACTTGAAATTTAACATATATTTCATTTCGTATTTTTGAATTAAATGTATTTGAAAATATAAACTGTTTAATGTTTATATCAAATTGAAGTTGAAAAGTAAAAATTAAACAGCCTATTAAGTTACACACCTACGGGAATGTGATTGAATAAAGTCTGAGTTAACTGTTCCTTGACCGGCTGGATGTCCTTCTCGAAAAGATTTGTTCGCAGTAGCCTAACTCCACAGTTTATATCAAACCCAACACCTCCTGAAATAATGTAGACAATGTTAATTATGTGGTTTACATAATTTTTATAGTACTCAAACTGATTAATCAGTTTTAGAACTATCGAAAAATTTGTAAACCACATAATTATATGTATAAAGAAACATCTTTTGAAGTGTAACACTAATAATTTTATTTTGCTGTGAAAAGTGTCAACTAGCCTGGCGAGACGATGGCTTCAGGATTATCCATATCAAAAGCTGCCATGTTGCCAATAGCGAAGCCATATCCTGAGTGCACATCTGGGAGAGCAATGGAACGTTTCACGATTCCTGGAAGTGCAGCAACGTTTGCTATCTGCTTCATTGCTGGAAGGAATCCTCCTTGGCCTGATTAGAAAAATCGTTTGATAATAAAACTGTAAAATTGTATGGAAAAAATAGTGCGGGGAAATGTAATAGCAGAAATGTTTGGCATCTAGGGGGTTGTTTTCAAGTCTCGGCAATTCGGTAATCTGTCGATGGTCACTTAATGCACGGTTAAGGCACGGTTAACGCATACTTAACGCACGGTTAAGGCACAGTTAACGCTGTTCCTTAAGTAACCGTGCATTAAGTGACCATCGACAGATTACCGAATCGCCCAATTATCTTCATTAAAATGATCAGAAAAGGTAAAATATGGAAATTTCGAATCATTCACTTCTCTGACTTACCAACATTTCTGCAATGATTTTTAAGTTCATCGAACATGAGATATTGAAGCCTACTGTTTGCAAAGAATTCTCCTTCAACCTGAAATTAGTTTGTTATGTATTGGAAAATATGAAAGCCCAAAAGAAACAATTGCATAACCAGCTGTTAAAAAATTATTACCCTTATGTCTAGTGAGTGCATAGTAATTGTCTAAAAATATTTATGGAGAACTTGACCTCAATGTTTTAGTGATATTAGAAAACACTTTACAATGCTAATACAATCTAATAAATTGGGGGTTGGGCAAGATGAGGTTGGCACGCTGTAAATAGCAAATTATACAATTACCTTACCAACATATTGGGCTGGAATTCCTTTTTAATTCTGAAAGAATAGTCATCGATTCTCTCAATGAACTGGAGCTCTTCTTGATATGTTCGAGGCATCCTATACAATTTAAAAATCAGTAATACAGTTGGTTACAGGTTAATCATGAAGCAACCTATCTCAAAGGTGGTCAACTTGAACTTATTTCAAATTCAGATAAAGTTTGGCAGTTTGGCAGGGTGAGAATCCTTGTCAGGTTTTTAGGGTTCTGTAGCCCAGGGCTCATGTCTGTACCCCGTGCTTGTTCGTATGGTGCGGTGAGTCAGCATTAGTGTCAACAAAAAAACCCCATGCGACAATTAGTCTGTTTGAGCCACCGTGGGCTCACACTACTCACACGGACGAAAACCCACTAATAGTGGTATCACGCACGCCATAAATGGCATCAGTGTCCGTGAAACTCGGACCAAACCCCAATTGGGACGTCACACACACGCAATCCGACACAATCTTGTGAAAAGAACTCACTCCAAACGACACGCAAGTAAGTAAAGCATCTATCGAAGTCCAGCGCGGGAACGCGCATTGAGCGCGCAAGGAACTAAGTGGTGTGACGTCACGGAACAGGCAACGCTTATCAGCGCCTACATCCAACATCCATGTAGCTAACAGTTGCTTTGTCTAACACACTCAGTTTGTCCTGCACAATCGCTTTGTGATTGTGGTCCCCTCTTTGGACCTCAATTTTGATGTAGAAAATGGAACAACACAGCCCAACCACAAACCGCCTGCACACCACCCAATGTAACACACACCTAGAGTCAGCATTTTCTCACCTGAGGCGTCAGCACCCTTCTAAATGGTGGTGAGAGACCAGACAATTTAATCCAATCATCCTTAGGGACTATGTTAGTCGCTTGCCTGATTGCTATCATCTTATAGTGATCAAAGGAGCGGCAACCCCGACTTGGCTGTTGTCTATCAAGACATTATCATCTGGAAGCCCAGGGGAATGGGGTATAAATGCTAACCAGGTGGACCCCAGTAAGATACTCCGCATGGAGGGTCGCTACCTCATACCTTGTGACGGTAGTCAGTGGGTGCCGCAACAAAAAAGAAAAAAAGAAAAAGTTCTGGGCATGTAATCAGCAGCCATGGGCGATAAGGGAATGGAAAATGCTGTTTTCAAAACAGGAATAAGATGATAGAATTCCTATTAATCCTTTGATCAATCTACTAGAGGTCTTTTACCCACAGAAAGCTGTTCATAGGATTTTAGTGCGCTTTTCGCGTTTATGGTAAATTTTATATCAATGGATTGGAAAAATGCTTGAGTGAAGAGCACAACCTTCCCAGTGCATGTTAACACCAGTGGCGTAACGAAGGGCCCCGCTGACCCCGCTGTGCGGGAGGCGCCATCTTAGGGGTGCGCAAAATTGTCGTTTGAATGTGGGACAATTTTGAAAAACTTAACAAAACTGCAGGTTTTGATCTAGAAACATACGTTTTTTAGAGATTTTACTGGCGTATCCTCTAAAATCACCTAATTTTATCAATTTTAGGGAGGGGGACCAAAAGGGGAGGGGGTGCCAACAGGGGGCGCATTTTCAGCGGGGGCGCCAACAGGCTACGTTACGCCACTGGTTGACCAGAAAACACATTGGCATGTGCAAATGCGCTATTTATACGTGCAACACAGCATTTTCCAGTCAAAATTCTGAGCCTCAGTGAGTCACACTACTAATGAACTGTTTGAAAATATTCATTAAACCTTGCCATAGTGAAAATTAATCTATTAAAAATTGTGCTCTATGCACAGCTTGCAGTGGGTAGTTGTTTTCTGGTAATCCTTTAATTTTTGTAGCAATGGTCATTTCTACCAACATTGGTCGAAATTTTTACATCTTCCAAAACATATATTAATGTAGGTGTACGTGTTGCACCAAGAATTGTGTCAAAAAATCATATGATCCGCAAGATGGAATATGGTTAAAAGGGATAAACCCGACATGATCTTCATTAACTGCTTTTCCCTGACACCTCCGGCTCCCAAGCAAAGCGAAGTCTCGTTCTTGTATCAGTATATTGATTATTGCTAGACTCTTTTCGATACCGTAATTGAGACACTAATTAGACTCTAGTAAATTAGATCATGGCCGTTGTTTAAGATTTATCATGAGATTGAGAAATTCCGTTGTAAGGCGTCACATAGTAGTTTATGTTACATGCACACGAATAGAACCATTTCAAGATATAAGTATAAAACAAAAAGTAGCAAAAAATGTTCAGTGTAGAAGTCGATAAAGACATTCAAGTGGCTTGATTTAAAATTTCGGGCATCTTCGTAGTAAAGAATCGCTGAACTACCTCTGTCAACATTCCACTTATGAGTCACATCAACATTGTGTAAGAATATAAACTCTTCTCAGACTTTACGTCAAGAGACAACCTGTTCCAAGAGAGCGCTCGATTCTTAATCACACGCAACCGATTTGACCGTAGTGCATAGGTTGCGCGGCGTACTATCTATCCGACGTATTTATAATTGGAGGAGAAGTAGAATTCACATGTTTTATGGATTCAGTAAGATTAAAATTAAAATGTTTAAAATTTTATGTATATTAAAAATGTATGAAATTAAAACCAATTTTGATGAAATTTATTTTTACTCTGATAGTAAAATTAAAAGTTATTTTGGCTATAAATTGTAGAGCCGCGCGTCACAGCTGTTTTATTCTCCTTTCATCGAGCGGACCAAATATACAATTTTCGCGTTGGATCAGATTTATCACAACATGATTATTTACTGATTGGAACAGCATTTTCCTTCGAAATGGCGCTAGTTTAACTTCAGTACTCAGTGATCAGTCGACAGTCAGCTACTTGATTGATCTCTACTTGAATTCATAGATACTTGGTACTTGAACACCAAACATAGTCACCCGCTTAAATACTTGTTTCTGAAACCCATTTGTCTGGCGAGGCTTGAAGGCTGTGTAATATGTTAGTCATAATGCTGTTTGATGAATGATTGGATCGCCATTTAAAATAGGCATAACATTATTTCAGTCATTAACGTCAATGTGTTGGTATCAAGCTTAATAATGCAGTCCCGAGCATAACAAACCTTTGTTTCTTTTGTTAGTGTGCTAAGAAATCCTATGGGTTGGGTAGTTGTAGGTTTTGGGTTCATATTTCCTCTTATTTTTATCGATAGCCCATGGGTTCTTCTAACCACGTATTCACACCAGGATGGATTCAAAAAGTAATTTCGCCAAGAAGAAAAACCGAAGAAGCGTACTGAACTCAGCTCGTAGAAACTTGCCAAACGTAGATGAGACCAACAACTATCAACTTGCGGATGCTCTGGCCAGAACTCGTGTCGAACTCTCCAAGACACACAAGGAGAAATTTCTGTATGTTTCTCAGAACCTTAAGTATATGGAAACTATAACCCTACTGAAGGATGAGAACAAAAAGCTCCGTATACGTTTAGCGGAGCGGGAAAATGAATTTCTAAAGGTTCAGAAACAACTGAAAGGTCACAAAAATTCCATTCAGCAACTCAACAGAAGTTTTGATAACCTTAATGTTACCTTGGAGGGATTTGTCGCCCCCGATTCTGCTGTTATGTTCTCCCCTCAATCACTTGTCAGTTCTTTCGATTCTGGAATGAACTCATCTAGCTTAGATTCCTCCTCTGAACATCGTAAAGCACTGGTCGAGAGTGCACCTTTAGCTACAAAACAGCTGTTTTTACCAGAATTCACTCCGGACGCCGAAGTTACTTTAACGACAACCCCCAAAAAAGAGTGGAACGACAATCAGGAGAATATCGATACGCCTAGAATACCGAAGGCTGCAGTTACTGATATTCCTGTTCAAACTGTAAAACGACGCCAGAAACGTAAACACCCCGAGGTTACGTTTAAGGAGGAAGCTTATGAGCCTCAAGCTTCTCCACCTGTTGATATTTTACTTGAAACACCGCAAATCACCAATAGGAAAGCAGCATATTCTAAGAAAAGAGAAACTCCATCAAGGTCAGCTAAATTAGCAATAAAATCCTTGGTCGAACCAAAACTGACGGGTAAATTGCGGCAAGGAGATCCAAGTTCTTTCCTCATGAAATGACAATTTGTAAGATGAATTGAAAAAATGTTATTAGAACAATTGCAAGAATTAATAAAAAGTTTATATTTATGATAATTGTGTGATTTTGATATTTATTTTTGTCGCATCGCCCATCTCCATGAATATATTATGGAGTTGTAATATGGATTGGTATGGTCTGGTTAGTGGTTATATTATAACAATGCTGAATATATGGATTATCATAATAAGGGTTGATGTTGTTTTTCATGTTCAGGGTATCTATTATTGTAATATTTATTTATTAGTATTTCATCATTACCAGATTGCATTCGTGTGGTGCGAGTATTTTAAATTGACACTAAATCGATTGTGACTGTCATTCCACGTTCAATTTACTTCAAATTATGGCTGTACTAACATTCTGTTTAAATTAATAAACTGTTTTTCAATTAATCCTGACCGGATCGGCTCTAACGCCTTAAGATAAATTAGTTTACAAACACAATTTAAAAATAAAGTATTCGAACATATAATAGGAATTTTATGCATATATTTTAAAGGCAACTTCTAATGTGCTTTCTCTGCACTTCAAAATATGTAAGTAGGGAAGCTAGCTAATATTTAAAATAAAAAACACCACACCAATTACACCACTCCCATAAACTTCGAAATATATAGAAAAACTACAGCGTTCCACAAAAATGTTGCCAGTAGCAAGGAAGATAAAAACAAGAATAATCCTTTAGAAATTTAATAGATCAGTTTCTTTTTGAATGAAAATTTCTTAATGTAAGAAACAAGCTAATCTAGATGCATATAATCCTTACTATCCATAGTACAGTTTTCCCTACTCAAGATTGCTGTAGTATCATTCCCATAGTTGGTATCCATAGAATGAATGGTGCGCATGTTGTTCAATCAGGGAATTTGGTCAGGCAGGCTGGTCGCTGATTTTGTAGCAGATTGGCAAATAGACACCAACAACTATTATCATTCGTCCAACGTCCGTAATAAATCTTCCCCCTGAAATATAAGATCTCAACTACCAAGTTCTCACTATCGGCCCAATTTTCTGTATTAATAAAATTATAAATAGTGTATTGTGAGAAAAAAAATAGTGTATTGAGAGAAAAAAGTGAGAATTAGGAAAATAAAATCGTGGAAAAGTACTTGATACCGATAAACTAAGAGCCGCACCAAATTCCGGCTATAAAAAGTAAAAACGTCATTAGAACTAGATATTAGATACCTCAGCAGGTATATCCCTCATAATAGTGTCAGTAGAGCCCGTACTCGACTCTGAGTTTATAACTCAGGAGCTTGGTCTCCTCTTCGTCCTTATATGTTAAGGAACATCTGCCTCATCAACTGGAAACAAGAACTGTGATTCTTGTCCTATCATACCTGTAATGAGATTGAAATTATGGACGGTACAGACCTGGAATGGCTTCTTATAGAACGCCCCTGTGAATTAAAATTTTAAAGGCATAGCCGTTTATCGATGGACTTGTTTATAGTTTTTAAAGGTCGTTCATCGTATAAATTGATATAACAGAAAGCAATACTAGGCTATATCTAAGTCGACTGACGCTAAATAAGGTAGTCTCACAACGTATACGGTATAAGAAGCTGTTCAAGTGTATCAGGAATTGTGAGAGTGACTGATTCTGATCACGAGACTTTACCTTATCATTGAAATTAGTAAAGAGTTGCAAATGTATATCTTCGTATTGAGTATGTTTACTCTGGGGTTCCTCGGTCTTCTTCAAAATGTCTTGATCTAGGAAGTTTGGTCACATTATAGATCATCATTTAGGGGTAATAATGTAACGTTTTCTTCTATGAAAGGTAGAAAAGCAAATTCGGAACAACTACAGAATGAAAAAATAAGATTCTAGTATTTAAGAAACCTATAATTAGTAATTACTTGACCATTAAATACTGATTGAAAGGGATTAATCTTACACAATATGAAACCGAATTTCAAATAGGGATAAATTTTTGGATAAAAAAGTAAGCAAATTAAAAATATTGTTACCTCATTCACCATTAACTAGTAAGTTGTGCTAACCCGATATAATGGGTTGTATTCAAATATCCGATCTTCAAGCTGTACTAATAATATGGGTACGTTTGTGGAACCCGGCGAAAAAAAACCGTTATAACTTTATAACGGAGTTTAAGGAGATCTGACATGTTCAAATCCAAATCTATTCAGATGATTAATTAAAAGAAGTTGTATCATGCTTCTAAAATATCAACCTGTAATGTTAATTACATATGTTCGGAACATCCTCCAGTAAAACCATAGTTTTAATATTACTATACGATAATATGACACATTATTGTTTCAACAATCAATTCAATTTTAGTCCAACTTGGGGGATTTTGGAGAGTGATATTAAAAGTCCATAATAGTTGTACTTGTGACGTATTGTGTAGATTCCGTCATGGGGAAAGGAAGGACACTAATTACTAATAGAATAAATATAATGTCAGGATCAATTTTAATTTCCGGCTATTGGCATCTACGAGGAAACGTGGCCGCACTTGATTGTAATAGTATTGATTAAACTAAAATGAATTGTAAAATGGTCACCGTCACTAGCCAGGAATAATTGGGCCTATATTATCAGTTGGATCGAAAGTCTAGGAAAACTACTCAAAATTTGAGGTATCAATAAGGTATTACTACACTTCTGACCTGACCCAGAAGTTGCCATCCTTTTTCTTACTTCTAAGCATAATGTGTGACCAGAGACGTGGTGGCACACTATACCAATCTCAGAGACTCACTATCTGTGACCTACCCCTTGCCAGAGAATAGGCAGTTGCTACAAGTCAATCGTCATGTACTATTAAAATCCGGTAACACGACATCTGTCCGACAGCACTATTTTCTTGTGTTTGAAGTGAAATCTCAAATTTTCCTACCGTACGAAGTTTCAAGAAAATCGTACGGTAGGATCCGACGTGAACTATTGTCCGAATAACCTATTTTCTGAGTAGGACAGATGTCGCCCAATCATAAAATCCAGCTCTTCGTGTTTAATCCTTCAATTTGAGTTGTGATATCTTTCTTGGAAGCTTGATTCCAAGTTACCGACACCCATGGTCCCAACTGGCGGCAACCGGTCGAAACCGATGTCTAAATTAGCCACTCTATTCCAAAGAGATGCGGTTTTGGGCTAGTTATTCTTGCGAAATTCGAAATTGATGCCAATATCACGGTGCAAAATAGAGTCTACATGCTGCGCGCGTCATTATAATAGGCGCGCACGCGCAGAGAACCCTATCACACAATCGATACCATGCTAGTAATATAGGTGTTAGGCCATGCTTCCCGATAATTTACACAGGGATGTTTTAGAGCAGCACAAATCAAGACCAAAAACGGCTTCAAAAGAGCTAATTAGGGCTTAAGAAAATACTTCCTCGGCGTTTCGAGTCATCCCCTAAAACCATCAAAGCCTAACTCAATTTCAAATCGCAAATTAGCAAGTGTAAAAATGTAAAAAACCAGTCAATGAACGGCTACAGTTTAATCTCAGACCTATCGGCAGAGTATTTACAAATGTGGAACATTTTTTTATTTTCGGAACAAGTAAGGAACAGACATTGTGGAAACATGGTCTCAGGCGACGGTTCTAGGAACCAGCATAAATCGCCAATTCAAATAAACCCTTTAGCTCTTGTTAAAAAAACACTGCTGGCATCTGGGGATGCTTTTTTTCTTTTTTTTTCGAATTCTAGGTCTTTTTAACGAAAAATGTAGAACAAAAGTACATCTACACGACGGTGGATACACTTGGAACAAAGGGTTTGAATCATGTAATTCTGGATACATAAAACATCATAGTGAATCTAAGATAGTTTTAGTTTAGGGTAAGGCTGAAACTTCAATAGTGAATATTAGTAAAACTGATCCCATCGAAGGTGGTAATTTTGGTTGGGACATCAAAAAAATACGAGATTTATGAAAGCCCAAATTTGAAAACAATGATACCAACTTGTTTTTGTGGGACGCTGGTCCGGTCTGGTTTAAGAAGTCTATTATCTGATATAAAACATCTAAGCAACTAACGGATTGGCAACCCCACCGCAATTTAGCAGCTGTCCGGTCGAAATAAGGTTGAAAGTTAAAACTTAGTTCTCATTTTCTATCACATATTAAACCGATCAGCAAACATCCAGGCTGTAACTTTACTTTACCTGTAGTTGTGGCCTGGTAATTTCTACGGGGCCGGTAGAATGTTAGGAAGATAAGATTCATGATCTTTGTCTTTGAAAAACACCTTAAGAAACTGTCATGAGTTAAACACAAATATTAATCTGTAAGACATGACTGTTACTCTTTAAGCAGTGAAGCTCATCTATTACAAAGAAGTGAAATTAAGAAATTTATACGCGAAGCAAACCAGATAAGTTGAATTGGGTCATCTAAAGCCTATTAATGCTTTTCAAACAAAGTTTCATGTAGTGCATCCTGGGTTTGGACAGGATATGCCCGTTTAAAATATTTCCATCACGTTACATTACATAATTCTCAATAAATGTAATAGATTTGTAGTGTTGTAATTAGTTTATGATATTATAGAACTCTTACATCAATTGGAAAATTTGTATAATCGAATTCAATTATTGCAACGGATTTCACTGAAGAATATAAAATAAGACATTCATTTACGCAAGAATTAATAGTTTCCGACGAAAACAATAAAGAATTTAAACGCCTGGCTTAGATTATGAAGAAAGAAGCCAGACAGGTATTATATTTTTATATGTTGTGTGTTGACGTCACGTTTGGTAGAACTCTGTCGCTGACCATTTAAAAATTAATATATAGATTAATGGCTTACAGAATATTAACGTTAAGTAAGATTTTAATACTGCGAATATTTGTTCAAATGCGTCAACAGCATGGCTCCAGACTATATCACCAAATGCATCGACATCAAGAGTCAACCTGTACGACGTACGTGTACTACGAACTGAACAAGACTATTTCCTCCTAAATGTTCCACCTGTTTCAAATTATAGTAAAACTGAGAGAAGTTTTAGTTACTGCGGACCCTCCGTTTGGAAGCAGCTTCCTTATCAATTGAGAACATTGACCGATGTTGTCTTGTTTAAAAAAAGACTAAAAACTCATCTCTTTGAAACAGTATTCATATAAGTATCATATTAATGCTTTTCAAACAAAGTCACAACGAATTCTTCATGTAGTGCATCCTGGGTTTCTCATAAAACCCATACTTCATAAAATTCGAAGTTCTTATGTACATATTAATGAGTCGCTTTAGATGGCTTGAACTGAATCTTTGAATTTTGAGTTATTTATGGCTATAAAGCGATGTATAAATTTCTAGTTATTATAATTGTTATTATTATTTCAGTAAGTAAGATTTTAAGAATGCGAGTATTTCAGTTAAAAAGAAACACGAAGTCTCCAGTGCAAAGCAAACACCAAACTGACTGGCTCCATTTCAATCAAGTTATACCTTATCGGACCTTATTTGACCGGAACTTAAATGAACGGACATAATTATGAACGGACATTAAAATGAACGCTCGAAGGCATTCAAAACCATCAAAAATCCAAATTTGTCCATCTTTTTTTTGGCATTTTTAAAACTTTAGCAGATAATTTGTAAATTAATTTTTCAAACAATGAGCAAGACAGGCAGTCGTTAAGTAGTAAAAATGTCAAAATATCTATAGATCAGTGTCTATGATTTGATTATGAAAGTTGTGTAAAAACAACAGATACGAAATATGGCCAGATTTGATGATAATAATATCACAGGTCATCTTCCTCAAATGGGTTATATCGTGCATTAAATATTCCATGCTTTAAGCATCATATCAGTAATACCTGCTTTTTGAAAACATTTTTTATTCGACCACCTCGGTCCTGCATTTCAGTGTAAACTTTTACAAGATGTGGAGGTAAATAATAACTCCCAAGAAGTGAACGAGGAAGCCGAAGATCAAGAAAGTGATCATGCCATGTGATACTTATGGCATGATAAATTGTATAATAACTCGTTTTTCATTGATCCAATGATATAGTTTAGTCCGAATCCGATGATAGAAATTACAATTGACTGAAATTAAAAAGTTGTCATATCCTAAACATGAGTTTGCAGTGGAATAATTTTGGAAAAAATCTCAACGGACTTTAACTTGGACGGACCTTAAACGGACGGACTTTATTGGAACGGACATTAAGATGAACGCTAGGACCTCCAGCGTTCAATTAATGTCCGTTCAAATAAGGTCCGATAAGGTATCCCAACTATTATTCATAGTACCTAACTCTGAGAAATTGAGTTGCCTGATTGAACTTACAAGTCGTTTATATACATATTTAAATAGTAATACTATCGAAGTTCAAACAGTTGAAGAATTCAATATTTGAAATCACTACTCACCTAGCATTTTGAGGGTAGTGGTTCTTAAAATCCTGCAAAACTTTGTAAATAGCCAATGTCAACTTTAGGCAAAGATGCGTCCTTCATTCAAAAAGGAGACGTTCTTATTATCAAAAATGTTTTATTTTGGCACATAAAGCAATATTAGCCTATTAGTGCTGTAGATATTATTGTCAATTTATACCTCATATTTCGAATGAGTTGGAGAGTTAATAGAATAAGAAAACACGCCATATTATTATAATAAAATAGATTTAAAATATAATATTCAACATCAACCATATGGTGACAATACTTTAAATGAAATTTCAAATAAGGGCATACTATCAGCTCTTGAATTTAAATACATCATATTTATCCAGTTAAATTGCCATATTATAGAAATTTTTAGTCAAGATAATCGAATCTTCCAGCGTGGCGACATTTAAAACACACAGCAACAGTTATATTATCTTATTATGGTCTATGATATCTAATTAATGGCTTTACTTATAGAACTCAGTTAAGATTTTTGGAAAATAAACGATGTAGAAATTGTACAGAAACAACCGCGAATAGATGATGCCATATTTATGAATCAGCGTATGAATAACGAATATTCAATGTTAGGTAATGTCGTAGGTATGTCGTAGGTAAGATCTTAACGTTGACATTCAACAAGGTACTAGGTAGGCGAAAACAAATTCTTGTTATCCACGATCACGTGACAGTAGCTAGGCATATTGTTTAGGTAACGGAGCGAAGGGACACGGATTTGATTAAAATTATATAGCTTCTTTTGAGGTTCTTATGCTACTGAAGTACCATAAAATAATAATTATCGATTAACATTTCGGGAGAATGACCAGGCAAACACGAATATTACAAGAAAATGGCCTAAAATCTCAACGAATGACTACGATAGTTAATGCCTACGCTGGCTTTGGGTCGCGAACTGACATTATATAAAAAAATATGAATCTACTATCCCCAATTAATACACATCCATTTTTGTTTTAAGCGAAATTTGCTTAGTGAAGACAGTTAAAAGCAGAAATAGTCAGCAAAGTATGTCATGGGATATTCTGATAGATCAGGTTATAAATCAACTTCTACAACTGTTAGAAAACATAATATTATCACATACCATACGCGAACACAGAGTGCAAGTGGAATTAATGCAATTGTTGAGCACTTTATTTTGATCATTGAAACTTTTCTCGGACTAGCATGGTTTATATGAGTATAGAGGACTCTGGTAAACGCAACTAGGGTATTATATAAAAGATGTGTGACTTTCTTATCCTAACACGCAATGTTAAACCAGGGTCCAGGCTGACTTTTTAAATGGCTGGGTGTGGCTTGTGCTTAGTTCAGCACATTACAGGGTATATTAAACGTGAGAAAACCATATCTGTGCGAGTAGTTACAAGTTACTTTGTCTTACTTCTGGTCCACCTGGTATATACTAAAACCAGGTAGTGTTTTCAGCGAGTCCAACGAATCGTGCAGAACAACAAAAGTCAGTTTAGTTATACATGCTAAAATGATGCACGGCAAATTCATGACCGAATATAAGTTGTAGCACTTTCGTAAATTAAGTCATACTTACAAAGGAAAAAGATTTTCATGCGGCAAAGTGCGCGGGAATCATACCACTTTTATCACAGTTGGCAAGGATATGTTTTAAATGGTTTTAGTCAGTCAATCAATCCTGCAAGGACATTTTCAGGCTAAAAATGTAAATTAAAGGTTGTAACTGGTGACTAAAGCAGCTGTAACGGGATCTCATCAAAGACATGAAATACATGTATCAAGGCAAATGATACGTTTCTATCTCTTCTCATGTTAATCAAGGAACACTAGTGATTTTGGATTATGAATCACTCCTATTTAAATATGTATCACATCTGTTTAGCGCTATAAATTAAAATCATCGCGCTGAAATTACTAGCTATTTGATCCGATGGATGCCACCTGTGATTTACAATAGCCTATATAATAAGGTAGCAGCAAAATGATGTGTGACAGAAGCCGAGGAAGGGTGCGACGCGAAGCTGATTCCATAAATATCCTATATTACAAAGCAAAAACTTCAAAATCGGCAAATATATTACAGCTTTACAGGACCAGTATCTGTTGAGCTTCTTGGAAATTCTTTAAATGAGCTAAACTGTATTATCATTTAAGTTATCTAGAAGGTATGAGATCAGTATCTAACTATTGTTTAAACAAATTGATTCGACACCTCGGTGGTTATTGGCTTCGTGGCTCATCTTCATTATAGACAAATTTTCAATCATTTTTAATACTAAAATATGCTTAAAAAAGTCTTTTGAGCGCCAGTCAAAGTGTTCTCCACAATTAAAAGTAAAGCAGTTAGCATAATAATATAATATAAAATATAGTTGATTAAATGATTTTAATTCGTGATCTAAACCAATGTCATTTCTAAATCTAAGACAAGGACAAAGTGCACACTGCACACAACAAAATATTGCGATGGTTGGCACTATACACTCCAGCAATAAAATAAAAACAAGGACAGTTGATATGTCACATGATAGGTCACGTGACCGATGATAAATCACGTGGTTCTAATGTCGTCTACGTTTGTCATTATCGCGGTCCATGAATTTGGGAGGACCTCTTCTCACGTCGCCGCCTGGCCTTATGGGCCCAAACTGAAAGTGTATGGTTATTTACATCCTCTGATCCTAAATTAGTATGGTTAAATTTTACATCCTCCGATCCTTCGTCATTGGAGACTTTTTAAGTTAAACTTTCAATCAATGATAATAGCTTCTACTATATTAATAATATGAGTATGGAAATTGGTTATTGTAATTAAGGCAAATAGACAGATAACGGCTTAAACACCTAGTTAATTTCAATTCCAGAACATTTTATTAATTTGTTGATACCTATATCTAAAGTATTCAACTGGAGTCAAGAATAAAGCAAACTTTTAAGTAATAATTAAACATAAGTGTTTCTAAGTGTAGCACCATAAAATAATTGATTCACGATTCTAAGAGTGAAACGGGTTGAAAGCACCTCAGTAGATTCAAATTATAGAAATAATGAAAAATTATTTTAAGCATGAATTTTTACATAGCAAAAAATAATTCAAATAAGAAAAATATCAATAATTATTGAGAACGGCATAATTTGTGCAATATGGGAATTAGCAAATGCATGTTTTCGAATGCATGTTTTGTTTGGCAGTTGAATGAAAGTCGTAGCATCAAATCGGCATCAATCTAGTACATGTTGTATGGAGAATGGGATTGTGATTCCGATAATTTTTAATGTTCAACAAAATTATTGCGCCGCATTTGATATCACTAAACTATTTAACCAGTGGAGAAAATGTGTACTTGAAAAATAAAAGCTATAGTTGGGATTAAATAAGGTCTCCCAATGCAATGTCGCAATTAAAATATTCCATACGTTAATCCGGTCATAATCTTAGCAGGCTAAAACAAAAACCTTCAATAACACATGTGACTTGGTATGAGTCATGTGACCTGATATGAGTCATGGTAACCCTCAGTGACGGCGCTTATGCTCCTCAGCTCCGTACGTAATTATCATCGTATAATTGTAACTTGTTTAGACAAATATTAAAACATTTAACTAAGGTAACCTAACACAAATGTGATGTTTCGAAGTCTCAAAACGAGCGATACAATCTTACCCTCTATATCGACATGATTGAAACTTCGCTGATCCTTCAATGAATCGCTGCGTGAAAGAACAAATCAATTGCATGGCATGCCGCATAGGTAATTTCAATCGGGTGATCTGATTTTGCTTATAGTTTGTTTGTCGTTCTATCCATATTATAACAAAATCCGAATCTTTTATAGCTTATCAGAATATGATCAAACTGTACGGCTCACGGGCCTTATTGATTGAGGCGAAAGGATGGATGGACTCTCCACTTTAAAACATAGAATATGATGGCTGTCGACTGTCATATTTTAATCGCAATTCAGTGGCTAGCTCGGAGTAATTGTTGGATTCCGTTGTAATATCACTGCAGAGTACCTTTAAATCAGCAAATAGCCCCACCATGGGATTTTAAAAGCAGGTCTATAGATCCAAGAGATTTCAAAGATGACAGCTATTGAAGAAACTATTATCTAAAACTTATATAATTCATTAGATTCAATGTGAATTGTTGCGATCTTTTAAATCGATGAATCTCAGATACTAAATTGAGTCATGGTGATTCATAGATTCATAATTGATCATCATAATTCAAAAAATGGGTGTATACGATCGCTGTTTACAATATAGTAAATATTTTGAATCAGATTCAAATGTCACTCAGCAACAAGTTAATGATGTTTTAAAATATTTCATTGACAAGATCGTAAGCAACTTTAAGTGGTAAGGATATGGTTCTAAGACAGAATTACCTTATTAACTAGACTAGTCACAGGAGCAGCCTTCTTACTGAGAATAGCTGAATCTTTTAAAAACAATAAATATGACCACCTCAACAAGACCTCCTATCGTAGGTCGAAGACTTTTACTGATGGAGTTAAATACATATTTTCACAAAAATACCTAACATGAAAAAGCTTGTAGTATTATCAAATAAAAAGACGAAACGACATTTTGACTGTGAAAGGTATGCAATGTTTATTGAAGTGGTATTTCACGGGGAGAAAAACAAGTCTCAGAAAATAATAAGGTGAATCCATGAATTAAATCTACAAAAATTTCTTGAAAAAAAAAGAAGTGGGATCATGATAAAACGAATTTCAGAGAAGTGATGAAATGATACCCTGCAAGAAATCAAATCTAACCTGTTCGCGGCGGTCCATGTCTCCAGGATGTCTCATCCCTGGGTGTGGTGGCATACCGGGGTGTGGCGGCATCCCCCCTGGCCCAGGAGGCGGCATCCCATGTGGAGGCATCCCTCCGGGACCGTGCATGCCGTGGGGGTGCATGTGAGGAGGAGGTAATCCAGGGCCGCCGTGAGGACCTACACCTGGTCCACCGTGGTGAGGAGGCCCACCAGGTCCGTGTGGCGACATTCCGTGGGGCGGCATTCCTCCGTGTCCGTGGTGCATTCCACCAGGAGGCATGTTTGGTGGAGGATGGTTAGGAGGACCATTTTGCATCATTGGGGGGCCGTCACCATCAGGGAAACCTGGTCCCTGGGATATGTATATCAATAATTGAATATGGGAATTTTGATAACCACTTTTCGTATAATATCGGAAAGTGTCATGAAAAAAGTGTCATGAAATAAATCAATTTATATGAATGTTTTAGATTTCTGAAATTTCGATCAGGGTATTTTGATTAATTTACACATTACACTGGTCTCGTGCACAGAGTTATAATTTGACAGGTTACAGTTTTCCTGTTACATAGCGTATAGTGCATCTTGTAATGTTTCGATTAATTATCTGATGTAAGAGCTGTCGAATCTTGTGTACGTGGCGGAAGAGCAATTTGAAATTTTGTAGCGTGATGCACTACTGGGTCGCGCCGAGCTGCAAAGGATTGAGATCGTGAATAAATTTAAAATCCTCACGGGGAGGGATCAAACCTTCTGATCAGGGTTGAACATGCTGGGGAGGAGGAGGACCAGGAGGGCCTCCCGGTCCGTGGGGAGGCGGTGGAGCTAAGGGTCCCACTGACATTCTACCTTCTCTTATCTCCTTCTCCTGATATCGGAATGTGTTAGGGACTGATAGCGACCTGGTTCAGTATTTTATGATTTAAATAATAGCCTAATAATCATGATAATCTAAGAAAACTGCACTTATTGCATATATATAACTATATAATACAATTGAGGCCTACCCTTTGAGCGATCTCCCAGTCGATTTGTCTACGTTTCATCTCCTCTTGTTTGGCCAATTCTTCCAATTTTCGGTGTTCCTCTTGTCTTCTCATTTCCTCCTAATAAGATTGCAACTGTTGATCTTATCTTACGTTACAAATCCTGACCTTCAGTCAAGAAGTCTTTGAGCGTTTCAATTTGATTAAATAACATTTGCGGACCAGAACATGGCAACATAATCTCAGTATTTAGAACAAATTCTGCTGCTCTAAGCTCGTACCGCTTTCCTGAGTTCCTGTAACTTGTAAAGCTCATCATTCTTCCTCCACTCTTCCTCCTTTCTCATCACTTCCGTCTTCCTTAGCATCTCTTCTTGCTCTGAAACGATTCATTTTAAATGTATTTCACGACTAAAACAAAATCCAGTTAAATCATTTTATTAATTTAATTAAATTCCAATGTTAATGAAAACCCAGGCCAGGTTGAGTTAACGTACCTTCCAAAGCTCTCATCATTTCATCCATAAGTTTCCTCCTTGCAGCACGCATTTCATTTTCCAGTTCCTCCTTTTGCTTACGTTCGATCTCATCCAACGCTTTCCAGCGTAGCGCTAATTCATGATCAAAGGTTTGTGGAATAGCGAATCTTGGTGGCACCTCTCTGAAGTTAAGACAAATTAACAATCTAAAACTCTTCAATTACTATGACTTAGATAAAATTGGGTATGATCAATGATGGTAAAACATTCATGATGGTCAATTCAATATAGACTGGATATGACAAGCAGTAGATTTGAATCCAATGTAATTCCCAAAACCTGTCACGATAGTACTCCTTCGTCTTCTTTAGAGCCTCCTCGTAGACATCATCAAAATCATCCTCAGTTGGAGAAAGCTGCACATTGACGGACATTGGGAGTCTGGTGAGGAGAAAAGCGCCTTGGGTGCAAGCACTAACACAGTCATCTGCAGCTTTGCGCTTTGCAAACAACACAAATCCGTAGCCTTTCGGAGAGCCTTTCTCATCACAAACAACATGGCACATCTCAATCTCGCCAAATTGACTGAAAAAAAAGAAGTTAATTTCCTAAATTTCAACCGTTTGCAAGTGTTAAAAACAAAACATTAATCTGGTAGTTACATAAGATAAGACTCCTTCTTGGGACATTTAAACCTAAACCAGATTTTATAGAATAAGATACATGAACATTTGCTAAGGATAAATTTTTACCGCACCTAAAAGCACTCTCCAGGAGTTCCACACTAACAAAAGGTGGAAGATTTGTAATCTTTACATAGGATTGAACCGTTGAAAACTTTACTCTGATATTCTTGCCTTTCTGTAGGCTATGGTCGAGCTCTGTCTTTGCTTTTAAAGCTGACGCTCTTGTTTCCTGAACATTTGAAGGTGAATCAATAGGATAGAACCCGCTAGTTATTCTTTGCAAAAATAGGTGTCATGCAGTACGTACCAAATGTTGTGAAAATACTAAATAGCAAGAAACTTCAAACACAGTAACTATTATAACATTAAAAGGCAGGAAATACTCACACATCTGACGAATCCGAAACCTTTCTCCTTGTGCAAGAACACCTCACTAACATCACTGTGAGGTTTGAACAACTCTCTTAGCCATTCTTCGTCCACTTCATTTGGCAGAGACCCTATGAACAACCTGGCCCGGATGTTGAACCTTTTCTCTTTTCTGTGTCCCATTTCCTAGTTTATGAGGTTTAAGTTATCGTACTGCTATTACTGTATTAAAAGTAAACGTTCTGTCTTATATCTCATGCAATGTCACACAAGCTAAAAAAAAAATTCAAAGAAATTTAAATTCCACAGATGCAGATGTACCTAAAATTGTTACAAACTGCTATTTTGGGTTATATGATGTCGATTGTGAAAGTCGAATTATACGCCATAGTTGATCATTCACTTGTCAGGTGTGTTTTCTTTAAATTTAGCTAAACAACTAATGAAATATTTTCTAAAAATGTGACAAACCAACGCGAACGGCAATATAGAATAGAATAGAATAGAATAGAATAGAATAGAATAGAATAGAATAGAATAGAATAAAATAGAATAGAATAGAATAGAATAGAATGGAATAAATCAGGTTGTTCGTTTTTATTTCAAATGATTCATCAATTTTGATTTATTGGAGTACTAATCATATACTTATTAGGTATTGTCATTGATGATGGAAGAAAATATTCTGCCAATGTAATTATAGAAGGAAATTATATTGGAAGTTGAACACTAATTCGTTGTTTGATTGCAGGAAGTATTGATTCTTGATTAATCAGATTACCTACGTCAAAGCGCAGTGAAATATTAAACATGTATAAAACCTGTCAGTATAACCTGTCAGTATAAAACCTGTCAGTAATGTTTAACAAATTTCACATCATTTTAGGATCTGTTGTTTGGAATTGTTCTATTTTGTTTAAAATTTTGCCTATTTGCGGAGAGACACAGAGCGTTATTTGACCTTTTCATTCATTCTGTGTCCGATAAGTGAATCAATCCTTGAATTGGCTTCGGGACCAGCCATGCTTGATCTGAAAGCTTCCATTAGGTATGGAGGGAAAAGGTCCTGGATTATTTTGAACACTCTTAATTTGTCAGGCACCAAAATCACTTCTTTGTTTTCTCTGATTCCTCGAATTGCTTTTGTTACAAAGTACTTTACCGACAAAGCAATTGAGGTATCTGTACCCGCAATCATTTTGGTATTCACAAAGAAAGGACAGACAGCTGTAAACTTCAACTTTGTCTTCATGTGATCCATTCGAAGTTGATTCAAAGCATGAATTGAACCTGCCTTTGCTGAACAGTAATCCGTTTTATTTATCATTGGAAAAAATCCTGCAGCAGAAGCTATATTCACGATGTGACCCTCATTGAGCTCAAGCATCTTCGGCATAAAGAGCTTGATGAGCCACAAATTAGAAACTATGTTTACCATCATTGAGTGTTGTATTTGGGTGAGTGACATATTAAGCATACTTCCCATAAAAGCAACCCCGGCATTGTTGACAAGAATATTGATAACAAACCCAGCCCCTAGTATATCATCATGTAACCTCTGTACCTGATCATGCTTGGTGAGATCGCAGGTGTATGAATAAGCTTGGTGACCATTTCCTTTTAAATCGTCCACTACATTCTCTACTAATTTCTCATCAATATCAACACAGTGAATAGTGTTCCCCATAGCAGCAAACTGTCGGGCAAACTCTGCTCCAATCCCTTGTCCAGCTCCAGTGATCAGAATGTGCTGATTTTTTATTTCTTTCTTGGGCCTGCATCTAAAGATAAAGTATACGATTTCTAGAAGCAAGACAAATGGGAGCTTTACCAAAGCCAATAGAAATGACATCTCCACTGCACTAATATTTGAATAAAAAATAGGTTAGTAAAGTGTTTTAAACTAAATCCGTGTTTTAAAACAATAAGTTCTCACTTCAACTAACATAATATATCTATCTATCAATATTATAATTCGAAAGATTATTTCTGTCTGTATGTACTATGTATGTCTGTATGTACGACCGCCCACGTGCAAATTAGATGAGAAATAGGAAGTTCTAGGTAAAAATCAAAAGCATGTATGTATGTATTACTCATTACACTAAACTGCATAAATCTGCCAACCATTTAGGTTCACTAGCAGGAACCCGTCTAACCCTAAAATGGTGTCAAGACTCAAGAGACTAAAATAATTATTACCTATTTAATTCGCGTTTTTGACACCACTTGGAGGTCCAACTTTTGGGCACTAAATTCTTATTCCTTGGCCAATTTTTTATTTTTCATGCTGATTTCAAGGCCATTAAAGCATTGAACCAGTCAAAAAAGTTTAGGTGTATATCTTTACGGTTAAAGTAGATGCCGTGGTGTCAGTAAAATGGTAACAGATATATTATTATATATATATAATCGTCTCGCTTTATATATGGGCAATTTCATGAAACATGAACAAAAAATAAATTTCAGTAATGAAACTAGCTTTGATTGGAGTCTGAAAGAGAAGATCATAAACTGTAAGACACAAAAAACCGCTTATAAATATCTCACTTCGTTTCTGTGTTATCGCGTTTTCAAAATACCCATAAATTGTCATGTTTTACAGGCTAAAACTACTCTATAATAAAAGCTGTTTACTAGGTAACTCGGTAATCTGCCGATGCATATCTGGGGCACACCTGGGGCACACCTGGGGCACAAACTCGGGCACACCTAGCCTGGGGCACACCTCGGGCACACCTGGGGCACAAAGCACACCTCGGGCACACTAAAAAGAGATTGTTGTAATATTCATTAATTCTTGATCTGTAAAGGTGCATACCACTTCATTGAAGCTGTATGCAAAATTTGGGACTCAAAATTTAAGCAGATTCGGAGCAATGCTATTCTACTTTCTCCTGTTTTTAGTGTAAATTACTATACATAAAAAACAAAAAAGTTTTCTGCTGGCCACATTTCATGTTATTTCTTGCTGAAATCTTGCTAAAACAAGCTAACTCTGATGTCAAGACATAATGTACTTTTTTATTTAGATCCATAGATATCAGATCATGTCAATACCAGCGTCAAGTAAGTTACATGTCAAGTAATTTACGTGTCAAGTAATTTACACATATAATGCTTTTTATTCAGTAATAGTAGTAAAACACAACAAGTAACGATTGTCAAACAGAATAAAAGTTATTTAAAAGTGATAATAGATTGGTTCTGGTCAGAATTTCATTAAAGAAATCTATAAAAATGGTTAAAAATTGACTTTTCGAAAATAATACTTTACTTTACAGAAAATCCAGTGGCCTGCTTGAACACAAATTTTTGAGCTGGGAAACATTCGTACATTTACGCCCACCTACCTACTCTGTATAACTGGGCTAACTGTGGACCCAATCAGTGAATCAATCAACCAATTAAGGGGGCCGGGGGGTCTTCATCAAAATTCCCTCGAAATTGACTTTTTAGTTGTTTCTGATCTAGAAGGGAGTGATATCTATCAGATGCTTTTGGTCCCATGGAAAAATATTATTCCTAGCCGAAATTATTGTCGGTCAAAGGTCAGCACTTATGTGTAATTGTATTGCGCGAGCGATTTTCAATCACATGTCCTGAAAATCGAGTCTAAAAATCTATCTTCTCCTACATTTTTTGAGCTATCACCCTGAAACTTTCAGGATATGTTCTAGAGATAATTTAAAAGAGATGAGCCAGACAGAATTTTGAGATAGGCCTTTAAACATATTTTATTCGATTTTGAAAATCTTGGATCTCGTTTTTTGTGGTCCAAGATTTTCAAAAATTGAAAATCGCTCGCGCAATACAATTACACATAAGCGCTGACATTTGACCGATAATAATTTCGTCTAGGAACAATATTTTTCCATGGGACCAAAAGCATCTGATAGATATCACTCCCCTCTATTAGAAACAACTATAAAGTCAATTTCGAGAAAATTTTGATGAAGGCCCCCCCGGCCCCCTTAATTGGCTAATGATAAACTGATATATCATTATTAATCATATATTACATAGTTCATACACTTAGCAAACGAATTAAAGACAAAGGGGCAGCTTTAAACAGTTAAAATCAAAGGATTGTGTAACAGTGTAAACTACTTGACACAAAAGAGTGACTTACTTTACAAGGAACAAAGGCTTCTACAGAACACAGCTATTAACCATTTACCAAAACAACCCCTTTCCAGTACAGGCAAGACATTTGCCAGTGTGCATGAAAAATATTTAAATGTTTACTCTCACACCTGGGCACGAAATGAGATTTCAATACACGTTGGTCAGGAATGTCAATTTGTGCCCTGTAATTTACTTTACATTTTCAAACGTGCCTCACTCAAAAGCCATAGCAGTTGGAGTAAAAATCTTAATATAGCTGTGTGTGGAGTACATAGGAGATGTTTCATGCAATTTATCATGATTCTGCTATGTTTGTGTAATGCTTGAGAGTCAGAATGAGGCCAAATTTTTGTGCAAAGTTTAATTTACTTTACGTGAAATCGCCCATATATACAGTAGTAAGATTGTATACACTATCAATGAAACTAATTAAATCTGCCAAACATTTAACTTAATTGTAATATAAACTATCAATAATTACACTAAAGACTAATTAAATCTGGTAAATATTTAGTTCATTGTATAAACTATCATTATATCTAAAAATCTAACTACTGTTAAAAACTAAACATAATTTATAGGTCAACATGGGCTCAGCGCATTGCGCTGCCCCATCATTACTTGAATCTTTGATTGTCAAGTATGATTGCATTACATTGAATAAGTTTAATGACATTCAGTGTTTAATATGTTCAGTGACCAATAAAATATGTCAAGTCCAATTCTCATAGAGTTTTATTCGATTTTTTCATCCATTCTTTGTCCATAGATATTTTTTGACAATTTTGCCCTTTTTTCTGTCTTTGTTGCGTATAAAGCTCTCATGAGGTATGGAGGGGCAAAGTCCTGGATTATCTTTATCACTCTTAATGTGTCAGGCACCAAAATCACTTCTTTGTCTTCTCTGATTCCTCGAATTGCTTTTGTTACCAAGTGCTCTGCAGACATAGCAATTGAGGTATCCAGACCGGCAATCATTTTGGTATTCACAAAAAAAGGACAGACAGCAGTAAACTTCAACTTTGTTTTCATGTGATCCATTCGAAGTTGATTCAAAGCATGAATTGAACCTGCCTTTGCTGAACAGTAATCTGTTTTATTTATCATTGGAAAAAATCCTGCACCAGAGGCTATATTCACGATGTGACCCTCATTGAGCTCAAGCATCTTCGGCATAAAGAGCTTGATGAGCCACAAATTAGAAACTATGTTTACCATCATTGAGTGTTGTATTTGGGTGAGTGACATATCCAGTATACCTGCCATAAAAGCAACCCCGGCATTGTTGACAAGAATATTGATCACAAACCCAGCCCCTAGTATATCATCATGTAACCTCTGTACCTGATCATGCTTGGTTAGATCGCAGGTGTATGAATAAGCTTGGTGACCATTTCCTTTTAAATCATCCACTATATTCTCTACTAATTTCTCATCAATATCAACACAGTGAATAGTGTTTCCCATAGCAGCAAACTGTCGGGCAAACTCTGCTCCAATCCCTTGTCCAGCTCCAGTGATCAGAATGTGCTGATTTTTTATTTCTTTCTTGGGCCTGCATCTAAAGATAAAGTAGACGATTTCTAGAAGCAAGACAAATGGGAGCTTTACCAAAGCCAATAGAAATGACATCTCCACTGCACTAATATTTGAATAAAAAATAGGTTAGTAAAGTGTTTTAAACTAAATCCGTGTTTTAAAACAATAAGTTCTCACTTCAACTAACATAATATATCTATCTATCAATATTATAATTCGAAAGATTATTTCTGTCTGTATGTACTATGTATGTCTGTATGTACGACCGCCCACGTGCAAATTAGATGAGAAATAGGAAGTTCTAGGTAAAAATCAAAAGCATGTATGTATGTATTACTCATTACACTAAACTGCATAAATCTGCCAACCATTTAGGTTCACTAGCAGGAACCCGTCTAACCCTAAAATGGTGTCAAGACTCAAGAGACTAAAATAATTATTACCTATTTAATTCGCGTTTTTGACACCACTTGGAGGTCCAACTTTTGGGCACTAAAATTCTTATTCCTTGGCCAATTTTTTATTTTCTCATGCTGATTTCAAGGCCATTAAAGCATTGAACCAGTCAAAAAAGTTTAGGTGTATATCTTTACGGTTAAAGTAGATGCCGTGGTGTCAGTAAAATGGTAACAGATATATTATTATATATATAATCGTCTCGCTTTATATATGGGCAATTTCATGAAACATGAACAAAAAATAAATTTCAGTTATGAAACTAGCTTTGATTGGAGTCTGAAAGAGAAGATCATAAACTGTAAGACACAAAAAACCGCTTATAAATATCTCACTTCGTTTCTGTGTTATCGCGTTTTCAAAATACCCATAAATTGTCATGTTTTACAGGCTAAAACTACTCTATAATAAAAGCTGTTTACTAGGTAACTCGGTAATCTGCCGATGCACATCTGGGGCACACCTGGGGCACACCTGGGGCACAAACTCGGGCACACCTAGCCTGGGGCACACCTCGGGCACACCTGGGGCACAAAGCACACCTCGGGCACACTAAAAAGAGATTGTTGTAATATTCATTAATTCTTGATCTGTAAAGGTGCATACCACTTCATTGAAGCTGTATGCAAAATTTGGGACTCAAAATTTAAGCAGATTCGGAGCAATGCTATTCTACTTTCTCCTGTTTTTAGTGTAAATTACTATACATAAAAAACAAAAAAGTTTTCTGCTGGCCACATTTCATGTTATTTCTTGCTGAAATCTTGCTAAAACAAGCTAACTCTGATGTCAAGACATAATGTACTTTTTTATTTAGATCCATAGATATCAGATCATGTCAATACCAGCGTCAAGTAAGTTACATGTCAAGTAATTTACGTGTCAAGTAATTTACACATATGCTTTTTATTCAGTAATAGTAGTAAAACACAACAAGTAACGATTGTCAAACAGAATAAAAGTTATTTAAAAGTGATAATAGATTGGTTCTGGTCAGAATTTCAGTAAAGAAATCTATAAAAATGGTTAAAAATTGACTTTTCGAAAATAATACTTTACTTTACAGAAAATCCAGTGGCCTGCTTTCGAACACAAATTTTTGAGCTGGGAAACATTCGTACATTTACGCCCACCTACCTACTCTGTATAACTGGGCTAACTGTGGACCCAATCAGTGAATCAATCAACCAATTAAGGGGGCCGGGGGGGTCTTCATCAAAATTCCCTCGAAATTGACTTTTTAGTTGTTTCTGATCTAGAAGGGAGTGATATCTATCAGATGCTTTTGGTCCCATGGAAAAATATTATTCCTAGCCGAAATTATTGTCGGTCAAAGGTCAGCACTTATGTGTAATTGTATTGCGCGAGCGATTTTCAATCACGTGTCCTGAAAATCGAGTCTAAAAATCTATCTTCTCCTACATTTTTTGAGCTATCACCCTGAAACTTTCAGGATATGTTCTAGAGATAATTTAAAAGAGATGAGCCAGACAGAATTTTGAGATAGGCCTTTAAACATATTTTATTCGATTTTGAAAATCTTGGATCTCGTTTTTTGTGGTCCAAGATTTTCAAAAATTGAAAATCGCTCGCGCAATACAATTACACATAAGCGCTGACATTTGACCGATAATAATTTCGTCTAGGAACAATATTTTTCCATGGGACCAAAAGCATCTGATAGATATCACTCCCCTCTATTAGAAACAACTATAAAGTCAATTTCGAGAAAATTTTGATGAAGGCCCCCCCGGCCCCCTTAATTGGCTAATGATAAACTGATATATCATTATTAATCATATATTACATAGTTCATACACTTAGCAAACGAATTAAAGACAAAGGGGCAGCTTTAAACAGTTAAAATCAAAGGATTGTGTAACAGTGTAAACTACTTGACACAAAAGAGTAACTTACTTTACAAGGAACAAAGGCTTCTACAGAACACAGCTATTAACCATTTACCAAAACAACCCATTTCCAGTACATTTTTTTTTTGATTGGGAACCAGCTTTGTTTACTGGTTAATGTTTACTCAAGAATTTATACATACAATAATATATACAATAATTATATACCTAAATCCGCTAATAAGATTTCATTAATTATTGAATACATGCGCTGCTTAGATAAATGCAATGCCTAGCAACCAACTCTTGCACTAAAAATCAGCTTTAAAACAGTCGGAAGACTATCCAGTCCTGTATAGAAAGTTAAAAGCCTAGTAGGCACCCGCTTAGCACTAACTAAAACTTCACTCACACTGAAAAACAAGCATTATCACACATGTACTGATAAATACACTCAATTGCGACTACAGCTGAATATCTGTCCCTCCTTAATGTAAAACTTTTTGTCCGGCTCCGCTAAAGCTTTAGCTCTCATGCTGGCAATCAGCTCCTTTCGGGCTTCCCGCTGCTCCAGTGATCTGTCAGGGCTCAAAAACACAGTCTTAAACTTGGCTGATTGTCGCAATTTCCGAGCGTTTGCTAAGATTTGATGTACGATCAAGGAGCTGGTCAGGCAGACTTTCACTGGGCGAGTACAGGTAGAAGTTTTCTTTTTGCCGAGTCGCTCTACTTCCACCTTCGGTTTCTGCCCTATTTCCTCTAAAACCTCGCCGATTCTTACCTCTAACTCTTCCTGCTCCTCCTCCGGCAAACCGAAAACAAGAAGATTTCGACTACGGTCCTCTTCTGCGACTACGGTCTTCACAACATTTTTTAGGGCTTCTGGGCAGATAACTGGGGCAGTTACCGTCTGTGAATTGCTGACAATTGCGCTGTAAGTCTTAATCTCCTCTTTAACTGAATCAGCGACTGAGGTTTCCACGATTTTCTTCATAGATTCCAGTTTCTCGGACTGACACTGAGAGAGCTCCTGTTGAACGCTGATGAGAGTTTCCTGGTTCTGAATCAACTTTGCCTGAAGAGTTGTGCAGCAGTTTCGGTACGACTCCACAGTTTCCATTAAATAGCCAATGTACTCATAAGACCGACTACAAATGCCAACAAGTTCTGGCTTATTCACTGATTTCGCAAACTTCGGATCTGCTATGTCCGTCATCTTTCCGTACGGTTTGCCAAAGTTCCGCAACTGCTCTTTGCTCCAAGAATAAATCTCATCCCACCTGTAGTTAATACTTTCCAAGTCCATCTTTTCCATGATTACAGTTAAAGTTACACAATACAAGACGAGCGACAGGCTGAGCGGTGTCGTGATAACAGTAGAGATAAGCCTTGCGATAAGAGAGCAACAAATCAGCAGCAAATGTGAATGTGCTATTACTGAACTGAAAGCAAGACATTTGCCAGTGTGCATGAAAAATATTTAAATGTTTACTCTCACACCTGGGCACGAAATGAGATTTCAATACACGTTGGTCAGGAATGTCAATTTGTGCCCTGTAATTTACTTTACATTTTCAAACGTGCCTCACTCAAAAGCCATAGCAGTTGGAGTAAAAATCTTAATATAGCTGTGTGTGGAGTACATAGGAGATGTTTCATGCAATTTATCATGATTCCGTTATGTTTGGGGGGGGGGGGGGCCCCCCTATGTTTGTGTAATGCTTGAGAGTCAGAATGAGGCCAAATTTTTGTGCAAAGTGTAATTTACTTTACGTGAAATCGCCCATATATACAGTAGTAAGATTGTATACACTATCAATGAAACTAATTAAATCTGCCAAACATTTAACTTAATTGTATAAACTATCAATAATTACACTAAAAAATAATTAAATCTGGTAAATATTTAGTTCATTGTATAAACTATCATTATATCTAAAAATCTAACTACTGTTAAAAACTAAACATAATTTATAGGTCAACATGGGCTCAGCGCATTGCGCTGCCCCATCATTACTTGAATCTTTGATTGTCAAGTATGATTGCATTACATTGAATAAGTTTAATGACATTCAGTGTTTAATATGTTCAGTGACCAATAAAATATGTCAAGTCCAATTCTCATAGAGTTTTATTCGATTTTTTCATCCATTCTTTGTCCATAGATATTTTTTGACAATTTTGCCCTTTTTTCTGTCTTTGTTGCGTATAAAGCTCTCATGAGGTATGGAGGGGCAAAGTCCTGGATTATCTTTATCACTCTTAATGTGTCAGGCACCAAAATCACTTCTTTGTCTTCTCTGATTCCTCGAATTGCTTTTGTTACCAAGTGCTCTGCAGACATAGCAATTGAGGTATCCAGACCGGCAATCATTTTGGTATTCACAAAAAAAGGACAGACAGCAGTAAACTTCAACTTTGTTTTCATGTGATCCATTCGAAGTTGATTCAAAGCATGAATTGAACCTGCCTTTGCTGAACAGTAATCTGTTTTATTTATCATTGGAAAAAATCCTGCACCAGAGGCTATATTCACGATGTGACCCTCATTGAGCTCAAGCATCTTCGGCATAAAGAGCTTGATGAGCCACAAATTAGAAACTATGTTTACCATCATTGAGTGTTGTATTTGGGTGAGTGACATATCCAGTATACCTGCCATAAAAGCAACCCCGGCATTGTTGACAAGAATATTGATAACAAACCCAGCCCCTAGTATATCATCATGTAACCTCTGTACCTGATCATGCTTGGTTAGACCGCAGGTGTATGAATGAGCTTGGTGACCATTTCCTTTTAAATCATCCACTACATTCTCTACTAATTTCTCATCAATATCAACACAGTGAATAGTGTTCCCCATAGCAGCAAACTGTCGGGCAAACTCTGCTCCAATCCCTTGTCCAGCTCCAGTGATCAGAATGTGCTGATTTTGTATTTCTTTCTTGGGCCTGCATCTAAAGATAAAGTATACGATTTCTAGAAGCAAGACAAATGGGAGCTTTACCAAAGCCAAAACAAATGACATCTCCACCTATATTGAATAGAATAGTTTAGTAAGATATCTCTTTTGAAAACCCTCATAACATAATGTAAACAGAATAATATACCGAATACTCAAAAAGTTCAAGAAACTTTTTGAACAGGAATTATAGTTAATTCTATAAATACTATACTAAATAAATACTATACTAAATTTATATTGAATAAAAGTATAGTTTATAAGATATCTTAAATTTTGAAAACCCTTATTACAGGGTGGCCCATAAGTGACTACCCACACGCAACCTCTTAATAACTCACGTAATTCGTCTCCAAATTGCACCAAAATTTCAGTGATTATAGATATGGGTCAAACTTAGATTTCCTGAAAGTTTCGTAAGCCACGCCCAATTACAGTGGGCGTGGCGTGACACTCCCTCTTTTTCACTATTGTCTTCATAAAATGAGAACGCTTTAAGCTAAGAACTCAAAATTTTTTGCACACATTTGGCTTGATAATTGAAAACTTTTCCAAAAGTTTCAAGTTCATTGGTTTAAATATGGCTGAGTTATGACCATTTTAAAATCCATCGGATATGTGATCCGAGCACTCAGTCAGTGATATTTGCACTCAATTAGTGATCTCGTCACCCAATCTGATCAAGAGTAAGGCGTTAGCGTGTATTAATGAGGTTCATTAGGCTTTGATTGGATACCGATGATGACTTTGCTAGAAAGGGAAACACAAATTTTTAGGATAAAAACCAGATCGTGACCTTTTCAGGAAAAGCCGTTCTCTCCACCACTTCATCCGGTCTAGTAGAGCCCCAGTGAATTGCATTCTGGGAGTTGACATATCCGTTTATATGGCCTTGTCGCTGTACCAGATTTCGTCCTCAAAGTAGGGATCCACATTCTGCTTGGACAGGAATGTGTTGGCGAAATCTATCCTCGAAGTTTGTGTTTCTTTGTGATTCGGTAGGCCTGGTTAGAAAGGTCTTGCTTTAGGATTCGCTGAAGGGTTCTGCTGATGTCTAAGGCAGGAGCTCGTTTCCGGGTGCCAATCTTAGGTGTGTCCATCACGTCACCAACAACCATCGTGATGTTTTCTACAGTCCTCGCAGTTCGTCTTCTGCCGACTCTTCGCCGATCGTGTGCAGAAAACGTAAACTTGATCTTGTGATGAATGTCCAAGCAGCTTTTCCGGCAAGGGGGTGGTCGGTTGAATTTCATCTGAAATTGTCGTTTAATCTGAGGGTAGAACTCCCCATTTTCTTTCTTCAGGTAGACGAACAATCGTTGTTCTGCAGTAAAGGGAGGATAGTGAACCATTTTCGATGATTCAATGGATGGATCATTCCTTTTTATTGATTGTAAGGAACCTGTGACTAGCAGGGCTAACAAGCCCTGAAATGGTGACACCACCATAAATTCGTGTGATAGCGTTTTAGGTGCAGTCAGCTGTATAGGCCGGCCCATAAGCAGGCTGCAACCAATCAAGCGGTGCATGTGAGCCAAACAGGCCATTAACCAAGTGACGAGATCACTGACTGAGTGCTCGGATCACGTATCCGATGAGTTTTGAAATGGTCATAACTTAGCCATATTTTAACCAATGAACTTGAAACTTTGGGAAAGGTTTTCAATTATCAAGCCAAATGTGTGCAAAAAATTTTGAGTTCTTAGCTTAAAGCGTTCTCATTTTATGAAGACAATAGTGAAAAAGAGGGAGTGTCACGCCACGCCCACTGTAATTGGGCGTGGCTTACGAAACTTTCAGGAAATCTAAGTTTGACCCATATCTATAATCTCTGAAATTTTGGTGCAATTTGGAGACGAATTACGTGAGTTATTAAGAGGTTGCGTGTGGGTAGTCACTTATGGGCCACCCTGTATAATGTGTAAACAGAAAAATATACTGAAAACTCAAAAAGTGCAATTGAAACCTTTTAATTCTAGGAATAATAGTTGATTCTATTACAGAGGAGCACTGTAATTTCCGATTTAAACAAATCTTAAGAATGGGAATTTTAGCACAGAGAGTGCCGCTAGGGTTCAATCACATCTTTGAATTGAAATATACTCCAGTTCTTTGATCTTTGTACGAGTCACATTTAAAAGAACTCGAATGGTTGTGACAGATGTGAAGATCATCCATTTATAAAATTGCTACCTGTCACATTGCTACCTGTCACATTGGAGCATTTTAGTGGTAATATAGACCAGGAAGCAGGTAAGCCTACAATTAGACAAGTTCCATCATTCAAATAGCATGTTTAAATTACACAGCAGCTGTTCACAATTCTTATATCTGTTACTTTATGAGGGGAGTTTGTTGACAAAATACCCACACTGATGATCAGTAAATTTTAAATAAACACAATACTACAATTAGAAACAGTAAACATTTTGATATAAACACACATTTCACGAGCAACGAACATAGAACTCTATACAGTAAATAGTAACTTATAATTAATCTTTTTGAAATAGGAAAACCATCGGCCTCAACTAACTCAATTTGCATACAAAACTATGTACAGTACAGAAATCTTCATAATTGTCACACACTAATTTTCCTGCATGTGTAATGTTAACATCATTCTAAATTTACGTTCTTCCAAAATAAAACCGAGCTGGCACAGCAACCAACCATGAGTGTACCATCCTTATAATCTACACACGAGGCTGAGTTATCCAATGTGAAGGAATTCCAAAGAACTGGGCTTATATTAGGAGAGAACAGTTTAACTACCCCATCTTTACAAGCAGTGACTGTAGCTCCCATGTTGTGAGACATGTCCATGATAGGCTGTCTGTGGCCTGTATCATATTTCTTCAGGGTTTTCATGTCTTGATTGAAACATTTAATGAAGCCATCGTAACCAGCTACCCATAGATAGGGCTCAATAAACTTTATAGAAGACGAAATTCTCTCCATTCTCATTCGTTTAAAGAGTTTATTCATTCGTCTATCATGACAGACAAGGGCATTGTCCTCCCCAGAGCTCCAGATATAGTTTGGAGATGCAGCAACACTTAACACAGGTTTAGTGTGATTCTTTAACTTAAAAGCTACATTTCCACTCCTGGTATCATATCCAGCAACAAATTTTGAATATGTACCATATAGTAAACAGTTTTTCTCGAAACGCGTACAAAGTATTGCAGAATGTACAGACAAATCAGAGATTTTCTCTAACCCTCCTCTACCAATATCATAAAAGTGGATGTAACTGTCCCATGAGCCTGAAGCAATCTTAGAGCTTTGACCATCTTCTTGGTCAAGGGTCCAGATCCAACCGTTATGATCAGTGTTTGTATTAATGATGCATTTTTCTTGAGAGTCAATACAATCCAAATCGTAGACACAGATAGTTTTGTCTCGTGAGCCGGAAACAGCTATTTGTTTGGCAGGATTGGACAGGATCTTAACGCAGTGGACATCACCATAGTGGTTAGTGGACATAGTGTACTTTTTAACACTGGAGTTGTGTTGAAGTGATTTTGCTGACTCCATTTCATAAACTGCTTGGGGTAGACCAACAAGATGCATCTGTTGCAGCTCACTGTCGCTTACTTTTAAACCATCTAAGTCATCTGGGCAGGTAAGACATCCAGCTAATCTCATTTCCCAAAACTCGGGTGAATTTAAAAGATCACTAAAGTATCTAGAGACAAACCTTACAACAGACATCAAAGTTTTAACATTAATGTAGCCCAGAATTTCGAATATAAGCTCTGGTGGTAAATTATGGATTCCTGTCGAGTTGAGGGATCTATTGATGCTAGACTGTGACCATTGACTAGCTTTACGAGAAACTCCTTCAAAACCTGTATCGTCTTCCTGTTCCAAATCGCTCTCATCACTTGAAAATTCCATTTCATCATCTTTAGAGTAAGCAACATCCATACCTAGACAAATGAAATTCATCAAAATTGATCACACAATTGTGTGTTTAATCAACTACGTACCAGACTTCTGCAAGTGAATATCATTCACTGCACTCTAGGGTGGGCACTGAGCTTACTAAGGATTAAGCTCACTTGGCTGTATGTTCGGGAAATGTGATTAATAATAGTCAAACGAGAGGTAAAGGGACACTGGCCTGCCAAAATATCTAGTTTCTTCATTCTTGCATACCAAATTAACCAAATTATTTCTGTTTGCAGCGATATAATCCAGGCGCGGCGAGTGTTTTTAATTTGATTGATTTGATTTGAAACTGTCACAAATATTAATTTACAATACAGCAATCACGATTAGATATAACTTAGATTAATTATTTTTTATATAAAATGTTTCAAACAGTAACAAATGTCACATGACCCTATGTAAAAATAACCCTTCAAAAACTCAATATTTTGAAAATCACCCTTGGCCTTGCGGCTCCAAGTTCAAATCTAAACTGTATATTATATTGACAAAGTTCTTTCTCGCCCCTCTGTCTCTCCGGAGAGAAATAACTTAGATATATAACTTAGATAGCCATATTGCATCAATAATACAACTATGCACTATAGGTTATAATATATGTGTTAGAAGATGTTTAATTGTTATATATATATATTATAGCTGATGTAATAAGGGAAGAAGAAGAAGAGGAACAAGAGATCACAAGGAGGAAGGAGCAACAGAAGGTGTGTTTGAGTAGCAGGTCTGAGTAGTAGCTGTACCAGCCTGTGAAGTCATTTGGTGATAGTTCAGGAGAACACCGGTTAGTTCTAGGTCTAGGTTTATCTTTTGTAGTTTCATTGTTAGTTGTAGGTTTATATATTTCTTTGTTGTAAATGATTCATATTTTTTCTTTTTCCTTCCTCTTTTCCTTGTCATCCCCTTTAGTTTTAAGATTCTTGCTATAAATGGCTACAGCTAACACTATTAATGCTAAGTACCAAACAACAAGTGGGAGTTGGATCGTTGGTACCATTAAATCGATTTAACACCGCAATTCCAGTCGCAAGCCTGGGACCACTACTAGCATAGTCACAACATCTACAAAGCTGCCATATAGCCTGACTGACAATTTTCTCGACTGACTGACAATGTTTCTTCTTTTTCCCCATTTAGAATACAAAGATTAGTGCATTTTAGCTTATGATTAATATTATATTTTTACCTATAGTTTACTTAGATTACGTCCGTATCATGGTATCAAGTACTGGTGGTCGGTTCTTCCGCCCCGTTGGATACATAATTGATAGCTTTTCTTGATATTGCTCTATAATTACATTTATATCTCTCCCGGCCATTGGTTCCGAGATTTGGTTGATCTTTGTTTTCTTGGGCGCCCTCCTTGAAGTCTTGTTGTTGTACATACATCTCCTGATTTATCCTGTATTTACCTGTTTATTTCATTTTCCGGCGTGAGCTGTCCGCCATGCTACGGTACGAGAAACAGCGGCAGTGCAAGATCCGGTTCTAAGAGATTTTTATGGTCGCGAAGAATCTCGCCAGGCTACACTGCGTCGGTGGGAGAACTATTTAGGTTCATGACATCTAACGCCCGCCCAATCATGGCAGCCCCATGACAATAGGTTGATGTCCGACCCGTTGTCCTTGGCCTATCTCGAGTCGTTGGGTCTAGGCGGAAACGCCGAAAGGGATGATGTTACCTTCTTGACTTAAACGTAATAGTAAATTTTTCTCAAAATCCTTGAATAAATGGGTAACCCCTAGTAATGTCTTTTCTAGCACTTTTAGATGTTGCAATGGTAGAGGTTGTCTCACTTGCAACAGTTTTATTCCTGTTAATACATTTAGGAGCAGTACTTTTAATAATGATTTTATCTTTGGACATACAAATTTTATATTTAATTGTAAAACTAATAATGTTATTTATGTTATTACCTGTTCTACCTGTAAAAAACAATATGTTGGAGAAACAACTCAACCACTTCATAAAAGAGTCAATGGCCACAGAAATTGTGTCAAAGCCAAATCATCCACATTTTTATATGAACATTTTAATATTCCTGGTCACGTCTTCTCAGATGCTTCCATACAGATTGTAGATTATGTTGATTCTGACATGTCCACCGATGTCAAAAATGATTTACTTCTCCTGGAGGATTACTGGATAGAGAAGCTTGGGACAGCATTCCCTCTTGGTCTTAATGACAAGAAGAAAGGAACGGGCAACATCTCCCAAGATCGGGTTATGAATTATTTTAGTGGACAGATTGCTCGATACAAACGTGGCAGAGGGAATGGAAAGAAGAAAGTTCAGCCTAAGAAGTCTCTGGATACCATAGAGTCTGATATTAACAGGCTGAAAGATAACATCTCTTCAGAACATTCCATATACAAAACATTAAAATGTTATAGCTTATCAGATTTAGACACTCTCTACTCTTTGAGTCAAAATAATTCAGGATTGATTTACAACGTATGTTCCTCTTTCTGTTCAACATTTTCCCCCAAATACCATCAGAACAAATCTGAATCCAGTAATAGAGAATTTATAATTGTTCCATTTAATTGCAAATTCATTGATAATCTTAACCTAAAATCTATTTTCTCTGACACTTCAGTCATTGATTTGCTTCCCATTTTGATTCAGTCTTTTACACCATTACAGATTTATTATGAGTATAATGATCCTATTATAAGTCTTTCTATTTGTAACTATGCTTCATTCTTAAAGAAACTTTCTATTTCTGATATTAAATCTATTTTAGGTAGTCCATGCGATTGTCACTCCTCCCCTTTCAATTATCCTCCTCATGGACATGTAGTTACTGGTAATTTAGATATTGTTGATAATGTTGAACTTAGGGAAGTACTTTCCTACGGTTGTAAATACAGAATTCCCACATTTAAATCTCCAGATGAGATATATATGTCAGTTACCGAAGCTGTTGATAAATTTATAAAATCAAAAAGTAGAAAGTACTGTCAAAAAGAAGTAAAGTTCAGCGATTGGAAGGAAAAAGTGTTATCAATAGTTTCCAATCGTATTGAATATTACAAGAAAAACTTTCCTGAAACATTTGAAATAAAAGAAAACACACTGGAAAAAGATGATGTTAAAAGAAGTCTTAAATTGCTGAAAAGTAAATACATTATTTGTAGTATCGACAAAGCTTCTGGTAATTTTTCATTTATTTGTAAAAAGTTTTATGTAAAAACTCTTGTCAATGAAATGGGTTTTGATCCTAATACTCTAGAATGTATAGGTAATGATACATATAAACCCTGTAGCGAAGACGAGACTCATTATGTCAATAAAATATCTGAGAGTCTAAAGGAGAGATTTAATGTACAAGTTGAAGATAAAAACTTGCGACTAGCACGCATCTTCTGGAACCCTAAGCTTCATAAGAACCCTTACAAGGCGAGGTTCATTGCAGGTGCCCGTTTTTGCGTTACGAAACAACTTAACGTCCAAGTTAACTGTTGTCTGAAACTTTTGAGGAAATACTTCAAGAAATACTGCGAGGCAATCTACAACAACAGCGGTATAAACATGTTTTGGAGCATAGATTCCTCAAGTGAATTCCTTGAAGCTATCAAAAATAGCGATGTTTATAATATACAAGTATATGATTTTACTACTCTTTATACCAGATTAGACTTGATTGAAGTAGAGAATATGATTAATGAAGTTGTTGATTTAATATTTTCAGACCGTAATAGATATATTTGTATTTCTAAAAGAGACAGTAATACATGTTTCTTTTCCAATAAAACCTATGATTGTCATGCCTGCTTTAGTCAAGATGACCTAAAAGAGGCTGTTAAATTTATTATTTATAACACTTATGTCGTCTTCGGTGGGATTGTATTCATACAAACCAAGGGTATTCCTATGGGTGAAAATTCAAGTTCCCCTATAGCTGCACTGATCTCACTGTTGGCAAAAAGGAATTTAATTATATGAAACGTTTACTTCAGGAAAAGAAAATGGGATTAGCAAAGATATTATCCAATAATAAACGATATGTTGACGATTTATCTATTATTAACTACCTTTACTTTCATAAATTGATTAAAGATATTTATCCTAATTCATTGGAGATGGAGCGAGCTGGTTCCAATAATAAAATCATTAACTACCTTGATTTAAATATTAATATTTCCACAGAAGGACTAGAAATATCAGTGTATAACAAAACTGATGATTTTAATTTTCATGTTGTATCCCTTACATTTCCTCACAGTAACATCCCAACCGAGGTTGGCTACAACGTTTTTTCAAGTCAAGTTCTTAGATATGGTAATGTTTGCACTAGATTGGATATCTTTACCTCCCATCTTCACAAAATATTCAAAATTCTAATTGATAGAGGATATAGCCGTGATAGACTGATTAAAGGCATTAAACGTTGTCTGAGGAAATATGATAACGTTTTCAGGAAGTTCGGTATTCTAGATGACCGTAACATTATTAAAGAACTCCCCTGATATCTTTTGATTTATTGAAACACGGGTACTAACTCTGCTAAACTGAACAAATTCTGAAACTTAGGTGAATAAGTGTACAACGTGCTAAACCGAAGTTCAGACTGACCAGTGAAAATGGGCGAGCGTACCAAGTGTCATTTTAATTAGAAGTTTTAGTCAGTGATTTATTATTGAAGGTTGTAATTACAATATCTAATGCTCCTATAAATACTTTAATTAATTGTTTGTCCCGTTATTCTTTTTCCTTCCTCTTTTCCTTGTCATCCCCTTTAGTTTTAAGATTCTTGCTATAAATGGCTACAGCTAACACTATTAATGCTAAGTACCAAACAACAAGTGGGAGGTGGATCGTTGGTACCATTAAATCGATTTAACACCGCAATTCCAGTCGCAAGCCTGGGACCACTACTAGCATAGTCACAACATCTACAAAGCTGCCATATAGCCTGACTGACAATTTTCTCGACTGACTGACAATGTTTCTTCTTTTTCCCCATTTAGAATACAAAGATTAGTGCATTTTAGCTTATGATTAATATTATATTTTTACCTATAGTTTACTTAGATTGTATTACTTATGAATCATATTTCAGGTGTTTTTTAGTATTGTAGTTGAGTGTGTGAAGGAGAGAAGAAGTAGTTAGAAGTTGTAAGCTGTAAGTGTCACGAAGATAAGAAGAGTAAACTAGAAGTAGAAGAACCAAGGAAGTGTATTTGTATATACATAGTTTTAGTTAGTAATGTATTTTA